CTATAACAATTTATTAATCAGGTTAATAATATCAACTGTTGTGGAAACGATATTTTCTGTATATCACACGCTTTACCGACTTTACATACGGAACTTTTCTTGTCCCATCTTCCGAAGATACTTAAAAGTGAAATTGTTTTACCCCTTATCTCCGACTTATAAGTTCTAAAGCGTGTTGTCAATATCAATATCATCTCTTCGCGTCATACAAGCCGCCATTTTCCAAGGACAAGTACTTTCATTTTCAATTTTTGGATAGGTTGTTCGTGTATCGTTTCGAACCGATATGTTAATGCTTGTATCGTAAACCGTATCTTAGCAGAAAATATCGGTTTGTATCGGTATATCGTCCCACCCCTAACATTTGTTATCAACTGTTTCAGAAGTGTATGAAATGTGCCAGCAGGTAATCGATGCAGAAATGTCAAATTTTACAAGTTGAGAATACTTTGCCCTTAACCACGATAGTTTTTCAAAGTCAACCATAGCTAACAGAAAAATCAATTAGAGTATGTCCGATGAAGAAGTTAAGTTGGAGTTAAAAAGAAATTTTAAAAAATGGTCAGCATAATCCATTTTACTAGAGGGTATGTTGACAAGACTGTCACTTTCGCCATGGGTACCATATACAGTAGTTCTCTTACAATTTTGATACCTTTCAGTTGATGAATGTGATTAAAAAAGTGGAAATTGAAAATAGACGTTCGAATTTTGTGAAGAATAAAATGTGATGTATCTGACTTGCATGTATATCCAAGAAACATTTTCAAACTTTTAACATTTTAAAAAGATCATACGCAGCACTGTACTGACTATTTTCCTGTGTGTTAAATTATAAACAGACACTGCAAACAAAATGGTATTTTATCATGTGTTTATGCCAGATCTCTTGTCTGGAGCATATCTTCTCTCTTCTTGGCCCAATCTGGCTCATACTTCACCCACAGAGTGTCTTTGGGTAAAGGGTGTGCAGTGACCTTGAACCATGTTTCTAGGTCTATGGTTAAGGTCATAGCAGAATTATATGAAAAGTCCTTGTCTGGAGCATACATATCATCTCTCCCCTTCATCCTATGTGCCTCATACTTCACTCACAGAGTGCCACTGGTCAATGGATGTGTTTCTAGGTCAAGGGTCAAGGTCAAAAATAACCTCTGTGTTTAAAATCTTCATTAGGTGCATAATTTCTTTCTCTTAAGTCCAGTCAGCCTCAAACTTTACCAAATGACTTAGGGTACAGAACATTTGTGATTTTCCTTCCATATTTTGATAGAGGATATGCAACAATTTTCATAGAGGATATGCAACATTCGTGATTTTTGTGCTGTTTTTTGATAGAGGGTATGGAGCACTCGTGATTTTCATGGCAATGTTTGATGGCCACCATCTCAATGATATCTAGTTAGATCTAGAACATGTTTTCAATATGAATATCATCTCTTTGCTTCGTACAAGCCACCATTTTCCAAAGAAAACTACTTTCAATTTCAAATTTTTGATAGGTTATTCATAGGGCTGAAACGATACGCCCCCTCCACAATACGGTACGTATCGCGATACTTGTGTCACAATTCAATTTTTTTCAATACAATACATTTTAAAGAAGAAACAAATCATAAAGTTATGGAAAACATGTATTCAGATTTCAAATAAAAGGTGGTGATACAATAAAGAGCACTACTTGTGCTTCTGTAGATTAAAAGAGCACTTTGTTTGTGTTAATACTAACAGTGGCAGCCTGCTCTGAAACTTTCTCCGACGCAATTTTCTCCCTCGTGTGTCAAACTATTAAAATAAGGTCAAACCTGATCTATATCAAGGAGTAACCAAACTGGATTATAAAAAAACGTAACGAACCAAAAATCGAGATAGTGAACCGAGCAGTAATATTGAACAATATCAATATTTCGGTGAATCATCTCAGCCTTAGTCCTTCGTGTATCGTTTCTTACCAACATATCAATGCATGTATCATAAACAGTATCTTAGAAAATATTGATATGTATCGGTATATCGTCCCACCCCTTAATTTGAGCATAGTAAGCTTCTCTTTATCATGTTTATAATCTTTTTTTCTTTGGTCATCTTGTCATGGTCATGTTAAATATTTTGATAAGAAATTCCTTATATTTCCCCCATTTCTCATAAGGGTGTAATAGTCTACTTTAATTTTTGTGTTGCAGTTATCATATTTTAAGCTCCACACCGTATTTATATATAATTATGGCAATTTTTATTGAATAATTGAAAATAAGAAATTCAGACACTCTTTTCAATTTTAGTTTTAGTTGACTATGTAAAATATGAATTTCATTTTTATTTATCTCCCCCCCCCCCCCTCCCAATTTTTAAAAAAAAATTGCCATAAATCATTTAATAAAAAAATGTTGGCCTCAGGTTAATTTTAGTCCCTAATGGGTGTCTGAGATTCTCCAAAGTAAAACTACATGATGTACAATAGTTGTTTTATAGTCTAGATTGCAAAATATTATTAAGTTTTATAATTTGATTTCCTTTCATAAGCTGCTGAAAAGTATCTTAGAGCAGCAGTCCAAGAAGGTAAGTACAGTATAATATGTCCAAACCAGATTCTGCCTATTCCATACAATTTTGCCAGATTAGACAGAATTGATAGTGCACGAAAAATGCAGGAAACTCTTTGAAATTTATGTTGTTTAAATTATTTACAAGTACAATACATTTGTTTGGAAAATATATTAATTAAATGATAAAATTATTCGATATTTTTGGAGTCTAGAAATTATTCAAGACACCTATTCTCACATAATCCGTCCACATGCAGCCTAACTTTCATTAAAAAATAAAGTCATTATTTGGGGGAGAAGTCGATGTTTTTTAGCAAACAAATCATGGGAGAATCATTTTTCAAAATATCAGAACTCAACCATGCATGATGACAAAAATATTCAATATGCAGTATAGGTAGTGTATTTACCTTCGTAATTTACGTTATTATCTTACGTCGAAATGAACCCGTCAAAAATCGTTTTATTGCCAAAATGAATATTCAGTTTCACTTGGATTTTTTTAGCACTATGTCTGTACTAATAAAAATACTTCGAAAATTTTGTTTTTTGCCAGTGTTTTTCTCTTAATTTGTAATTAACGAATTTTATTTGCTTTAATCTTATTTTTCAACTGAAATAATTCTGTTCCTTCTCACTAGAAATGTTTAAGCTGAATTCCTGTGCGACTTACTTTTATGTTTATGAATCATAAGAGAAGAGGATTTTAAAATTTAATTTGGGAAGAGACTGTGAAAATTCTAAATTGGTTTTTCTTAAAGAAATATATTGATAACGTAAATTACAATTTTACTGGTATTCAAACCAAAAATTAATATTTTCTTGAACTTATTTTCATCCATCTAATGACATGCATTATTTTCAATTGCCCACAAAATGCCACAAACACTGATTATTTTTCATCCTTTTGAGAGATTCACAGTTAAATATAATGACAATGTAAGATCTGCTGTTGGTATGTATTTTTTCCTATCTTTCTCTAGTTATGCCTCTCCCTATTTTTTCCTCTTTTATTCCCAATATGCTTTTTTAATTTCTGCTTTTGACTTTACAATCTCTGTTAAATGAAATCTATGAAATATAATTACGGAGAAAGGCAATTAAATTATATTTAATTTATGTTATTTTTACTGTAATTTACGTTATGAATGTTTTGCTTCATCAAGTAATCAATGAAGAGAGATTTATGCGTAAAATATTGCTACAAATAAATAGAAGTACACCTTGTTTGTAAAATCAACTGAAATTCACGCCAAAAATACATCTTTGAGGAATTATTTGAAAGTTGTTAAAGGTAACACGTAATTTACGTTATCTGATGGCGCTTCCTGCATCAGATCTACATCGGAAGTTCGGTGATGTTAAGATGCTTTCGAGAAGAAACCAATAACGTTTCCTGCATGGTTCCGTATTGTCCCGACGTCTTATTTGCAAGATAGGTACCATATATGTATTATACTGATAACGTAAATTACATAACGTAAATTACTTTCTATCAGATTAATTGGTGTAAAATGTGTAGTCGCACAGATCAATGTTCGTTTTAATATTTTACGTGTTTGGTAGGTCAGGAAGAAGAAATAAATTAATATGCAAAGACAATTTTACTTGTATTCTTTAAGTATCGTTGATAACGTAAAATACATCCTTAAAACGAACCACTCACCTCTGGTTAAAAGACCAATGTGTTTCTGTAAGTATTCTGTCATATAACTTTTCTTTGTTTCTGATTGCATTTCATGGACTTTGTTGGATATTCTAGTAGATATTTTATGTTTTTAGATACCCTTTTATGCTGTTTACACAAATACTAAGATTTTGATAACGTAAATTACAGAAATTTAGCGACAAAGTTATTTTATATTTTTTAAAAATTTCACTGTAGACAAATATCTAAAAGTGTGAAAAATCAATATATTCATGCATTGTTATATGTAAAACTCGTGCTTTTTAGCATAAAATGTACTTGTTTTGTTTTATTCATTGGTCCAAACTTTGCCTTTTGCCTAAGCGACAGATCGAGAAGCCATTTATTAGACTATATACTTGGATCCCAGGGAAGTTTTAACCTGTGTATTAACACTTAACGATGTTGGTTTGGTAACTAGACGTATCACAAACGAAAACACTACAAAATTTACCAATTATTTTAATAATAATGTAATTTAAATTGCTTGCGACATCCAAATAGCGCATATGGACGGATTATGTGAGAATAGGTGAAGAGTATTGCTTGAATTACTAAGTTCTGGACAGTCAAGTTTTTTTTTTTTTGTTCACAATGTTCGAAACTTTCAATGTGAGATGTTAACATTTGGCATTAACTTGCAAGCTTGGTCACTATATGTCTTTAGTCAATATCACTTGACACGGATCCTTATAACTACATATCAACCTAAACTGAAATTCATAATTGTATAGTATCATTTCCACTTGTTTAGAAACAAAGACTTTCCCCAGCAGAGAATCTCAAATTTTGGTGTGAGAGTGGGCTGGATCAAGATGGATTTCAAAAAAAACTAATTGACAGAAAAATTGGTAGGAAATACATTTTGAACTATTTGTAGAACTGTAGGTTATTCTTATCAAAATAGTAACTTTTTTTTATCTCACCTGTACCAAAGGCTCTGTGAAAATTTTTCTCTGATTGAAGGTCAATTGTTAACCTGTCAAATATTGACCTGTCAACATGGGTAGTTGATAATTAAACAGAATCACAACCTAATGTTTTACAGTAAAGGGACTCTTTCAGTCTTTGTCTGTAAACTCCATTTGATCCTAAATTTCCTTCGAAACATCATTAAAGTTTTTTAGTTGTATATGTTTTTATTTTGAGGAAAATCATGTGGCCCAGTTTGAAAAATTGAACACTTTAAATTTTTTTGCCAGAGATTTTGTGCTCTGTGCTAGCTTTGACTAGAGATTAATATTTGTTTTATTGTACACCTCTGAATTTTGGTGCTCTACATCTGTATATGCTAACAAAATTTAATAATATTTATCAATGAGTTTGTAAAGTATTTTGTAGTTGACTGTTCAACTAGTATGTAATATGATATACAGGGTGTTTCAGCAAACATGGCCTGGCTTTGCGGTTTCAGTATAAAGTTACACAGTATTAAGGATGCTGGGGGGTCAACAAATTAACCATAAATTAACCACCAGATTTAACTTAATTTTTTAGATATGATATCTTAAGCTGTCAACTATCATTTGGCAAAGAAAAATTTCAAAAATTTTAGTTTTAAAATTTGATCATTTTCTATATCTTCATATGGAGCTCTTCTTCTAAAGGAGATCAATATAGTCTAAAAATGGCCACAACCCCCCAGCCTCTTTAATGTGACAAAATTTTTGCAAAAATGAAAACCACATAACAAAACAATTTTTTCAATATGAAATTTGAAGTAATGCTGAATCAATTACTTTTTAAAACAGGCATTTTTAAAGTTTGAACATCAGCAGCAGTTTTCAATTTAACGTCATTTTTATGTGTTGCAAAAAGCTGCAATGTTGTAAAGTTAGCGTCCTCAATTTGTCTTTGAAGTCCTGTATGGCATATATTTTGACATCATTTGAAGTCTGTTTCTTAGAAAGATAGTTTTCATATGAGTACATGTACTTCTTTTTTCAAAATCTTATGCATTGGTATTGGTGATTTTGGAGATTTTCTGTTTGTATTGTTCAGTTCAAAAACATCCATAGATCCATTTTTAGAGAAAAAAATCTGACAACCTGATTTTTGAAGAAGTAATCAAAATTCAGTGGAAAAAATATAATGATGTTATTTCATATTATTTATATCACAATTATATTGCCGGAAATTTGCTATAACATACAGTTATAATTTTGTAAATATTATATTGTTGTGCAAAAATATAGACAGCAAAAGTTGGGACATGTTTGTTGAAACACCCAGTATTTATATATGTATAACTAACTATAATTACCCAGTAAATAGAATTACTCTCCTAATTACAGAACAAAGGGTGTCTTCATTTTGTCTTTTTTGTGTACTATATGCAAATTAACATCATTTCAATTTTTCATCAACTTTGCGAGTGATACTCTGGATTATTAGTGATATCATAGCATGTATTTATTAATATTGAACAAGTATTAGTAAGTATTTCTGTCTGTATTTCCATTTAATTTTCTTCAAAATGTTTATTTGAAGGATTTGGTGTTTTTACCACCCAGCAGTTTTCAAAGGGTAGTTTTCTTTTGGAGTATGTGGGAGAAAGAATTACTCCAGAAGAAGCAGAAGAAAGAGAGAAAAGGAAGAAGAGGGGTCACTGCTACGTTTATTATTTTAAGTGGAATGGAATGCGTTGGTAGGTATAAAAGAATAAACTTAGTTTCTTTCGTGCTCTGAAAGTCAATTGCAGTATAAGTCAAAGAAGTATGTAATCAAGGGATAGACGTGCATTAACTTTGAACCAAATCCAACATTGTTCTGTCTAGGGTTGGACCGGTACTCGGTACCAATACCATACCGAATAGTTACTGAAAAAAACACGTGAAAAACCGTTTCATTTAATACCGGTACTAATAACGGTACAATTTTTATGGCCCCGGATCGAAAGATCCCGGGGGTATATTGTTTTTTTAATCTTTGAAACATTTTAATACATTCAAAATGATTTAAAACTCGCTAAAATTTAATTCTCCGCACATTGAAAGGGTAGGCTAAGTAACGAAATGGATGCTTAGTATGACTGTCCGACACTTGCTTTTGACTGCCGATATTCGAGGTAAATCAGTACATATATTTTTGTTTATAAAAAAATTAAATACATTCAAATTAATCGTGTTTCAATTTAATTAATAAAACTGATAATATAAAATGTAAATTAAAAAGGCAAAATGTCGCAAAAATGTGATGTGCATTTCTATCCATTTTCTAACGTTTCTTTGTTTAGTGCGACCAAACAAGATGGGTCCTAGCAACCATGGAAGTTGTGTATACTTGTGATTATTAATTTGTTTGAGATTCAATTTATTTGTTTTGTTGATCATTTATTAAAAGGTTGAAATATAAATATAGTTTATAAGCTCATTCTGGGTCATAACATTGAAAGGTTGGTGATTTACTGAAAGCATACATTTGTTATGAAATGAACCCTCATTCTCATTCATCAAGGTATAGTACCGTACCGTTAAAAATACCGTATCGTTTCAAAAATATCGGTATGGTATCGTACCGTTTCATCCTTAACGGTATCCAACCCTAGTTCTGACTTCAGTATAAACCCTGAAACAGCATATTCAATTGATTTATGCATGTGCACTTAAATCAGATGAAATGCATTTCAGTATGTTTTGCTTTCCGATGAAATATATAGATTCCAAATATTTCATAATTATGTTGCGTAACACTCTCCAATTCTTTAACTTGTTCTCTAATCTGGCAAAATCTTATGAAACCATTGATGGCCAATATACACAAGTTTTACTGTGTATATATAATCAATGATGAAATATAAATACCTTCACATATACTTATTTTTCTGTTTAATCACACCAAATTGAAATATTTTGTAGGTCATTATTTTGTCCTTAGTAAAGATTTGACCTTGATCAGATTAATAAAGGTCAATTTACAGTGACACAGGTTATTTTAGTTCTTATTGCAGTGTTGTCCTTAAGACCAGGGGCCAGGGAATTTCCCCTCCTATAATGACATTATCCCCCGGTTACTGTAGTATTCTTCCTCAACCCCAAGTTAGGAGAGGAACCCCAAACCCCCTTCTACTTTTTGAATGTCCACTGCTACTTCAGTTCTTTTTTTTTTTTGAAAAATACATAGTGATTCATATATTGTGACCACTATATTGTGATATGTATTAATGCATAACATGTGTATGTTCCTGCAGCCCTAATATTTCATATGACAGGGTTCTCCACAGGGGGTTTTACCATGGCGGCCCATCATGGTAAAATTTATTTGCGCAGTGGTTAAATGAGCTGTGCCATGGTCAAAATCGGTGGCCGCCATGATTTGATATTTATTGCATTTCAGCATTGACACCTACTTTCAATGACTTGAGTTGTTAATTGTGTTTATACTACATGCACCTCGAGAGAAAGTGGACGGAGCTGAGCTAAACAAACATGGTCGTTGATCGGCGACTATGCTGTGAAGTATGACAATAGAGAGTCAATCAGCTAACGATTAATATCTTGAGAGTAAATTTTCCTGTACACATGTACTTGCGGGGAATTCCAACGTGTTCACTATAATAAGATAACAGCAGATTTACAAAGGAAACACAACATGATAACCGACAAGATCCGATTCAAGTTTGTGTGCCCAGAAAAAATAACCCTTTTACAATTTCCTATTCATTTGTATTTAATCAATTCCCCATGTTCTGTTTTTAAGTATTAACTTTATTATATTTCTGATGATGTACATAAGTTCCAATTGCTGTCTAAGTTTTAGAGTTACATGTACCTCCCGTTTTTTTTTTTGAAACATGGCATGGTGCTATTTTTAGCACTGGGGCACATGGAGAAGTAAACAATGGAGGAAACTCTGCAAAAATGCAATATGTAGAAAAAGGAATGTTAAGAAAAACAGAATAGAGAAAGCAAAACTACTTGCATGTTAGAAAGTCTAACATGCATTCCTGTTTTAATTTGGTCACATTTCGCCTTCATGCAGCTTCCTCCATGGTTAAATGTTCAAATGTGGAGAACCCTGATATGAGTTCTTTTGTTTATATGTAACTTTTAACTTTTTCTCTACATATTGTTTTCATTATCATTTTACAAGCATTGATGCATCTGAAAGCTTTCAAAGGCTTGGCAGATATGTCAACGATGCAGCTTTAGATGATCCAGAAAACAATGCTGTTATGAAGTTAAAAGTAGTGAATAATTACCCAAGGCTTTGCCTTTTTGCTAGAAGGAATATTAAAAAAGGAGAGGAGATCCGCTATGATTATGGCGATTCAATTGAGAATCTTTCTTGGAGACATCAGGTAAATATTTAGAATAAGGGATTTTCCAATTTTACATGCTGTATCATCTTTGCAGTGCTTTTTTTTTTCAATGTTCTTGTAATGGGACTAGGACCTTTGGAAATGGGTAAAATTGACAATATATTAAAATTGGGAAAATACAAAAATTAAGTAATCATTATACCACCTTCAAACAAGGTTGGGGGTTATAACAGTCACTTGTCCATCTGTCTTCCCTGCAATTGTGACAGGGTTAATAACATTGCAATGGAGAGAAATTGGAAGCTCATACTGGACGAAAAGGTTGAACAAAGTTCATTTGGGCAAGATCAGTGTCACTAGCAGAAAAGTTGTTAAATTTGTGTCTGGGCAATAACTTTGTAATGGAAAAACATCAGAAGTTCAAACTTAAAGCAAAGGTTGCTCACGACCGGAGTGTTTCTTAACCTGAACCAGCCACTTTAAACAGTCTTTTTTTTAATTAAAAAACATTTTTAAATGTAAAAGTCTTTTCCTGGCCATGACTTTGTAAAGGGTCGCCCGCGTGGTTAGTGGTTAGAGCGTCTGCTCTAGAGTCATGGAGTAAGAAGTTAATCCTTATGTCTCGGGTTTGAATCCCACTGTGGAACGTGGAGACCGGTCCTTCGGATAAGACCATATAAACCAAGGTCCTGTGTCGCAGTAGGTGTTGGCACGAAAAATATTCCTCACCGCTCAATGACCGTAAGTGCTGAGTATAGGACAAAATTTACAGCTCTCTAGCGGCAAATGGTGGCGTCTCCTAATGAGTGAAAAATTCTCGAGGGGGACTTTAAACGACATACGAAAAAAACTTTGTAAAGCTGCAAGAATAGAAGTTTACATTATGTACAGTTGAAATTTGGTCTCTCAAACACTGATATCTTGAATACTTTGGATATGTAGAAGTGATTTGGAAGTCCCAACCCATTATTCCTTAAGTATTTTACCCTGGATATCTCTAATCATTGGATATCTCAATTTTTATCAAGTTATTTTAACATGATGCAGTTATGCTCAGTAGCAATATTAATTAATGAACCAGTTAGCATGTTCTGGTTAACTTTTCACAAGCATGACAACAATTGTACAAGGCTCAAGCTTTGAACTGGCATTTTATGCACAGACTTGGAATTTGCATACCTTACAGGTTATATCAAAACATATTTATTGTTTAATAGAAGCAGCAAAAACCAGGTGACTGTTGTGTTAATGAGTTATTTTGTTCAATACATCTCCCCACAAATGCAAATCTTTAATATATATATATATATATATGTATACATGATATACTGTTATATAAATTAATATATGCAATACTAATATACAATTAATAATAATTAGAATAGTTTTTTGTGTGACTAGGGTTAAGTTTTTTGGGGCAGATCTTTTTCGAAATAATTTAATTTCGTTTGTAACACATCATTTGATTGGATAAAAACTTAATTTATATTGTATAACCTGTGTTGCCTACCTCACAATGACTTACGTCAAAAATGTATTAATTTGCTTGACGTTACATTTGAAATATGCACAATTCGAAGACATTTTTGAAGGAGAAATTGTCTAATTTTCTTGATTTAAAGATGGAAAATTAAATTATAAGGAATAAATTTAATAGCTACCAAATTTTATACTTCACGGTTCATAAAGCTTAAACTGTCCCAACCCAGGTTATACAGTATAACGTGGGTAGCTATTGAATTCATTTCTAAAGTAAGTATAGACTATTACTGGACCAAATTTGCATGGACTGTGCCATGTTTTGAGTACCGGTACATACTATAGTGAAATGCAGAATTATGATCTTGTCATGTAGTATTAAGGTGAAGGTTGTCTTAAGTGTGATTTATATGAACTCTGTTACTCTAAAATCCTGTTCATTGTTAAGTTTTAAATGTACAGTGAAGAAATGCAGATGTCTGTCAGAGCCCAGCCATGTCAGGTCAAGATCAAATGTAAGAATTTGCTCCATGTCTTCATATCTACTGAATGATGTCCACCTGATATTCACTTTCTGTATCTTGGGCATGTTAAGCTATCAAAAGCAGTTACTGTTTATGTGATGTATGCGTATTGTGGGGAGAAGAAACTGGTTTTAAAATGAATATTTTGGATTTCTTATTCTTGCTTTATTTGTTAATTCAACACTCTTAAGTTTATGGTTAGTATTCATGTTCATTTCATTTCCTCTTTGATTCATACTGAGAAAGTTCATTTTGTTGTACTTGTTGAATGCACAAAATAACTAGAGTGATACAATATTTATATCCTAATCTTAAATAGGTAATTGTATATATATAGATATTAGCAACATTATCAAAGCTTCACAACCTATTAAAAGTATATTGATTATTGGATAATAATCTTCTTTCAATAATGATGCAATAGCTGCAGAAATATGGTAATTTTAATTTTACAGTATGCCTGTGTGCATAAACTAGGGATGTCAACAAATATTTGATTTTTCTTTGATACCATAGATGTTTGACTTCTTTTTTTAATTTGAACAGTCAAAAAGTTGCACATATACCAGTTAATTTGACTGAATTATATGCATACATTTGATCCACCATTTTCTTCATGAAGCTTACTCAGTGTCTTTCTTCTGAATTCAATCGGATCCATTTTGTCTTTTTAAAAAGCTTAAAATGCCGCCAAAATCAAGTGTTTAGCAATTTTACAAGGGTTTTCGAGTGCTGAAATTTTTTTTATGTTGCCCTCAACTACATGCTATATTTATTTATTTATATTATACTGAATAAATATAAAACTGTACCACGTGTGCATAAATTCTGCACATCGATATTTTTTTTGAATATCACTCCTCATGAAGCAATGTTTGACTGTTGCTGCACTGGAGGGTGTGGTTTCATCATTGGAGGGTGTGGTTTCATCATTCAGGGGGTAAAAGGGTTTTTTAACAAATGTTTCTCAACAAATCAGATTCAACTAATTTACATGAAAGTATGATATTTTAATTTATTTTATGTAAAGAAACATCAATAGCATTTTAAATTTCTACTCATTATTGACAACATGCATTGAAATAGCTTTCATTACATGTACGAGGGCTGTTCGAAAATTATTGAGACAATTACTTTAACTCCATAAAGGGCAGAGATAATTTCAGGAAAATTCGTCAACATTTTATATCGAACGAATGAAAGAATTATACAAAATTTCTAATTTAAAGGATAATTAGATAAGTTCTGGTGAAATAATAAACATGCATATGTCTATTGACCTGGAGCAGCATCGCTACGTCATTTTAACTTCACGTCAGCCGGAGATGATTTTGCGTGTGAAACGTTCGGGAAGCGTTTACTCTTCTTTCTTTGTTAGCATAATTATATACCCTACAAAAATCAAACTGTCTCTTTTCTTAAACGATTCTTTAGAAAATGTGTGCTGTTGCTTTTCTATTGTAAATTTTTCATGCATCATTTACACAGGATGACTTAGCATCATGCAGTGCTGATTTATGCAATGCAGGTCAACGTTATTAATTTCGTTATGGTAAAAATTGGTGGTCGTCCGGAGCTTTTGATTTTACTGTAGTTGAATTATAGGTTAGAAAAAAATATATACCAATGAAATACATGGAACAAACCCTTAGACGTGTTTTTTTCTCATTATTGTTTTAGCAGGTTGGTCAGTCTGGAAAGGAGTTTTACATAGTGCTACACAAAATTTTAGATCTCTTGCTGCTCTGCCTTGACGTCAAAATCCATTTTGTCGTCGTTATCAGATTTCTTTACCGTGCATAATTTTTTTAATGATCTCCATATTTCTGATCAGAATTCTAACAAACTTGCACAAGATGAAGTCAAAATAAAATTAAAAAATTATATACATAAATTGAATTATTTTCGTTCTTATTATGGGTCCACATGTTGAACATTGGTGTTACATATTTTCATTATCTGATTTTGTGACTGCGCCGGGTACCCCTACCATTGACACATTTATATACAGTTCAAGAAAAGAAATTTAATATTTGTAAAATATTTCTTGCTTTTATGAATTCTTAATGTTTGTTAAACGTATGTGCAAATTTTCACCGAAAGATGTTCATTAGAAAGGAAAATATACAGAATGTCTCAATAATTTCCGAACAGCCCTCGTATAATGTAGAACTTTGCACGCATGTATATGCATCGGTAAATTAATTTGGCCAATATATTTTATTCATTAAACTGGGAACATTACTGTAACAGTGGTAGTATGTAAATAAAAAGTTTGAATACTGTAAACATACTTTTTTCCACGGGGTCATAATTCCATGGAATCACAAAATCTGTTTAATCCCCGAGTAGAAAATTACATGTATTCATAAGTAAACATTACAAAAAAATACAGTACCCTAATATATTGAAACTATGAGAGATAAATTACCATTGTGTCACTTGAATATGCCTGTCCTGTGCATATTTGATGCTTCCAAAGAACATCAGCTTCATGAGCACAATGATCAAAAGACTTGGAAAACATACATATGTGGTACGTTCCACCAGCTTTGATTTTGCTGGATATAATGAAATAAAAAAAATATATGAAGAATAAATTTCCTGAGTGGTATGCAGATCAGATTCATTTGCGATTTAAAAAGAGGGGGGATCGGAAATGCAGTCTGAAATCACAACTACAGTCTACACTTTTATCAACACAGAAGTGCATTTGCGTGGGGTAGCTGGTCAATTTCAAAGTCAGTTCAAACAGAAACCCTTGTCCAAGGCTTTGTGCAATCAGAGATTTTTTCTCGAGTAAAAAAGCAACATTATTTATCTTCATTTTGATATTATGCTGACACGTGTACACAAGTTATTTCAGAAGATAGAAGTAATTGATTTTGATGAACAGTCAAAATTTGTGACTGCATTCATAGCGTAATTTAATCCCACACGGAAAAATGTTCGCCTACAATAATCCAATATTCTTTGACGAAAGCTACTGAATAATTGACCAGAAAATTTACACATTTAGACATCCCTAGTATAAACACACCATGTTTCCAAAATTCAGAGTGAACATACTATGCAGCACTGATACTTTAGCAAACATACGATGCAGCACTGATACTTTACCAGAAGTATGTTTTATACAAACTTTTGACTAATTTTGCTTAAAATTATTACAGAGCTTGATAATGATGCAGATGATGATGACCCATTTGAGTTGAAAAGTAAAAAAGGTAAGTACCTCTGTCAGTGAATGTTTTTAAAATCAAATGGTTTACCAATACAAACGAAAATCACAATGAATTCTCTCCTGCATGCAGTACAGAGAGCAATTTAGAATTGTAATTTTTGCATCATATCTTGCATAGCCTATCATAAGTATTTGTTAATATATTCAGAATTGTAGGAAAACACTTGCACAACTTGTAAACTAAACTCTTAAGTCCAATAAATTCTTGTTTGAATATATTACAGAGAACCGTCTGGAGGTGGAAAGTGATGAAGATCCCGTTACAGCACATGAACATGTTCCACAGAATGACAAGGACCATGTTGCATCATATCTTGCACAGCCTAGCACAGGTATTTGTTACTATACTTAGAATTGTATAAAGACTCTTACAATACACAACTTGTAAACTAAACTCTTAAGTCCAATAAATTCTTGATTGAATATATTACAGAGAACCGTCTGGAGGTGGAAAGTGATGAAGATCCCGTTACAGCACATGAACATGTTCCACAGAATGACAAGGACCATGTTGCATCATATCTTGCACAGCCTAGCACAGGTATTTGTTACTATACTTAGAATTGTATGAAGACTCTTACAATACACAACTTGTAAACTAAACTCTTAAGTCCAATAAATTCTTGTTTGAATATATTACAGAGAACCGTCTGGAGGTGGAAACTGATGGATCACTTGAAGAGGATCCAGTTACAACACAAGAACATGTTCCACAGAATGACAAGGACCTTGTTGCAGCATATCTTGCACAGCCTAGCACAGGTATTTGTTACTATACTTAGAATTGTATGAAGACTCTTACAATACACAACTTGTAAACTGAACTCTTAAGTCCAATAAATTCTTGTTTGCATATATTACAGAGAACCGTCTGGAGGTGGAAACTGATGGATCACTTGAAGAGGATCCCGTTACAGCACATGAACATGTTCCACAGAATGACAAGGACCATGTTGCATCATATCTTGCACAGCCTAGCACAGGTATTTGTTACTATACTTAGAATTGTATGAGGACTCTTAAAATACACAACTTGTAAACTAAACTCTTAAGTCCAATAAATTCTTGTTTGAATATATTACAGAGAACGGTCTGGAGGTGGAAACTGATGGATCACTTGAAGAGGATCCAGTTACAGCACAAGAACATGTTCCACAGAATGACAAGGACCATGTTGCATCATATCTTGCACAGCCTAGCACAGGTATTTGTTACTATACTTAGAATTGTATGAAGACTCTTACAATACACAACTTGTAAACTAAACTCTTAAGTCCAATAAATTCTTGTTTGAATATATTACAGAGAACCGTCTGGAGGTGGAAACTGATGGATCACTTGAAGAGGATCCAGTTACAGCACAAGAACATGTTCCACAGAATGACAAGGACCTTGTTGCAGCATATCTTGCACAGCCTAGCACAGGTATTTGTTACTATACTTAGAATTGTATAAAGACTCTTACAATACACAACTTGTAAACTGAACTCTTAAGTCCAATAAATTCTTGTTTGAATATATTACAGAGAACCGTCTGGAGGTGGAAAGTGATGAAGATCCCGTTACAGCACATGAACATGTTCCACAGAATGACAAGGACCATATTGCATCATATCTTGCACAGCCTAGCACAGGTATTTGTTACTATACTTAGAATTGTATGAAGACTCTTACAAACACAACTTGTAAACTAAACTCTTAAGTCCAATAAATTCTTGTTTGCATATATTACAGAGAACCGTCTGGAGGTGGAAACTGATGAGGATCCAGTTACAGCACATGAACATGTTCCGCAGAAGGATGAAGACCTTGTTGCAACAAATGAACATATACCACACATTCCACAGGATGATGAAAACCCTGTTGCAGCACATGTACATGACCCACAGATTCCAAAGACTAATATTGGTATTATTTTTATTTTGAAGTATGGAAATTTTTAATAGCACATGACTTAAGGATTTCAATTGAAAAGAATTCAGTTTTGCATGTACCACATAGTGTAGATCCATGATCTCTCCTTGAGAGGATCCCATCTGAAAACTGATTGTTCTACATATTTTTTTTTTTCAGAATATTATGTAGAAGATTCTAATGATAGTAGCATCAGCATTGTCTGGAAGGAACTATCATCAGTGAAGGTAATGTGTTACTTATTTCTTTGTTGTTCCACTTATATTTTGTCACAACTTTTTAATCAGTCTTTATCCTTGAGATGTTATAGGATCTCTCTGACAATGACATCTTTTTCTATGAAATGGCTGAACCATTTTCAACCAATTTGAGTATTTGGCATCTTTTGATAAAGAAAAACAAAAATTGTTAATTTTATGATCCCTGCATCCATGGGGGCTGAGGGATGGGTCCAAAACCATAAAGATTTATGTGATCTACAAAAAGTTTCTTCCTTACTCCTGAACATCTAGCAGGCATATTGTTTGTATGATTATCATGAGCAGTTAGCCTTCTACCAAAATATAACTTCCCAATTTCATACATTTTTTTCATAAAATTCCCCAAACAAAAGGTCACAAGACTGTCTCAAAAAAGTTTTTTAATCCCTTTCTAATTGTCAATAAATGTTACTGGTACACTATAATGAACATTGCAATGCATAGTTGGTTAAAGTTTGTTATGCAATATGCAACATTCTGTGAAATTCCATGATGCCTGCTTAATAAGAAGGAAAATCATTTTCAAATTGCTAGATACAGATCGTATTTTTCATGCTTGTCCTTTTCAGTATTATATTATTATTATTATTATTATATATTATTATATTATTATAAGCATTAATATTTATGGAACTCAATCCCGATCAAAATTAAGCTTTTGTATACTCTGCAGTATAAAGTGAAAAATACTATTGAAGTTATCAAAGCTTGAATTGTGTATTTACATTCTCCAGGAGACAAACATTACACAATTATTGCTGTTTTTTTTCCCTTCAGGTGAATATTGTACTTTGAAGGTGGATAAATCATCGTATTGACCGAAAAAACAGCAATAATTGTTTTATTATATGATTCAGTGATTAAATGATACAACTCATTAAGCAGTACATGCCATCTTACTTGTTTACATTTGTTGAAGTCCATACAAAACACGATAAGAGAAGCAGGGTTAATTACTAGTTGTATTCATTTGGAATATTTTTAATTGACTTAAGTTGCTATGAAAAAAGGAAATGTCAGGCTCTTTTATACAGGATAGATTTTGAAAAGGAGGGAGCATTATGAGGGAAAAAAGACAGCTGAAAAAAAAAATCTTTGACTAACCCCCACTAAAAGAAAATTATTTTGACTTCAAATTTTGTATTAGGGTGGGGGTCCGGGGGGAATAAGGTCCATTATTGTGGGATCAACCTTTCAGTCTAAATTAAAAGTGAACATTTATGTTTAGAAAAAAGTGTTTTGGGTGAGGTTCCCTGCACCCCCCACACCCTGCGCAACCACCCCCACCCCAAATAATATTTTCCTTAATGTTATGTTCACTTGAGTGGAAGTCCAGTGCAAGGAAAATATTTCCAAAACTATTTCTGGATCTATTTTTAGACTAATGTAGAGAAAATAAATCCTTATATTCACCTGGGAGGTCACATGCAGGTTAAAACAACATATTTTTTTGTTTTACATTGTTAGATCTCAGCCAATCAGAGAGATAGGAATCAATCATATATTGGTTTAGTGGTTGACCCATAGCTGTTCATAGTTTGTGGGTCACTTTCATATAAACCTGTACATATGTCTGATTGTGGATCACTGTTATTGTAATAACATTTTACAGTATTTATCTGTAGTTTATGATTTGTGTGTGTAACGTTGGGTTTAGACTAGGGATGTCAAATCGGTCAAATTTTGATAATCGGTTACTCAGATGTTTTTCAGATCGAGTACCCGGGTACTCGGTAAAAATGAAAATACAGGTGTGTTAATTTTCTTGAGCCTGGTTAAGCTCTGTTAAATCCAAAAGCTGTTTTTATCACGTTTATAAATGTATGTAAACAACTGAGTCAAAGGGAAATGATTTTTTGGTACCAAATTTATTTATCAGATAAACACAAAAGACACAATTCATACATCAAAAATTACAAATGGTTTACAGTTCTTGTTTAGGACCTATTTCATCAACGCAAAAAAAAGAAGACAATCTGTTACGCAGGTTTGTGATGTTAGACTAGCGAAAGGGAAGGAAAGGACGTTGTTGGGATCGCTAGTCTACTATTATTTCATATGTTGGTTGTTTCCCACTAAACTTTGTATGCAAACTGACTTTCAACATTTTTAAAATCTTTAGTTATTTCTAAATATTTCTTCACTTTTGAAGTGGGTAGCGGCATTTTTATTCATGTCTGACTTCGCTGCCGTACATGTGTATATTAAATAATTTAAGAAGATAATAGACCATACTATTATTGTTTACTGAAAACAATCATTGAAGCCATCCAAAAATTAAGGACCACAATAAGTGTTAAAAATGCTGTGTACCAGATGATTGGTCATTATATAATTACCGTATATATACAACCACAGGCGATAACATGTGTTTTACAGGTGTAGATGACGACAAGCTAATTACCATATGCATATTTAAGTTATTTTTTGATAAGTTTTTGATAAAAATATGTACTTTGAAATAAGAAAACATAAGAAAACAAACCAAGTACCATTTTTAGTATTCGATACTCGGACGTTCGATCGAGTACCCGGTTAACCGGGTACTCGTTGACATCCCTAGTTTAAACATTTGTGTATATGCATACATATATATGTGAATGCTCATGGTTTTTGGTTCACTGTCATATATACATGTTTGTGTCTGTTCATGGATTGTGGGTCACTGTTGTAGATTGTTTTTTCTAACATTTTTCCTGTAGTTCATGACTTTTGTGTCTCTGAGTTTAGACATTTTGTATATGCATACATATATGTGAATGCTCATGGTTTTGGGTCACTGTCATATATACATTTTTGTGTCTGTTCATGGATTGTGGGTCACTGTCATAGATTATGTGTTCTAATATTTTTCCTGTAGTTTGTTCATGACTTTTTGTGTCTTTGAGTTTAGACATTTGTGTATATATTCATACATATATATTTGAATGCTCATGGTTTTGGGTCACTGTCATATATACATTTTTGTGTCTGTTCATGGATTGTGGGTCACAGTCATAGATTATGTGTTCTAATATTTTTCCTTTAGTTTGTTCATGACTTTTTGTGTCTTTGGTTGTAGACATTTGTGTATATATCTGTATCTGTATATGGTATGTCGTGGTAACCAATACTGGCTTTTATACGACGGGAGAGAGGCGCTATCGATGTTATTGACAAATCTTGGCGAGGGCGGTCTTGAAGGCCTCGACAGATTTTCCGCACACTGTGTCTTTGTCAAGTTGGTTCCATATAATCACTGTGTCTATGAAAATGAGTGTTTGTATTGCTTTGTTTTAGTTGGTGTTACTTCACGGCTTGTCTGTTCATGGATTATGGGTCACTGTTGTAGATTGTTTGTTCATGGATTGTGGGTCACTGTTGTAGATTGTTTTTTCTTACATTTTTCCTGTAGTTCATGACTTTTTTTTGTGTTTCTGAGTTTAGACATTTTGTATATGCATACATATTATTCATATATATATATATATGTGAATGCTCATGGTTTTGGGTCACTGTCATATATACATATTTGTGTCTGTTCATGGATTGTGGGTCACTGTTGTAGATTGTTTGTTCTAACATTTTTCCTGTAGTTCATGACTTTTTTTTTGTGTTTCTGAGTTTAGACATTTTGTATATGCATACATATTATTCATATATATATGTGAATGCTCATGGTTTTGGGTCACTGTCATATATACATATTTGTGTCTGTTCATGGATTGTGGGTCACTGTTGTAGATTGTTCTAACATTTTTGAAGTCCTGTTAGGGTAGTTCAGTTATGCATGTGTTTATGGATTGTTGATCACTAGGTCATCATCATGTTTATAGAAAGTCAATTACTGGATTTGGATTTTTTTTAAATGCAAATGTGTCTGATTATGTTTTTAGCTCACCTGAGCCGAAGGCTCAAGTGAGCTTTTCTGATCACATTTTGTCTGTAGTCCGTCTGTCCGTCTGTCCGTCCGTCTGTCTGTAAACTTTTCACATTTTCGACTTCTTCTCAAGAACCACTGGGCCAATTTCAACCAAACTTGCCACAAAGTATCCTTGGGTGAAGGGGATTCAAGTTTGTTCAAATGAAGGGCCACGCCCTCTTTCAAGGGGAGATAATAAAGAATTAGTGAAAAATTAATAGCATCTTTTAAAAATCTTCTTCTCAAGAACCACAAAGCCAGGGAAGATGAAACTCATGTGGAAGCATCCTCAGGTAGTGTAGATTCAAGTTTGTTCAAATCATGACCCCTGGGGGTAGGGCGGGGCCACAATGGAGGATCAAAGTTTTACATAGAAATATATGGGGAAAAACCTTTAAAAATCTTCTTCTCAAGAACAGCAAAGCCAAGATGAGTCATATTTATATGGAAGCATCCTCAGGTAGTGTAGATTCAAGTTTGTTCAAATCATGACCCCCGGGGGTAGGGCAGGGCCACAATGGAGGATCAAAGTTTTACATAGAAATATATGGGAAAAACCTTTAAAAATCTTCTTCTCAAGAACAGCAAAGCCATGATGAGTCATATTTATATGGAAGCATCCTCAGGTAGTGTAGATTCAAGTTTGTTCAAATCATGACCCCCGGGGGTAGGGCGGGGCCACAATGGAGGATCAAAGTTTTACATAGAAATATATGGGAAAAACCTTTAAAAATCTTCTCCTCAAGAACAGCAAAGCCATGATGAGTCATATTTATATGGAAGCATCCTCAGGTAGTGTAAATTCAAGTTTGTTCAAATCATGACCCCCGGGGGTAGGGCGGGGCCACAATGGAGGATCAAAGTTTTACATAGAAATATAAGGGAAAAACCTTTAAAAATCTTCTTCTCAAGAACAGCAAAGCCATGATGAGTCATATTTATATGGAAGCATCCTCAGGTAGTGTAGATTCAAGTTTGTTCAAATCATGACCCCCGGGGGTAGGGCGGGGCCACAATGGAGGATCAAAGTTTTACATAGTAATATATAGGAAAAATCTTTAAAAATCTTCTCAATAACAGCAAAGCCCTAATTGATCATATTGATATGGAAGCATCCTAAGGTAGTATAGATTTAAGTATGTCCAAATCATGACCCCTGGGGGTAGGGTGGGGCCCCAATGGAGGATAAAAGTTTTACATAGAGATATATAGGAAAAATCTTTAAAAATCTTCTTCTCAAGAACAGCAAAGCCCTGATTGATCATATTTATGTGGAAGTATACTCAGGTAGTGTAGATTCAAGTTTGTTCAAATGTTGCCCCCCTGGGGTTGGGTGGGGCCACAATGGAGGATCAAAGTCTGAAATAGAAATATATAGGAAGATTTCTTCTGATGAAGAACTGCAAAGCCATGATTAGTCATTTTGATATGGAAGCATCATCAGGTAGTGTAAATTCAATTTTGTTCAAATGATGACCCCCGAGGGTAGGGTGGGGCCCAATAGGGGGATAGAAAGTTTTACATAAGAACACATAGAAAAAATATTTCTTCTCAAGAACAGAAAAGCTATGTTTAGTCATATTGATATGGAGGCATCTTCAGGTAGTGTAGATTCAAGTTTGTTCAAATGATGACCCCCGAGAGTAGGACGGGGCCACAATGGAGGATCGAATGTTACATAAGAACATATAGAAAAAATATTTCTTCTCAAGAACAGGAAAGCTATGTTTAGTCATATTGATATGGAAGCATCCTCAGGTAGTGTAGATTCCAGTTTGTTCAAATGATGACCCCTGGGATAGGGAGGAGCCACAAGGGGGGATCAAATTTTTACAAAGGAATATATCAGAAAATTTTTTTAAAATCTTCTCAAGTACAACAAAGCCATTTGTTATTTTGACATGGAAGCATCATCAGGTAGTTTAAAATTCAAGCCCCCCCCCCCCCCCCCCCCCCCCCCCCCCCCCGGAATCTTTTCAATACTGAACTGATTTGTGCTTTTGCCTATCCACTGTGCTCAGGTGAGCGATGTGGCCCATGGGCCTCTTGTTTTGATTAGTATAAGTATAAATATATGATATAGATGATTGTGAATACAGTTATGAGTGTTTCTTTATGGTTTGTCAGTCAGTATGTATACATTTATGATTCTGTTTGCTGTTCACTGTTTTGCATACATTTGATGACTTAAGTATATATGCATGTTCATGGTTTATGAATCACTTTGTCAGAGTATATAAATTTCATCATTTTTTCAAACACCATGAGTTATGTTTGTAAGTAACTTATACACAGTGGCATTCTGGCAAAATTTCTTTGATCATACTTAAGTTAGATGACCTTAACCTTCCACCTTTACTCATGTTACACTCATATTTTTGTTGTAAAAAGAAATACATCCTTCTGCCATTCCAATTGCTATATACTAGGGATAATTGTTAAATTGTTGTGAATGTCAATAAAATACTAATTTCCATTTGCATAATAAGAATTGTCAAATAGTAATTGTCTGTACAGGATTTCCATTGTTGGCTTCTTCAAAACGTGTATAATACTGTCATACTTGGAAAAAAAAATTAAAACAGTATTCTATATACCTTTATATGTAGTGTATCTAAATTTTAATTCATAATTTTTAGGAATCTGACAGTTATATATTATGTCCCATTACTGGTCAGTTTGTGAGAGCATGTGGAAATGAACTTATCTATACCAAGGTAAACAGTTTAGAGTTCCTTGTTGATGTGGTCTTTCTAGGAACAGTTAGATTAAGCTTTTTTATACGTGTATATTACGGTAGAAAGACGTTATATACCAAAATTATGTTGAAGTTATTATTAAATATTTACATTTGCAAATGTTTTCTTTTATATAACACTATTAAAAGCAACACGTATCTATATCCGTATAAACACGGGTTCCTCGCGTCATAAACGTTCGACGTAATTTCTCAGTGACGTCATAAAGGGTCAATGCGCAATCAGTGGATCAAACACGTGCCGTTAGGTTTGAAAAATAAAACATTTCACGCGTTAAAGATTATAATCAAGCAAATATAAAATATGAATAAGTCACAAATGTAAATATAAGTAATAAGGTATCATTTTAAAACATCTATCAGGCTATAAATACAGGTTGGTACGAGATCAAATTTACCATAAAGCCCTTCAGGCTTTATGGAATTTGATCTCGTGACCAACCCGTATTTATATCCCGATAGATGTTTAAAAATGATACCTTATTTCTTAAATAAATAATGATAGAAAAAGAAATCAGTAAAATTAATATGTTACTTATATTCTTGTATTATATAAATTGGATCTTTCATTTCGGTTATGTTTTGGCTGCAGTAACTATAGTAATTGTGTATTTTTAATGTTTAAGGAGGACTCAGATGCTGCATTTTCGGATGTTGAGGACTTGGCTGATGCTGGTATGTGTCTGTTTATTACAGTTACTGTAGTAGTTTGATATGATTATGTCTCCTTCCCACCATGAAAGGCAGTCATCATTATATTTTGGGGTCACAAGGCCAATAATCAAGATTTCCACATCACTCAGCACTCACTTGAAACAATAACTGGAGTAGCTTTCAACCAATTGACTTCGTGTTCATTACAGATAGAAAATGGGTAAAGGATAAAACATAGATTATAAGGTTGTTAGGTCAAAGGTCAAGATCTAAAGTCAAGATCCTAGATATGCCTGCAAAAATATTTTTGTGTGACAATATAAGTCAAGTACATTGTATTCTGTTAACTTTGTGATCACTACATAGATAGAAAGTTGTTAAAGACACCTATAGAGATATGGAGTCACTAGGTTAGAGGTCAAGTTCTAATATCTAGATTATTGATGTGTCTGTCAACACTTATGAGACATGATAATGAGTACCTTTTGAGCAACTGACTTTGTATTCACTTAATAGGTAGAAGATGGTAAAAGGAAGACTAAGATCAGTAATCAAGGTCAAAACTTGTATTGTGTATTTGTTAATATGCCTGTCAAAACTTCTGTGATATGTTAAGTTATGTTTTTTTCAACCAGACTTCATATTCACTACATGCATAGAGTATGGTGAAAATAAGGAAGAACATATAAATTTCAGGGTCACTAAATCAATGTCAAGTTATATGTCAGTTTTTTAAAATGCTTACTATGAAATCACTAATTTTCGCGGGGATTTAATTTTTGTTGTTTTCAAGGTATGGAGAGACCCACAAATTCATGACCACTACGAAATGTAAAATTTAATATGCATTATTACTCAACACTTCTCCAGCCATAAAATCAAATCCCCACATATTAATTATTTTTTCTCAAACTTCAAAAATTTGCCTCCCAAAAATATGTGATTTTACAGTATTTGACATGTTTACTCATTAGACAAGTACTTGTCAACCATTGGAAGATTAAAAGAAGGCACATAGTTTTGTGATCATGGGTCAGAGGTCAAGTCAAAAGCTGAAATTATTAATCTGCACTTACTGCAGGGCCCTGGGTGACTTTGTCAGTTTACTAGTTCAGTTTGTTTGTGGGTAATGCAGATTAGTAAAAAAATAACCTTTCAATGATTAAATAAATGTTTGCATTTGCATTGAAATTTACATCTTCGCTAGCCAAGAGTTTCAGATATGCTACTCTCCTCATGAACCCTTGGCATACGGTGCTGACAAAAGACTGGTGATCGCGATTCTTACCAGGTACGCAGATTGCGTCATTGACAGAAATAAAAAGTGTATTTAAAAAAATAATGCTTTTAAAGAAGAATTAACAAGAAGGTATTGAGTTATGTTAATTTGCTATTTAAACAAATTAAAATGCTAATCTACATCTTCAGTATTGATTCTTAATCACATATTTTGCACGTAGCTAAGATATTGGGTGACACTATATAGCTATTCATAGAATGGCATGTTATCTGATGGATCTTTATTTACTTGAGTTTTTCATTCCCGATATTGAAGAGACAAGATATATCCCAAATGTAAATATCATCATTTTCAAAAAACAATTGCTGATTGGTCGAGCGATGTCGATCAACTCCAATCACAACTTGAGAAAAAAAACCCAATTTTTTTAACACTTTATGCAAAGGGCTTATGAGGAGAGTAGCGTATCCGAAACCCTTGGCTAGCAAAGATGTGAAATTTAACATATTTTCAATGTCTTTGCTCATGTTACAATAGTTAACTAGTCCTTCAGTAGGTGGATCTATCAAAATGTCAATACATCAAGGCCTTTGAATATGTCAGTATGTTGTCCTTTTGGTATAAGAGCATATCAGTCAATTATATTGTCCACTTTTCAACTTAGCAATGGTTTGTTGTTCTCTCGTTCTGTTACCTTGTCATTGCATATTTATTTATTTACATTATACATTTCAGGAAAGCCCTTTCATCGTTTAGTGAACAATAAAGGTATGCTTTTTATATCATATGTTTGGAGTTAAAAAAGAATATATTGACATTTTAACAAGATTTGGAAAAAATACATGTATTTAGATTTTTAGCTTATTTCGTCAAAGACCATTGTCAGTTATTGACATCACTTGACAACCATCATCTCTCATTGTCGGGGTCCTTTATTATTTAAATTATACATTTGAAAATTTCTAGAATTGCTGCATGCCAGGTCACTAAAGTTGGCATGAATGTTCCTAAAGAGGTTCTATGAAGTGTTGTTATTTTTTGGATTGAAAAGAATTTTACTTAGCTGCCATGTCTTCTGATAAGTTGATAAAAAATGACTTTTATCTGGAATGGCTGCATGCAAGATCACAAAAATTAGGCCTGTCAATCCATCCAATACATAGTGTCGTGATAACTCCCACTTATCTATAACTTACTGCTGCTCTTAATCTCACGAGATTTCTGAGGCATAAAATTGTTTAGGCTATTGACGATAAACAGATTCGAACAATAAGTATGCTGAAAGAACAATGTATTTGCCCAGGGTGCACTTCAGATAGTAGGTAGTCTAATTTTGAATGTTTAGTATTTTATCGACTTCCAAAACAGCTGCAAAAGTGATGATTATCACAAAGAAATGATAGAATTTGATTGAATTTGATTTGGCTTAGAGAAAAGTGTCAACTAAAATGTAATACAGAGGACTAGCTCCTCTTGAATTTTAATAGCATGGTTCACTGAATGTTAAGCAAGATATTTCACCAGGACTTTTTTCTTGTATCCTTGAATATCTACAGTCACTAAATCTTGCTGTGTATGCAACAGCATACTGTCCCCATCTAAAGGACAGTTCCTACCTTCAGTGCACAAAAGTTCCGCTAAGTTAAGTAATAGTGATATGAAGTATTTAAGTCCAAAATTTGGACCCATTCTTGATTAGAAAAAGTGCCTTTCTTCCCAGTTATTTTCCCAATTTATGCAAATGTGACCATCAAAGTTATATGCTAAAATCAAAGAGGTTCAGGAAATAGGTTTATTTACAGTGATATAAAACATTGATGATGAATCTTATACCTTCACAAAAAGTGCCAAAAATTAAATCCTTGCAAAAGTAATTTCACTACTTGGTGTTTTTATTAAATGTGGACAATTGCAAAAGTAAATTATGCAAATAATAAAAATCAGAAGGTCATTTGAATTTTTATCTTTTCTTCTTGCAGTCAAAGTCAAAAGAATTCGGAAAATCAATGGGAGGAGACCATATAACAAAAAGCTATGCTGTTATTTTTGTGGTAAAGTGTTCAACCACAGGATTCAGAAGCATCTAGAAAATGGGCACAAACATGAACTTATGGTTGCTCAGGCCTGTGCCAAAAATTCAAAGCGTGAAAGAGACAGGTTGTTTGATAAACTTAAAAATCTAGGAAATTTTAAATACAACATAGAAGTGCTCAAGGAAGGAAGTGGAGATTTAATAGTGTGCAGAAGACCAAGCAAAGAAACCCTGACATCATTGGATTACTTACCATGCATTCATTGTTATGGATTTTTCTCTAAAAAGGAACTGTGGAGGCATACAGGAAAATGCTCTTTTAAGAACACCAAATTAAAAGACCAACGAGGCATCATCGCAAGATCCAGGCTTTTACTTGCAGGGGGTATAGACTTCTGTGCAGAAAAGGAAGATTTCAGAGTCTGTGTATCAGAAGAACTGAAAGAAACTGTTTTGTTAAAAATGCGCCAAGACGAGGTGTACAGTGCTCTTGTTGATGACCCATTAATCATACAGTTTGGACAAGTGCTAATAAAGCAGTTGGGACCCAGAAGAACAAACTATGTTTCACAAAGAATGAGACAACTGGCCCGATTAAAAACCAAAATAAATGAGTTGTTGAATAAAGAGAATGATCTACATTGTTATATCACTCCAAAGCACTTTGATACAGTTGTTAAAGCAGTCCAAGACTTGGCTGGTTACCATCAGAATGAGCAGAAAATATCTGTATTTTCTACTCCGTCTCTGGCGTTAAATCTTGGACATAATTTAGTGAAGGTTGCAGAAATCAGAAGAGGCAATGCCATAAGAAAAATGGATGAAACAATGAAGAAAGAATGTGATGGATATTTGGAAATTCATAGCTCAGACTGGGCACCTGCAGTATCATCTGTAGCTTTAGCTACTCTGCAGACAAATAAATTTAATAAGCCTTTGGCACTCCCTGTAACCAGTGACCTTGTATTATTAAAAAACCACCTGGATGAACAAATAAGTGAATTGACAAAAGATTTGGAAAAGGAAGGAGAAAATGCTACCCTCTGGAAAAAGTTAGCTGGAGCAGCTATGACTAGAATTATCCTTTTTAACAAACGGCGAAGTAGTGAAGTTTCTAAACTTCTGTGTGCTAGTTATGAAAACCGTCAAAACTGGGAAGAAACCATGAATGAAGAAATAGCAAGTGGTCTGAAGCCAATGGAGAAGATCTTACTGAAGAGGTATGAATTTTTTTTGACTCGTGTATTCTGAGGGTATAGCCTATTATTGTTTCTTTTCTAAAAAAAAATGGGCATTATTTTACAAAAGAATTTAGGTGTTTTTAGCTCAATTATTGAGTCATTTAAATGCCACAGGCTAAGTTGTGCTTTTCTGTCCAACTACTGTTTTCTGCATCTGTCTTGCTCTCTGTATCAGTTTATATATATTATATATATTTAAATGTATATATGACCTAAAAATTTTGCATCTTCATCTTTGACTCAAGAAATGCTGAGTACTTTCAGCCAAATTTGGCACAAAGTATCCTATGTTATGGAAGTCTCCTTCTTCCCTTGAAATTTGTAATATTTTATCTTGGGAACAGGATAAATAAAATCCACAGATTACTGCTAACTAGGGTTCCCACTTCATATGCACCATGCAGTAATTTTTCTAAACCCAATTTAGGTCTGAATGTCAGCCCTTACCCCTTTCCCCTGTCAAAAATTACCGCTTTTTTCTCCCAGTTTCAGTTGCTCTTTTCGCAAAATAAACACGTAAAGCTGCCTACCATTCCGCTTTTGTTGTAATTCTTCTGATTTTTACCATAAAATTATGCTGTTACGCAAAGAAAATCAATTTTATGCTTTGAAATATTTTGCCTAAATTAATGAACGATTAACTTGGGAGTTAAAGTAAGGCGTCCTTCTATGAATACAAGAAGTTGAATAATAGTGGTTCTTAGAGGGTTTCGGTTCTTCACGATGTAATAATTAATGATACAAACAACATACGTAAGAAACTAATAGTAATACATGTATTATCAGGGTTTTAAACTAACCTGTAATCCTTGATAGCCATGTGGGCTACTGAACCTTGCATTCTGGGGCCCACATCAAAATTTATTCGCCCACAGATTATAACACCTTCTACTGAATATAAAAACAACAAGAGGCCCAGGGGCCACATCGCTCACCTGAGCACTATGGCTAGGAAAAAGCAGAAATCACTTCAATCTTGAAAGGTTGAAAAGTTTAAATATAAAAGTGGTTGGGGGGGGGGGGGGGGGGGGGTTGTCATGAATTGAACAAATTTGAATTTACATTATCTGAGGATGCTTCCATTTAAATATGACCAATCATGGCTTTGCTGTTCTTGAGTAGAAGATTTTTAAAGATTTAACCTATGTATTCCTATGTAAAACTTTGATCACCCATTGTGGCCCCACCCGACCCCCAGGGGTCATGTTTGAACAAACTTGAATGTACACTATCTAAAAATGCTTCCATATAAATATGACCAATCATGGCTTTGCTATTCTTAACAAATAGTTTTTTTAAAAGATTTTTACTATGTGTTCCTATGTAAAACTTTGATCGCCCATTGTGGACCCACCTGACCCCCGGGGGTCATGATTTGAACAAATTTGAATGTACACTATCTGAGGATGCTTCCATGTAAATGTGACCAATCATGGCTTTGCTGTTCTTGAGAAGAAGATTTTTGAAGATTTTCCCATATATTCCTATGTAAAACTTTGATCGCCCATTGTGGCCCCACCCGACCCCCGGGGGTCATGAGTTGAAGAAACTTGAATCTACACTACCTGAGGATGCTACCATATAAATATGACCAATCATGGCTTTGTTGTTCTTGAGAAGAAGATTTTTAAAGATTTTTTCCTATATATTCCTATGTAAAACTTTGATCGCCCATTGTGGCCCCACCCGACCCCCGGGGGTCATGAGTTGAAGAAACTTGAATCTACACTACCTGAGGATGCTACCATATAAATATGACCAATCATGGCATTGTTGTTCTTGAGAAGAAGATTTTTAAAGATTTTTTCCTATATATTCCTATGTAAAACTTTGATCGCCCATTGTGGCCCCACCCGACCCCCGGGGGTCATGATTTGAACAAACTTGAATCTACACTACCTGAGGATGCTTCCATGTAAATATGACCAATTATGGCTTTGCTGTTCTTGAGAAGAAGATTTTTAAAGATTTTTTCCTATATATTCCTATGTAAAACTTTGATCGCCCATTGTGGCCCCACCCGACCCCCGGGGGTCATGATTTGAACAAACTTGAATCTACACTACCTGAGGATGCTTCCATGTAAATATGACCAATTATGGCTTTGCTGTTCTTGAGAAGAAGATTTTTAAAGATTTTTCCTATATATTCCTAGTATGTAAAACTTTGATCGCCCATTGTGGCCCCACCCGACCCCCGGGGGTCATGATTTGAACAAACTTGAATCTACACTACCTGAGGATGCTTCCAAGTAAATATGACCAATCTTGGCTTTGCTGTTCTTGAGAAGAAGATTTTTGAAGATTTTCCCATATATTCCTATGTAAAACTTTGATCGCCCATTGTGGCCCCACCCGACCCCCGGGGGTCATGATTTGAACAAACTTGAATCTACACTACCTGAGGATGCTTCCATATAAATATGACCAATCATGGCTTTGCTGTTCTTGAGAAGAAGATTTTTAAAAATTTTTCCTGTATATTTCCTATGTAAAACTTTGATTGCCCATTGCGGCCCCACCCTACCCCCGGGGGTCATGATTTGAACAAACTTGAATCTACACTACCTGAGGATGCTTCCACATAAGTTTCATGTTTTCAAGAACAGTGGTTCTTGAGAAGAAGATTTTTTAATGATGCCATTAATTTTTCACAAATTCTTAATTATCTCCCCTTGGAAGAAGGCGTGGCCCTTCATTTGAACAAACTTGAATCTCCTTTACCCAAGGATACTTTGTGGCAAGTTTGGTTGAAATTGGCCCAGTGGTTCTTGAGAAGAAGTCGAAAATGTGAAACGTTTACAGACGGACAGACAGACGGACAGACGGACTACAGACAAAATGTGATCAGAAAAGCTCACTTGAGCCTTCGGCTCAGGTGAGCTAAAAACCCCATTTTCCATTTTTTTTTTTTATCATGTGCTTCGTGTTTCTTTTCTATCCGTTGTAACATTACGCACAACTTATCTAAATTTGAAGTGGAACTCTTCTGTTTATGAAGATTGATATGATCATTCAATATCATAAATAGAGCACATGGCACGTTTTCATTCACAAAAAACAACAGTACTTTTTGGTTTCTTGGGCTCAATAACCTGTCGATGCCACATTGTGCCCAACACAATCACTTAGACGCTTTATGTATAAGTACTTCTTACGGATAATTATAAAGCACTTTACTGATTACAAAATTTTTCAAGAGAAAAATACAAAACATTCAGACAAAATTGAACAACAAATATTTATCATCGTAAATTTTCTTATGCTATGTGGGCAACTTGAACGTAATTTTAAGTCGCCCACATGGAACATTAGTCGCAAATTGCGAGTGGGCGACTGTTAATTTCAAACTCTGTATTATGGCTTTTAAAAGAGTAACAGGCCATTGATTAGAAAGCTATTGAGTGATCATGGTGATATGTGCAGTAAATAAAGTCTGTTCAATTTTCAATTCAGTTTATTCTCACATTGCTTATAGCAACATAGAGAAATCGACATACAGCAATAATGTACAATTTGTATTAACATAGAAATGAAACTCTGTAATATGTGATTTGCTAGAAATTAACCTAATGCTTCTTTAAGCATGTAAATTGAAATTAGTTTGATTTGACTGCATTTAGGATACCAGTGCTTCAACACCTAGACTTAGAGTCAATAAATTATTTTAAAAAGAAACCTTCAACCTTGCTTTGTTCAGAGATCTGTACAGTTACAGGTTTATTTGGAGAATAGAGTATCATTGCAAAACTAAAACTAGGAAAACATATAGGATTACGTCTTTGCCTCTAAAATTCCACCAAAATGAGTATTGACATTACACTTTTGCAATAAAAAAATCTAAAATGGAATGCTCTTGTTCTTGGTCATTCAGACTCTCAAAATAATGGTGAGGAAATGTCAGAATCTTATTGCAACTATTTAAAATGTAAAATCTAATGCAAGAATTGTTAATGTGGCACTTGTAATTTTAAGACTTGCAATGTGTCAATTAGTGATTTGTAAATCTAGTTTTGTACATTGCATTACGATTTGCTAATGCCTATTAAGATGACCGAGGGTGTGGCAGAGTGGCAATTTGATTCACCCCTATGCTAGTTAGGCCATAGTCTTTCCATCTCATTATGCTCATAAATAATGTTTCTATGATTGATTTGCTGTTGACCAAATGCCCAGGAGTGAAACGGTTCACCGCAGTATCGATTAACCGTGGTATTTTTACTTGGTTTGATACACGATGCAAAATCTCCATCCACGTTTGGTTCAGTTCATTTTTGGGTTGGGATCGTTATTCAGTCAGGTTTAAGATAGGTAAAATACGTTACTCAGCATTATTATTTTATTTTAATTAAGTATTAAAACGTAAATTTTTGAGAACTGATAGTTTGTAAAATAATTTAAAATAGTCAAATCATATTAATCAGTTTCTTTTAGTCAATTTGCACATAAATTAAGTGGGTAGATTAGTTCTCAGTCACTCAATGAACAGAAAATGGAATTCAAAACAATAAATTTTCATCAAATGCCATTTTAAACATGGATAGATGCTCATTTAATGTAGTTAAGCATGTAAATTATAACCATATCATGTTCACTTGGGCTTCCCATGGGTTCCTTGTGGGGTAAAAAGACATACAAAAATATTGTAATTTGACCTTAAGGGCAAAGTCATATGTGGGTCTGTATGGTATGTGACACATTATCTTATATTATATTTCACCTATCTGCCAAATATGATAAGCCTAGCTTATATGCAAGTACAAACTCAACTGTACGAGCAGAAATTTATGAATAAGAAATGGAAAGGAATTCAGTGTATAAAATTGACATCAAACATATTATTTTAAGCCTGGATAGATGCACTTTAAAGAGGCTGGGGGGTTGTGGCCATTTTTAGACTATATTGATCTCCTTTAGAAGAAGAGCTCCATATGAAGATATAGAAAATGATCAAATTTTAAAACTAAAATTTTTGAAATTTTTCTTTGCCAAATGATAGTTGACAGCTTAAGATATCATATCTAAAAAATTAAGTTAAATCTGGTGGTTAATTTATGGTTAATTTGTTGACCCCCAGCCTCCTTAAATGTTATTATACATGTATTAAAGTAGACCAATACTCACACTATGTCACTAATGAACAGATCTACACTTCTTATTTCCAAGATGTGATTTTTTAACTATATTGGTTTGACTTTTACTTGGCGTTTTAACAGGTTGGCAAAAAAGTGGGAAATACTCATATTTACCAGGACAGTGGGAAATACTGGTAATTCCCAGGAATTACTGGTATTTCCCGGGAAATAAGAGATACCTTCATGTTTTATAACTTTAATCATATTTGTTTGGAACTATACATCTGCTTTATATTACAGACCTTAGGTGTGACTAACATAAGTTATATTGCCATTCAATATGTACAGTACACCTTATTAACTAATTAAGATATCTACCTGCAGGTATCACTGTCCCTGATATAAGAATTTCTGGTTTCCTAGTACTTTATTTTAATTAATCATATCACAGTATACTGATATCCCAGTCACAAGTGTCATTTGTTTCATGCTTGATCCCATTTGGATTTTTTGTGTAACAAGAAGGACCTAAGAAAATTGTTAAGTGTAGAATATAGTGTAAATATCAAACCTAAGAAGAAGCTTTTCAGATCTACTCAAGGTGTAATTATCTCTCAAAACACTTTTTACAGGATCACAGAACTGTCCAGAATCAATTTGTTAAAACAACATGATTGATTTTAAAAATACAGTGTTTATAGAAGGATTAAGACAAGTTTATTGTATTCTTGGATCTATAATTAATAAATAAACTTTATAATTTTACTTAATTACTGAAATGAAACTTGAATTAGAAAACTTCAGTTTTGTTCTTAAAATACAATCAGGGAAACATGTTCTGCAGCTACAGAATGCTTTATATGTGTAGTGGACCTGGAGTAGTGATTTGTACTAAGTAGGTTAAATTGCAGTTTGAGACATATTTAATTTTATTCATCTTCTGTTTTTATGTTCATTTTATATCTGAATTTTGCCTGAGATTAAATGAATTAAAGAAATAAAAATCTTAAATTTTGTATTTCCCAGTATTTCCCAGTTTAGAGAAAATTTGTAGTATTTACCGGGACGGGAAATACCGGTATTTACCACCGGTAATTCCCACCACTGGTATTTCCTGGCCAACCCTGCATTTTAAATATCCAGTAACGATTTTGCTATAAGCCAGTTGCATCAACAAACTTACGAACATTGCTTGTACAGTTTAACGAGAAATTAATTAAAAAGAGAAGGCTGGAAATAAATTTTGGTTGACAGAAAGACGATAAGGTAATAAAGATATAATATAAACGACATTTCTGTTGATTAGAATATGCAGAAAACATGGACCACGAGTATGCTACATGTATCAAATCGATGCGACAGACAGACTATTGTCAGTGGACAAGTTGAAGCTAACACTGATAGTTCGCAAGAATAGGAGTTGCTACGATTTGATAGTGACAAATTTTATTATTTCAAACATTGCAATATTCATCTTGAATAATAATTATCACATTAGAAGCATCCCCCCCCCCCTGCAAACCCAACACAATCACAATGCAAAATTATCTTTAGAATACTAGTATATGAAAATAGTAGATTCACTTGCAGCACACTTACTTCTTTAAACAGATCATCCAGTTTGTGAGAATGGGTCAATCACATTCTGATTCATTGTCTCTAATTTACTGACAAGTGTTTTTTTTATTACGTAAAACAAGATAAATTTTAGGGACAATAGGTATTGGGTGTATATTATTATTGTTTTAAATACTTTGTAAATACAGATATACACTCAAACTTAAACTGTATTATAGTAAAATGTGGCAATATCTTTCTTTGGAAGAGAAATTTCATGGGGGTACCTTTAATTCAAAGCCAATATCATGAGAAGTAATGTGTCAACATCAATTTTTGTTCAAATCATGACCCCCGCTTTTGTCTAGCTAATGTGCTCAGGTGAGTGATGTGGCCCATGGGCCTTTTGTTTATTCTTGGCCTTAACTTATGTGGCTCATGAAAGATATTTTGATGAAGCATTGTATTTTAACTAGAGGATGATTTTTTTCAGAAAATTTCAGATTTCCTGGCCTCTGTCTCCTGTCTCCAATTTTTAATTAGTTTAACTAAATCTTTTACGCTTTTAATATTTGAGGAAAGAACAAAAAGACCATATTATATTGTTTTAAAAATGTTACTTTTTAAACAAATGTCTAGTTTGCCTACAGAACATAAAACTTTTAACTAAATAAAGCAAAAAATTTGGAATCTTTTCCCCTTTTACCTGTATAACAGTTATATACTGTATCATGATCTGATCTGAATAAAAAAAAATTATTAAATTTTGGATAAATTTTACACTTTCTTTATTCTTGCTAAAAAATGCATTAGGCACCCAATTTCTATATAAAAATTTGTTTCCCCTGTGTAAGGGGTCCAGGCCTCTAGGGAGGGGCAAGTTGATCATTTAGAATGTACATTTAAGAACAAGGTGAATAAAGTGAGCAGTGTAGTTCATTAACTTGGTTTGTTTCAGACTACATATGGTGGAAACACAAGGAAAACAAAACAAAAGATGCCCAGTTCTGCTCACTGAAACCATGATTATTGCATTAGATTGTCTCATGAAACACAGAGAGGGGTGCGGAATCTCCTCATCGAACCCCTTCGTGTTTGCCAGCCCAACAAGTGCAAGTAACCATATAGACCCCTGGACATCCATGAACAGGCTGGCAAAAGAGGCTGGTTGTGAGCAACCATATCTGATTTCATCTAGTAGACTTAGAAAGTACCTAGCAACAGTGTGCCAGATACTGGATCTGGAAGACCACGAGCTTGAATGGGTTTCAAGACATTTGGCACATAACATTAATACTCACAAGCAACATTACAGGCAGCATGACGCCACAGTCGAGATAGCAAAAGTAGGAAGTCTCATGATGGCTGCAGATGAGGGGCAACTACGAAAATTTGCAGGAAAGAAATTGTCTGACATAGATGTAACAGGTTAGTGTCAGTTTCCTATAAATTAGAAACTTAAGTTATATCAATATATGAAAGTTTGTGGCATCTGTAATTAAAATGGAACTGTTGCAAACAATTGTTCTAAGCTCTTATATTGATAAAGTATGGTTAGGCAGGCATCAAGATTCATTATTTATTACACCCTTGCCCTAATAGGTGGGGTGTAAAGGATTCCTCTTGTTCATCTGTCCATTCAATTGTCTGTCCATCCTTCCATAGGAAGATTGTTTCCAGGCCTGAAATTTATGTTTGCTTTGCAACACTTAACTTCATACTTCCCACAAAAGTAGTTCTTGCATAGACAGTGTCATTAATAATTACCTTGAACCATTCATGGTCAGTGTGTCATGGTTAGTGTGGTATGAAAGATGCCAGAATATTCATATCATTTATAAATGAAGATTAAATATCTGCAGTATTGTTAAATCTTTTTTAAAACTACACATAGTTTTCATGACTTAAATCCACATGTTTGAATTTCTGTTGTATTAGGAATGACTATATATTGTATTGGGACACCTTAATATGATGTCGATTTTTTTTTTCAGAATTAGTACTACCTTTGGAAGATGGGGAAGATGGGGAATTGATTGATTCTGGGGTAAATGAAGAAGACATTCTTGATGCTGAGCTTTGTGGTAAGTTTGAAAATATATTTATTATACTTGTCACTGACACTGTGACACAATACAGATTGAAATACAGAGTAATTGCAGGTGCATGGAGCAGCAACAGCCATCCCAAGGTTGCCTATTTCTGAACATCAAAGCGGACACAATAGAATTTAAATATTTGTATAGTTTAGTTAACAATTATCAGAAAATTTGACATAACAGTTTTATCATTCAGTCATTTACTTTCATTAATTTTTTTGCTTTATTTGTCAATATTAAAGGGCCTATCCCCATTCCCAAGACACAGAAAATAAGCACTGGTGCACATAAAGTAGAAGACCAGGATGCTGGACTTTCATACCAGTAAGTAGCTTATTTTATATTCTTGCAATATCTTTTTTGACTTCTTTCTTTCACAAGTCATCAATTTGGAAGTACATTTACATGTACCTAGTTTGAAATGGGGGTTTGTACCTTTGAACCTAAAATACAAAACATTCCAATTTAAATTATGCTACATGTCTAAAATTTGACACAGAGACTTAAAAATATCACTTTTTTAGTCTGTGTAATATTTGGAAAACTGGTTAAGAGGATAGGTAACACATTACCAATCTGCTTTAATGTGTCAGGGACTTGTGCCATACCCTTGTACTCAGGTTTAAATTATACTCAAATCAGTAAATTTTATGTGCAACAATAAAATTTGACTTTCTCTTGTAGTGTAAAAATTTAGATATACATGCTTATCTAAAAGTATTTCAGTATAATGTAAGAAAAATAAATATGTCTCAAAAGTACACGATTTATTGGGACACCCCTCATAATATGAGCAGTAACCTTTTGTCATTTGCTCATCAGTAGAACTGTCATTGATGGATTGATATCAATGTATCATCGATTTAAAATATTTTGATACAATATCGACAGATTTTCTGAGAATTGATAGTATATATTTTAAATAAAATTGTGTAAAATCAGCATCTGGTTTAAAGAATATTGTCATATTTGCAGAGGATTAAGTTACTCTCACAGTTGCTCTATCCTGGATAGCAAATGTAAATGTCAGTCTGTTAAGGCAACTTATGCATTTCCCAACTATGCTGTATTGATGTAATTTCTACAACAGGGTTTAAAAAAAACAAGGTGTGTTTGTGAAACACTGACATATGGCAGCTAGTGGCAAAGGTTCCACAAATGCAAGTTGAACTCCCAAGGTTAAGGTACACAAATCAAAATTGTTGGTACCCAAGGGAAGATCTTGTCACAAAGAAAACACATGTGAAATATGAAATCCCTAGCACCAATTGTTCAAAAATTATTGCCAAGGGTAAAGCTTTTTGAAAGTAAGTCAAACTCCAAGGTCAAAGTGTATAAATTGTTGGTATCCAAGGGAAGGATTTGATACAAGGAATACACCTGTTAGATATGAACTAGCACCAAATGTTCAAAAGTTATGGCCAAGGTTAAAATTTTTGTCAAGTGGGTCAAACTTCAAGGTCAAGAGGTAAAAAATATTTGTACTCTAGAAAAGGACTTATCACAAAGGAATACACATGTAGAATATGAAAACCCTAATACCAAATGTTCAAAAGTAATAGCCAAGGTTAATGATTTTGTAATGTGCAAACATCAAGGTCAATAGGTCAAATATGTTGATAACCAATGAAAGGTATTGCCACAAGGAATACACATGTAAAATATGAAAGCCATAGCTCCAACCATTTAAAAGTTATGGCCAAAGTTTTTGCAGACAAACAGACAGATGGACAGGCTAAAAATATATGCCCCAGATTCTTTGATTATGGGGGATAAAACGACTATTAATTTTGTTTTCTTTTTGAACAAATTTGCATTAAATGCTAATTTTTTTTCAAACAAGGTCCATTTAATTATTTTTATGCCCCCGGATCGAAAGATCCCGGGGGTATATTGTTTTTGTCCTGTCTGTCTGTTTATCTGTTTGTCTGTCTGTCTGTTGTCAACTTTAACCTTGCCCATAACTTTTGATTGGTTGGAGCTATGACTTTCATATTTCACTTGTGTATTCCTTGTGAGAAGACCTTTCTTTGGGTACCATCATATTTGACCTTTTGACCTTGACCTTGGAGTTTTACCCGCTTTTGAAAAACTTTAACCTTGGCCATAACTTCTGAACAGTTGGTGCTTGGGGTTTCAAACTTCACATGTCTATTCTTTGTGACAAGGCCTTCCTTTGGATACCAACAACTTTGACCTTTTGACCTTGATCTTGGAGTTTGACCTACTTTTGAAAAACTTTAACCTTGGCCATAACTTTTGAACAGTTGGTGCCTGGGGTTTCAGACTTCACATGTGTTTTCCTTGTGACAAGACCTTCCTCTGGATATCAACCTCTTTGACCTTGACCTAGGAGTTTGACCTACTTTTGAAAAACTTTGACCTTGACCATAACTATTGAACTGTTAGAGCTAGGGCTTTCATACTTCACATATGTAATCCTTGTAACAAGACCTTCCTTTGGATACCAACCACTTTGACCTTTTTACCTTGACCTAGGAGTTTGACTTACTCAAAAACTTTAACCTTGACCATAACTTTTGAATGGTTGACGCTAGGGCTTTCATACTTCACATATGTAATCCTTGTGACAAGACCTTCCTTTGGATACCAACCACTTTGACCCTTTGACCTTGACATAGGAGTTTGACCTACTTTTGAAAAACTTTAACCTAGGGTATAGTTTTTGAATGATAGGTGCTAGGGCTTTCATACTTCACATATGTAATCCTTGTGACAAGACCTTCCTTTGGATACCACCAACTTTGACCTTAACTTGATGTTTTACTTACTTTTAAAAAACTTTAACCTTCACCATAACTTTTGAACAGTTGCAGCTAGGGCTTTCAAATTTAACATTTTTTATCTTTTGGCCTGGATTTTGACTTGCGTTTGAGAAACTTTAACCTTCGCCATAAGCTGCCATACAGGGGCATCGGTGTTTCACAAACACATCTTGTTTTTAATTAAATATACATTGGCAGATGTGCTCCATGTCTTTTGAAATATTCAAAAGAAGTGATGCTTTTTCTTATTTGATATATCGATATTGAAATCTTCATCAGTGAAAGAAAGATTTGTATAGTGCAGATATGTATGTATATATAAAAAGAATATCTTCTCTGAAAATCTTTTTCTTTTTTTTTAAGAAACCAACATGTAAACAGGAAGAGAAAAGTTGCTTTCAATGCAGAAATAGATCAAGGTATGAATGAGTGTGTTTCTGATTATGTTGAGAAATAATTTATCCAAGGGGATAAATTTTATGTGAGGGAAGTTTCAAGGCAATTAGTACTTTCAATTTATCCCATTTCACATGCTTTTCAATAAAACTCTTGATAGAGGATATAAACAATTCTCCTCATATACCTGTTTTAACTTGCAAGTGTATTATTTTATTCACTGAACTCCATTTATAATTGATTTACAGATTCTTATGAGGAAGACGAGGATTATGTCCCATCTGATAATGAATCGTCGGAAGAACCATCATGCACCACTTTACCATCAAAGAGAAAAAAATGGACTGTGGATGAGGAGAATGTCCTTAGATTTGAATTTAATAAGAACTTTAAAGATAAAAACATACCAAGAAATGCAGAAGCACTGAAAGTAAAAAACAAATACAAATTTCTTGCTGATAGAAATATTCATCAGATAAAGAGTAAAGTGCAACATATGCTGAGACGTAAATGAGTTAACAAAGTTAGGATTTTTGTCATGCAGTCAAACATGATTCTGTGATAAACTTTATAAACTGGAACAGTTACTCCTGAAAAATTAAATAAATTCCTTGGACTAATTTTTTGATCACCTGAGTTAAACTAAGATGTAGATACCTGTATGCACTCTCTGCTTCCTGTCTGCATCATTTGTCCCTGAGGTGTGACCTTATGGTTGTTTTTTTATTCATTTTATAATGATATTGTCAGCATTATGATATTATAATGTCTTATGTGTAACTTTTTTTGTTAAAAGTTAAGTGAACATGATTGAAATATTATGAGAGTATATACCCCATGATAATTATCTGCATCAATTGTCCCTGGGGTGTGGTTTGAAGTGCATTAGTGTAAAGATGTTATGAGTATGGCATATATTGCCTATATTTTAAAAGTATATTACAAATGCACGTTAGAAATACTTATAGTTTAAAAAGACAGTTATGTTACATATCTAATGGATAGGTTATGAAAAATGTTACAGTGTATTATATCTCCCCATTGGGGGTTAAAATCAAACACTTGCTGCATGCAAGTACAATGTGACTGTGGCACCTCTGGTTTTTAGCTCTACTGGTCATAGACCAGAAGAGCTTATGTGATGGCAAGGTGTCCTTTGTGTCCTTTGTCTTTTCCCTGTCTGTGTAGTCTGTCTGTCTGTTTCTCTCTGTGTGAACAATTTTCAAAATGCTACTTCTCCTACAGTTTTTGTCTCATTTAAATAAAACTCAGTACATATGTAGTCTGCATCAAGATACACAATTCTGACTATGGTTCTTGATTTCAATGAATGAAATTGCCATGGTTACAAAAATTATAATAATCTGTGAAATTGTTTCCAATACTAGTTCTACAGTTTTGTTCGATTTGAATTTAATAATTTCACTAGTAGATTGCATAAAAACCCACAATTCTGTTTTATCAGTTTTTGATTTCATTGAATGGTGTTGTCATGGTTATTAGTAGAATTATCTGTAAAATTCTTTCAAAATGTTACTCCTTCTACAGTTTTGTTAGGATTTTAATTGAATCAATTACAGGCTTAAACCAGTCGAGCTACAGTCTTATCAGAGACTTGCATATTTATAGACCATGAATCAAATTAGACTTTATAATTAAATGAAAAAGAAAGAATGCAAATTAAATATCTTTTCTTCAATGACACTTATTTTCAGCAAATCTTTTCTTATGTGTTGTTTTATTATTTACCAAAAATGGAAAACAATAATCCCTAAGATGTAATGTTTTATCAGTATCAAGAACGTTCACATTTAATTGTCTTGTGTATGAAATAATGCATGAAACATTTTCTTAACTTTGAGAAATAAAATTTAATCTTGAACTGATAAAAGTGTTACCTTTTTAGTGTTATATTACCTCTGCAAATAAAGGTGGCATGGAATATAGGGTTTGCCTTGTCTGTCTGTTTATCTGTGTGTCTACATGACAAGTGTTGATGAGGGATTGCCATGCCATGAGCATAACTTTGGGGGAGAACATTGGCTGCTGCTTATATTTGACACAGAGATGGACATGACCAGGGGTTTATCATGACCTTGACATGGTATTACTTGGACAATGTCACCAGGATAAAAATATTTTGTGTTTTGGCCTTTATCAGGTATTATTTAGAGGTCACAAGGAGAATTTGGTTTGGGCCTCAGCTGTACTAGAAAAGACCTAAGTAGACACACAGGTTACTTAAAACCTAATGCTATGTCATTTGATGAGTTCAGGGTCACTGTATGGAGTGTGCTAATCGAAAATCTACTTGATTTGGATCACTTGCTATATTGCTTTGTGTACTCTGGTGCAAGTAATTTTAAGTAATTAGGAAACCTCTTAAACCTTTATAGAATCAGTGTAGATTTATTTGAGTAAACATTTAAATGGAAACCTGTTGGGAATCCGATACCGTCCTCATTTACTAAGTTAGTATGGGATTTTTGCTTATTTTGAATTATTTCAAATTTTTTCATACTATATACTGTTGTAAAAGTGATTGTATCTAAGTTTTCTCCCCAATTTACCCACGAAACATCATCTAATTTCTATAAATTACGCTTTTTAAAGAAAGTTTTTTTTTAAAGTCATTAAAATTATTAAGAATATTAAAGTAACCATATAAAAGTAACTTTGGACCCCCCCCCCCCCGAAAAAAAGCACAAACTTTTAGCAGTCATTCTACGATAAGAGGACGAATTCAAAAAGTTAATTGATTTTCAGCGATATGCTATGACTTCTATGAAAAAGGATCCATGCATTTCTTCGAGAAATGTGGTTTGTTTTCTTTCTATTACATGAAAAACTTTTTAATATTCCATGCAATCTATTCTTAACGCTTATAGGGCTGAATTGAAATTTGTAAATGAATGAAGCGACATTAAGATTTGAAGTTGAATGCGTTTTAATCATTAAATTTACGCGTGAAAACCGCGTGCTACCGATGTTTAAGGAGGGGTAGATGACACAAAAATATGGTAATCTTTAAATATACCAATAAGTTTCATATTAGTTGAAGCAGTTTTTTTATTATTAGTAAAACAAAAACGTATATAAGTGGCATTCTCTCTAAATGTGCAGAAAGAAATTTCGAATGATCCATCAAAATATAGCTAGTGATCCAAATCTAGTAGATGATTGTCGATTAGCACTTTCCATATAGTGAGGGTGGGGTGTGATGAACTGTGTCTGGGACATTTCTGTGTAATAGAAACTTGAGAATTTTATTGTTGACACGATTTGAGGGTTTGTCCTGCACCTGACACAAGTCAATTGGACAGTTTGAGAAATTGTATTGATTGTATCGAGGTCATCAACTTTTGAAATTGTATTTTTCTTCTTCTGAATTCAACTGTTTCTTTTTTTTTCTCTTTTTTTTAATAGATTTTATTCACCGGTATTTGAAAGGAAAAACTATGAAATTCAATTAATTTCCTTGAATACTTTAGTTATTATTCTTCTGTTACACATAGCTTGATTGGTCAATTTACATGTACTGATGGTTACTAAAATTGTGGAAAAATCCCAGGAAAAAAATGGACACGCCACACGTATATATTCTTACCCACTATGCAATTGCTGTTTATGTTATACATGTATGTTACATATTGTTGTATCTATTACCCCCCTCTCCCCCTCCCCAAAGCATACTGGTATTAACGTTTGGTTAAGGACAGTGTTTAGGTCTGATCCCACTTTACACAAAAGTATTCAAATAAAACTTGCAAAAATCATAGTTCATAAGATATGCCTTGACTATTGCATACATTGATAGCTGCATCTTGCTTAAATATTACATAATTATATCAATAAGCATTGAATTAAAAATTGTATGCTATATATAATTGGTTTTGCATCCACACATGGTTTGTGGGATATCTCCCACAAAGAATATATATATATTGCTATGATATGGTTTGTGGGTTCCTACCCACAAGTATGTTATATATAATTATCTACTATAGATCGCTGTGGGACATATACCCACAATGTAATGACCCACAACGTTATCTATAGCTTTGAAACCAAATATGAGAAAACTTTATAATTTTTCTATATTTGGGATCTACATCAAAAACTATTCTTAAAAATGTGTTTCCTTTTGAAATAAGCCTATTACAAATGCAGGGTCCCATAAACCATGTTTATGTGACATGACCCACAAACCACGTCAAGTACGTATATATATATATATATATATATATATATATATATATATATATATATATATATATATATATATATATATATATATATATATATAGTCCGATAGTAAAATAAATCTGATATAACTGTGACCACTACACCATTATCTTTAAACAGTTTATTATTCAAGTATTGCCATCATTTGTAAGGATCAGGTGTTACGTTGTACACGATAACCTCGTAAAATGTGTAAATTACACATGTTTCATTAATGAAAATTGATCTCAAGAAATGACTGTATATCGATTTACAAAGAAACAAAGAAAATACTTCGTGTAACTATACGGAGTTCATGAAGGTGTTTTTAGTCAAAGCAAATAAAAATTAATTTTTATATCAATGCTGATATATTTCGTGAAGTACAGACCACGCGCTGTTTTGCAAATGCGACAAAAGACTTTAAGTGTGTGTGTGTTTCAAAATCTTCTTTTATAATCATTTCAATTCTTTATCTCTTTTATTTTCCCATTTTTCAAGAAACAAACAATAATTTAAAAGACGCGAGATTATAAACAAACAGTAATTCAAGTTTTAATTTGTCTTAATGATGGCGACTTTCAAATAGGTTTCAGTACTTCGAAGACATTAGCATCATTTTTTTATTATCAAAAAAATTAAAACTATGCATTAATAGATATACATTTCCCCTCCAAAATTATTAGAATAATAATTCTTCAATGGTTTTTAATTACATGTATTCCTTTTTTACCACTTTGGATGTTCATTCATATTAACGCATTGGACCATAAACAATAATTATTTTTCGTCAATTTTTTTTTTATTAATGCTAACGCAAGTGCAATAGCATCTATATATGAATCACAATTTTAAAAAAAAACTTACCAAAAGAAGAAAGAAGCATACTTCCACATGGAGAGTAGCATACATTATACATGACAAAAGTCAGGCGATTACAGAACAGATATACAATGCAGACATCCTTTCCTGTCGGCGCGAAATCGATCGTCTGCTGCAACGAATATGCCTTTCACTGCTTCAAACAACTGGAGATTTCAACAAATCTCTACTTTTGTGCAATAATATTGTAACAGATCAACAGTCAGTCCCTTGTTGCTTTCTTGATATCAGCCAGATACATGTCGCGAGTCAATTAGAAATTCGGAATGACCTTGTTTGACTTGCGCGACATCAATCAACTCGCACACTTCCGATGATCGTGATTGAAAGTGTTAAGATCGATCGATAAATTAATCAACAGTTAATCCGATAGTTAAATGAAACACTTTAATTTACTCCAAGCTTCACACAACTAATCAGAGATTAACAAGTTCACAACCTTTTTTCTTTCTAATTCCGGAGACAAATCATTTGAAAGGCGTAGTCTCACACTTGAAGGTGGGAGAGGGAGATTTTTCAGATTAAAGGATTACATATTCTAGCTCATTATATCTGGCTTTTGTTTGAATAAGCAATAGGAAAACTGGACTAAGTTTGATATCTATCTAAGCAAAGGGTTCTCAGGATACTAAGGGGTCAATATATTCTTATGTCCAGTTTGACCCTTCACTTTGACCTTGTGACCTCAAAATCTAGTGCTCTTCTACTCCTCAATGGGAACCAGTGTAACAAGTTTGAAGTCCATCAAGACAGGAGACCCATGGGCCACAACGCTCATTTGAGCGCATTCACTATGAAAAAGCAGAAATCAGCTCAGTATTGAAATATAAATGTGGTTCCAACTTTTGATCTTCTGTTGAGTCCTACCTCCAGGGACATAATTGGAACACATTTGTAACTACCCGAGGATGCATCTGAATTAACAAGACTGGCTGTGATGTTCTTGAGAAGAAAATTTTTATTGATGTTCTTTTTTATGACTTTGATAACTCTCAACAACAACAGTGACAGACGACGGACAGATCAGAAAAGCTCACTTGAGCCTTTGGCTCAGGTGAGCTAAAATGGGTTCACAATTCAACAGACAATATCTTCCAGTGTCTAGGGTAGTTTGACCTTGACCTTTGACCTGATCTATTCCTGAGAGTGAACAAGTGTATAAAAATTTCATGTATGTAAAGCAAAGAGTTTCAAAGATATTGAGCAGTCAATACTTCCTATGTCCAATTTGACCATTTCTTAAAACTTTTAAAGACCTAAAAATCAATAGGGGACATCTACCCATAAAGAGAGCCATTGTGCCAGATTTGATGTTTGTCACGAAAATGGTTCTTGATATGTTAAGCAGTAAATATATTTCTATGTCCAGTTTGACCCTTGATCTTTGAGCTTGTGATCTGAAAATCTACAGTGGTCATCTATTCCTTAGTGGTAACTAGTGTACCAAGATTGATCTTTGGCTAGCAAATGGGTTCTCAAGATATTGAGTAGTAGTTAATATCTTCATATGTACAGTTTGACCCTTGACCTCTATTGGAATCATCATCTCCTTATGAGAAACCATTAAATGGTTCTGGGGATATTGAACATAAAAGATATCATATGAAGTTTTGACCTCAAAATCAACAGGGCTCTTCTTTTACTCATGGGCACATATGATACTATATGACAATGAAGAATCACTGATGTGGGTGCTAGTTTAACTATTATGATTTTTTTTTTGAAGGGGGGGGGGGGGGGTGTCAGAGAAAAGAAATTTTTTTATGCACCAAATAGAAAAATATTGGATTGTACAAAGTTGGTATACCCATCCTAAAGGTTTTCTATATAAAAATGCTAGAAACTTTAAATTAAAACATTTCTAAATGTATGCATCAGGAGAAATTTTTGTTTTTGTATATAGAATATTGAAAAGTGGTATGCACAGAAGACTTATCATTAGGTTAACGCATACAGGTACCTTGAATAACATTTCTTTACTTCAAGCTCCACTCTTTGTCACATATTAACCAGATGTTAGTACATGTATATCACCATCATGTACATGTATCTTCTCCAATTTTATGTTAGTCTACTCATGAATATTAGTATTATAATATTCAAACAGCTTTGTATGGTAACTGCCATATTGTTGAGTGAACGTATTTTACAATACTATTTAAAGCATTAAAAACGGCTTTTCCCCTTCTTTTTATAAAAAAAAATTCATTTTTTCAATAATTGTTTATTTAACATGTATATCTCAGCATAATAAAATACAACCTTTAATCTATCAAATCTCTTTCCACAGTAAGGAATATACAAAATTCAACATTTTAAATAATAACAATTATTAATCCTGGGTTTCCATCACCAATGTCAAATGCACAGCATTTCAGTGATCAAATGTAAATGTTACTCTGTTTAATTATTATTCATAACAACTAACACTAAAAGAACCTTTTTTTAAGAAATGTGAAATAAGCTACACTAATAGAAGATTCACATTTCAAGAAAGCAAATTCAATTGGCCATTTTGAACTTTCTGCTCCAGACGAAGAGTTTAAATTGTAATAATGTTCATAATTACTAAGAGTAAATGTAAAGCTTTTAACATTTTCTTTGACCTACTTGGTCTACCTTTTCTGCTCTCATAAATGAGAAGAGTTCTGACAAGGGAAGTAATTAAAAGTTATGTGTTTTACATGTAATATATACCAGGTTACACAAAAAAAAACTTTTCAAAATTTTGGTAAAAAGAAAATATATACACTGTAATAACTAAATACCATCCAAAATAAAAAATTAAAAAATTGTATATATCAGTAGGTACAATATGTGCATGTATAAAATATCTTTGTGAGTAATTAAAAATAAAAATATATGCTATATAATTTCATCAAAATCACAAAGGTATAGAAATTTGTATAAAATAATGTTCACAATTTCCATTGATTATTCAGACATATAAACGTAAAGTTATTTTTCACAACCTTTAAAAATGCACCATTGCATCTTTTTCTTCACAGAGGTTATTTTTTTAAATAGGTCTTAACATGCATATCAATATAATAAAATATGCAAATGAAAGAGTAAAGTTATAAAAGTTTAACCGGTTTAATACTTTGTATCATATAGACTTCACATCAACAGCTTCTTAGCATAGCGTTGTATGAATACATGTATAGTTTCAACAGCTTTGAATGTAATACCATAAATGTGTCAAAAAAAGGTCAGCAATGTTAAATAACATATATTCATAAGTTCAAGTTTATATCACATATACAATATAAATATTTATCAAATATTACATAAATATTTTCTGCAATCTTCAGGCAGGCTATTTACAAAGCTGAGTGCTTGAGTCCACTCTTAACTTGTGAAAGACATTCTGACTTCCGCATTCCTGGTAATGGCTGACTTTTGTTTCAACCAAGTTCTATTAGTTCAGCCACTGATTCTGAAAAAAAAAAACCAAGAATTCGCAATATTTTCTTATACTTATCTTTATTTAAATGCTTATATAGAGAGGATATTCAATGTTTTGTAGATGAATATGGAATTTATTTCACGAGTGGGACAGAATTTTTTTATATTTTCACCAGTGCGAAGCATGAGTTAAAATATCAAAAAATCCTGTCTCACGAGTGAAATAAATTCCATATTCATGTACAAAACATTGAATTTTCTGTTTATTACATTTTCTTTGATTTTCCCTTTGCCTCTAGCTGTCTTTTCTTAACAGTGCCATAAGGCTTGACGTCATAGCTGAGTGGTAAAGACGTCAGAGTTTAGCAGTTGTGTGATTGAAAACATTACATAGCATTGAATTTAACAACATGCATATTTGGGAAGAAATTTGCAGTTTTAGCTCTATCAAGATGCTTAGTTACTATCTCTATCTTATGACAGGCCAGAAATTATTTTTTACTTACTTTGATATCCTTTCACACTGTGAGAGAATATCATTTTCAGGTATCCTTTCACACTGTGAGAGAATATCACTTTTATTCAATAAATAAATCACAGTATTTCACTGTTGAAAATGTAATAAATACATGTACGTTTAACTTCTATGCTCATAAATTTGATTTTCAAAACTGCATGTTAACTGAATGAACTGTTTTGTGCTACATGCATGTTTACAGTCTATATCTCTGATATATTACAAAGGTTAGAATTATGATTGTCAAACACAAAAACAAACACACAAAAACATATTAATATTCTTCAATAGCATAAAAAATAGTATGTATCACAGGCCTTCAGATTAAGCTTCAATCTGACTGCCAGACCAAGATTTATGTATGCCAGTCAGATAAAAGCAAGCTGAAAACCTATAGAATTTTCCTTCAGATGTCTCATCTATGCAAGTTTGGTAAAATCATGCATATTGTTACCAGAGAATGGACCTGCTCAAAAAAATTGGAACTGTGTGAAATTTGAAATTGGCCAATTATCAAGAAACATGTTGATCAGAGTGCAACATCATAAGCAAGCTAGGTCCTTTGAGCAAGTCTGGTAATTAGTATCCCTAATTGCATTATCCATGTAAGTTTGGTCAAAGTAGAGCTTATGGTTACCTAGTTAAGGACCTGCTCTGAAAACTTTGGCTAGATCATTCATCCTACATGTATACATAAAGGTCAAATGCAGCATTCAAAGCACTTAGCAAGTCAATATAATCTGATACTGTAAATATCTAGACAGAGGTTTGTCAGGGTACTAGGGATTATGTTACGGTACTTGAGACCTGCTCCAAAAAATCTCATGTTCAATCATTCAGAAAATGTTGGTCAGATACAGCATCCAATGCATGTCTCATAGTGTACCTCCTTAATTACACCATCATGCAACTCTTGACCAGGTGGGCTTCTAATTACTTTGGAATGACCAGCACAAAAAAAAATGAAAGAAAAAGTGAGCAAGCTCACATACCCCACGCTTCCCCAAAACTCGACAATGCAACACGTAATGAATGGCACAGTGCATTTTAAATACACAGTATAATTCAAAAAAGGGGCATTACTTGCAAAAAATCATCACATCAAAACTTCTTGCATATAAGGACATTCAAATCTTTGTATGTTACAAATTTAACTGGGCTGAAGTTTCTAGATAAATAATGGAATCAAAATTTCTTGGTAATATACAAATCTATACATTATTCTGAAATACCTACAAAGTTTCAGGAAATTCAGTGCCGGAATTATGCTGACAAACTGTTATTTAAATTCCTCAGTGATTTCGATTTGTTAATGAGTGTAAGTCCATGTCCAACACATGACAGTTTACACATTTAAATAATTGATGGAAACAAAATTATGATGTAGTCATATGAATCTGTTTATATACTGTACTTATGAAATTATTTAAGGCAAAGCACACCAATTTGAAGGGGGGGGGGGGGGGAGAGAACTATCGAAGATGGTGTGTGTGTGAGTGTGTGTTTGTGTTAAACCATTAATATTTTGATCTCAAAATCAATAGGGGTCTTTTAAGGTCATAAAATATTTCACATAGAATTTCATTATAAAAAGCTGATTCCAGTGGAGTTTCTTATTACCTAGCTGGAAAGTTTCTTCAATAAAAGGCAAAACTCTTAAGGCAAAAATAATGGAATCGGAATTTCCTGGTAATATGCACATCTACACACTGTGTACTAAATATCTGCAAAGTTTGTCCAAATTCTGTGCAGCGGTTTAAGAGGAGTTGTGCTGACAAACTGTTCATCTCTATATTCAAGATATGGCCAAAAACCTAAGTTGAAAAGTGCTGAAATTCCCAGAAAAATAATGGAATCGGAATTTCCTGGTAATATGCACATCTACACATTGTGTCCTAAATATCTGCAAAGTTTGACCAAATTCTGTGCAGCGGTTTAAGAGGAGTTGTGCTGACAAACTGTTCATCTTTATATTGAAGATATGGCCAAAAATCTAAGTTGAAAAGTGCCGAAATTCCAAGAAAATATAAAGGAATCGGAATTTCCTGGTAATATGCACATCTATACATTGTGTGCTAAATATCTGCAAAGTTTGACTAAATTCTATGCAGCGGTTTAATAGGAGTTGTGCTGACAAACTGTTCACCTCTATATTCAAGATATGGCCAAAAACCTAAGTTGAAAAGTGCCGAAATTCCCAGAAAAATACGGAATCGGAATTTCCTGGTAATATGCACATCTACACACTGTGTACTAAATATCTGCAAAGTTTGACCAAATTCTGTGCAGCGGTTTAAGAGGAGTTGCGCTGACAAACTGTTCATCTCTATATTCAAGATATGGCCAAAAATCTAAGTTGAAAAGTGCTGAAATTCCCAGAAAAATAATGGAATCGGAATTTCCTGGTAATATGCACATCTACACATTGTGTCCTAAATATCTGCAAAGTTTGACCAAATTCTGTGCAGCGGTTTAAGAGGAGTTGTGCTGACAAACTGTTCATCTTTATATTGAAGATATGGCCAAAAATCTAAGTTGAAAAGTGCCGAAATTCCAAGAAAATATAAAGGAATCGGAATTTCCTGGTAATATGCACATCTATACATTGTGTGCTAAATATCTGCAAAGTCTGACCAAATTCTGTGCATTAATGGTTTATGAGGAGTTGCGCTGACAAACTGTTCATCTCCATATTCAAGATATGGCCAAAAATCTAAGTTGAAAAGTGCCGAAATTCCGAGAAAAAATAAAGGAATCGGAATTTCCTGGTAATATGCACATCTACACATTGTGTCCTAAATATCTGCAAAGTTTGACGAAATTCTGTGCAGCGGTTTATGAGGAGTTGCGCTGACAAAAAAACAGGACTGACGGACTGACTGACTGACTGACTGACTGACTGACACACTGACTGACTGACTGACGGACGGGTCAAAAACATTATACCTCACGCAACTTGTTGCGTGGGGTATAATAAAATAGAATGGTCATTCATCCTGAAAATGTAGGTCAGATCCAGCATCTGAAGCAAGTCTGCTAGCATGCATCCTTGGATGCATCACCCATGCAAGTTTGGTTTTTGTAAACTTTCAGTAAATTGACTGGACTTCATTGAGGTGAGCTAAAAATTGAAGGTGAGACATAACTTAAACATCTGAATGCACAACTGACCCTGAGATAATGACACAAGTTTTTATCAATGGAGACAAGTAATAAGACAGCACTAGCAGAATCAATGATGAAATCAAAAGTTAAAGCCAAGTTACGATTTTTGTCAACCAAGCAAAAATCAGTTTTGTAAACCAACTTTCTTTTTATCTGCATCAATTAAAACTTTAGATTTTTACAATTATTGGGAAAATGCTTCCTTGTTATCTTAAACAATATTTATTCTGTGTTTTGAAAAGAATACCCTATATTTTGTCAGAGGGATTGTGAAAGAAAATCTACCAATGTATTCAAATGAATAAGTGAGTGGTCTAGCCTGGGGAAATGAAAATACAAATGAAAGAAAGTTGATTTTCAGTAAAACTATACTTTTCCCTTTTGAGATACCACAACCACAAAATATTATTAATTCATACAAAGAAACAGTATATATACATCAGTGCTCCAAGCTGTAACTAAAATGGCTGTATTTATGACTAAAAATTAATTCTGTGACAAAATTAAAAGCAACTCGCATTTTCGAAACTGAGAAAACTTTGGCCGACAATTGTCCATTCTTACCTATCAACAAAATTGTCCATTCTTACCTATCAATTGTCCATTCTTATGTGTGAACATTGCAAGGACTTAGATTACTTAATGTTATGACAGCATGCTTTGATATAAAGTTTGGTAGAATGTCATCCAAACATTTTAAACTTTTTTTAGAACCAGACCTTGTTAATGAAGCATTTGTTTGCATATCACAACTAATTAAGAGTGTTATGCTGTATTCACAGCAACTCAAAATCAAACTCCTTGCATTTCATTTGATTTAATTTTACAATTGTATTTCTAATATCAGAACTTGTGGTCTTCTGTGTACTCTGTACAACCACTGAGGTGGTTGTACTTGTATTTAATAACAATACATGTATATCATAAGTGTTTCCTTCAACCTAGAAAATTGTATATATAGTCACACTAATGAATAATCTTTGATTTGATAAAGACTTAAAACATATATGAGTGTTTGTTCCTTGTTTCATAATATACTTTTGTTCTTCACAAAATGTTTTGCCATGGTGAGTGAAATATTTGTTGGTGGTGACCAGAAATTCTGAAATGGCAACCAAAAAAAATTTAGGTCGCCATTTAGCGACTTTATAGAAAGTGAGACTTGGAGCACTGTACATGTACTTGACAAATTTAATCTTATCCTATTTGCAGTCAAAAAAAAAAACCCACAAGAAGCATGCATGCAGAACAATCTACCTTTTTCTCTTAGTTTTTTCCCCTTTTCTGTAACTACATTTAGTTAAACAAATTAATTATTTTCAGTATAGTGTAAAGAATTAGCAGTATAATAACTGTGACCTAATATTTTAGAGTAACAATTCATTATGATACTTCATCAATATTTAAAGAAAAAACAAAAATACACTGAACACACTTTGGGTTTTCGGTTAGAAGTAAGATGATGTACTGTACAAAATATGACAGTTTAAACAGGAAAACTGACAGTCATATAGGCCCACTCAGTGTACTTATATGAATAATCTTGACCTCTTGACCTGGAGTGGCCTTTAATAGAATCTATGAAGGAGTCTCTTTTTTTTTTTTGATTGTGTATATGAAGAAGTCTGCATGTTGAAATATTAATATACTCAAATTTTTGGATCAGGCAAAGCATATTTTGGTAAAAAACCATTCTGCTCTTGACCTTTGAAAGAATGACTTCAGATGCAAGGTGTGTTTCCATTGTTCACCTCTGTAATGAAATGACTTTAAGGTCTGATGATACGTTCCTTGAATAACTGTTTTTGTATGTTTTGTATGTTTTCATAATGTCTTAAAACATATATAAACAAAAATTACTATATCAGCAATATTCAAGTGATTTCCAATGGGATTATATAATAAATACCATCCTCTGGAATTTGCACAAATGCCTGGTAATGTACCTCAATTTTTTTGTGAGAAAACTGGTTTAAGTAGCAACATTTCAATCATGAATTCTTGAGGAAAATTATATATTACTGAGGAACATAACGTCCGTCCTTTAAAAAAAAAACAGATTTCCTATACTGCAACACTGGTCTTTGGCCTTGACATTGATTCTCGAGATATGTTTTTTTTAACTATGTTTATCCATTCATAGTTATATACACAACTTACTATTACTTTTATCTACCTGTACCTACATATTATAAAGCTTGTCATTTACAAAGTACGGAATTTATTGCATCACAATAGTCATGTCATTGTTTATAATCATGACCTTTGGTGAAGTGACCTCAAAATCTACTTCTCTCTGACCACTCTCCACCTAAATTCTACATATGGAGTCTGTAGGTTCAGGAATGTCCAAGTCATTGCATCACAAGGATCCTAGTATCAATAATCTTGGTTTTTGACTTTGACCTTTGACCACAAGTATTTTTGAAAAATACAGCTGTCTGATCATTTTACGACCTATGAAGTAAGTATTAAGTCTGAAAATTTGAATCTGGGAACTTTTTAGAATTCTTCTTTGTTTTCAACATGAAATAATGACAAAATCATCCTTTAAAATATACTCTCTTAAATTTTTTTTACTTACAAAATCACTGTTAGTCCTTCCATTTCGTACAGTAGAGGAGGATGGCTGAATATATTCTCGCACCCTTTTAGCCCAAGCTCTGCCCAATGTCCCTGTAGCAGGAATTTCATCATAAATATCCTCTTCCGTGTCAATATCATCAGTTCTTCTGAAAGACCTTCCTAGATTTGATGCCCCAGTCTCCCTTCTAGAAGTCCCTAGATTATATTTCTCTGTCAGGGATCTATTTGTTCGCATCTTTTCTAAGAAATCTCTCTGTGCTGGTGCTGTGGAACCAAACCTTCTGACTCCTGCACTTTCATTTTCGGGTAATGATTTCCCGATGTATGGGGTTAATTTTTCTTTGTGTTTATTTTTCCTGTATCGTACTCCTGATTCTGGCTCATCTACTGGTTTATGACTTTCTTCAAGGAATCTTTTTGATTTCCTAAGGAAGTCCTCATTATCAAAGGTAAGTTGCCTTGACCTCTCCAGATTGTTAGAGTATGAGTCTCGCATCACTGACCTGCCCATTATCGAGTTTCTTAATGACATCCGTATGTCATTTATTTGTCCTGCTCTATCTTTAGTTCCTGTAAACAAAACAATCCATTGGTCCTGACAATTAAAAATATTATTGCCTGTATGATTTACAAATTTAGCTAGGTGCCAACTTTAAATGCAATATTGTATACTTATCAGCTTTTCCCTGTATCTGACCAGGAATCAAGCTTTTTAATGTACCCCAGACTTACTGATTTGGAAGCTTCATTACATATAATTTTTACAAATTTACACCAAAAAAATTAAATTGATCCTTGTAACTACCAATATTAAGACATCTGTTGCAAAGATTGTTGTTGGGGGGGGGGGGGGGGGGGGAATTGTGGTATTTTAAGTTTCCTTCTCTTTCCATCAAAGTATTGGGGTCTAGATAATATGGTATACTTCCCACTTTTCAAGTCCCTATGATTTCACCATTGGGATTCCATTATTGTCCCTGCTGGCTTTATGTCATAACTCAAAACAATATAATAATGAAAAAAAATGAAACAATTATATGTTTTCTTTGCCATTTACCTGTTTCTGCAATGTTCTTGATCTGTTCCCTGATTAGAGCTCTCTCTTCCTCTTTTAATTGTTCTTCTGTTATTTCATCGTCATCTGGGTAATCTGGCAGTGGTTCAGCCATTAACTTCTCACAGAACTCTAGTGCCATTTTCCCTTTGCTTTTCGTATTTTCTGTCATATCCTTTCCTTCATCCATTTTCCTCCTCCAGGGATTAGGGATTTCAGTGATAGCAATAAGATGCATGAAGGTTCCCCATCTAAATTATGAAATATAAAAACATGCTTCATTAAAAAAAAAAAGACTTTCCCCATCAATTACAAAGTAAACAATGAATACCTTTTCATGATAGCTTTATGAACATATACAAGTAAGTGCCAAGTTTTGTCAAGTAAGTGCCCTCTATAAAAGGGGCATTTTTAAGTATAATTTTAGCCATACTAAATTACAGATATTAAACTGGTATTAATCACACGAAATATTAGTATTATGCCACTTTTGTGTGCAAATTGGTTTGTACATCAATTGTGAAAAGGTGCCCTATTCTTCACCATGGTCACTCTGGCATTTTGATAGCAGTGTTTCACCATACACTGTTTGTAGATTTTTCTATGCTTACCTGTGAATGATCATTCCAATGAACTGAATTAACAGAATAAAGAGGAAGAATATGACAAACATCAGACCAACCACATCAACTTTAAGAACATTTTCTGCTCTCTGCTGATCTATATCCAGATCCTCCTCATTTGTTCCAGACTTTAAAAATACAAGATTATAACAGTTATAAAAGCATTTCACACATTTAACTTTTAGTTTTTCTTGCTTCATGAAGCTAATTAGATAATAATAAACTGAGTTTTATTTATTTTTTTTTTTTACTTGCAAACAAAAATGGATGCCCCCCTTCCTTTCCCTGGCCATCACTGGTTTATCAAAGAAGCATAAAAAATTATTTCTCACCATAAAACCTTTCACTTTTTGGGACTTCTCATGTCTAAAATTGGTACATGTACATGAACCTTAAGTTTACTTACAGGTAATGGAATAGAAACAACTGTTGGCTTCCTGAGTTGGAACATGAAATTGATAGCAATCCACAGAACATTGATAAGTGCCATTCCACCACAGACATTATTTCGCAGCTCTATCAAAGCAGCTTTGTCTTTTTCCTCTTTATCTTTGTTCTTTTCCAAAGGATACAAATACCTATTGTATAGAAATGAATGCAAACATCATTACAAACTAAATGGTGCAATAATATTTACTGAAAACATCACATAGCATGGGATACAGAAAGATCCCTTCTGAGTTGGATAAATATCACTTACTTATCCACAAAACCTTTCCAAAAACTCTGTTCCTCATGATTCATTTGCATCATTTCTCCTCCACTGAAAGTGTCTGTCTCTATCCAGGCAGGATTGATAAGTGGATTTCTCTCTTTCTTTTTCTTCTGTTCCAAGTACAGCTCTTCGTCAAAATCTTCCATTTCTTTCTCCTGCAAAACATTGCAAGAAGACGCTTTTATTATTAATAAATCACCCAACAAGTGATGCTTAAGTCAATAGCAAACACTTGTTTAATGTCCCTTCAAGAATTTTTCAGTCGTACCAAGTCGTCACCACTTGCTGGTGGAGGGCTGCAAATTTAGACCTGTACTCAGCACTTATGGCCTTTGAGCAGTGAGGGATCTTTTACATGCCAGCACCTAATGCAACAAGGGACTTCTGTTTATATGCTCATCTGTAGGACAGGTCTCCATGTCACAGACTGGGTTTGAACCCATTACAAAAGGATCAACTCCTTACTCCATGACTCTAGAGCAAATGCTCTTATGGCTACGCCATATACTCATACATCAAAAGAAGACAAATACAGTCAAACCTCGTTATCTCTAACTTGATGGGACTGAGAAGAAGCTTCAAGATATCCAGGGATTTGAGTTTTTGAGTGTAAAATACTTAAAAAATAAGTGGATGGGACTTCCAAATCACTTCAATATATCCATGGTATTCGAGAGATCAGTTTTCGAGAAAACAAATTTAACTATATAACATAAAACAATTAATTTAAGGATCTTTATGTTTAGAACCCCCCCCCCCCCCCTTTTGAATGTTGAATTTTGATGAAAACTGCCAAAAAAAAAAAAAAAGATTTTACTTGAAGCCTGATGTATCACTCAATTTATTGAAAATATAACATGTAATAACAGTTATGGGCCAATGAACCTCACAACCTTCATAAATGCAGCAGTATCCTTCATTCAGACAGATTTGTCTCACTTCATAATATGTACTGTATAGATACATGTAGTCTCTTTTTCTGTATTAACTTCCTAATTTTGGGTATGGTGTACTTTTAAATTCCTACCTCATTTTTTTCTGCAAATCTAACAGACTTCTTTTCCTTCCCTGGTTTTTTCTCTTCCACCACCACTTCTTCCAATCCAACTCCATCTTTTTGCTTGTTCATCTTCTCTAAATTCTCATTCATTTTGATCAATACTTCTGTCAGTTTATCATTTTCTTTTTTATTTTCTGTACTCAATTTTTCTGTGATCGTTTGCTTCAAGTCCTGGACAAGGTTGAAAAATGGGAAAAATTTATTCCAGAAAGATTCCTGCTTTTTCTTCTCCTCTTTCTCCTTCTTCTCTTGTTCTTCTTTTGCAATTTCTGCTTTTGTTTTCTTTTTTGGAACCTCTCGAGTTCCCCAGGATACAACATGGAGGTTGGTCAAAGAATAAATGACCAATACAAGAAAACCTGATGGTACCCACAAGAAATATAACACTCCATAGATCAAATTGTGAAATTCTCGGGGGTGAAAAGCTGCTGCTATCACAAAGATTAATACCAGCCCAGACAAGAAAATAACACTTGGATGATAAGGAGTCACTGTGGCTGCTGTAATAATAGCCCCCACAAAGACCACCATCATGATGAATACGTAAACTCCACTAAGAATCTGGGCCACAATCAGCTGTATATTGGGTTTGAAGACAAAGCAGATGATAAAGTACAGTATTGCTGGTATGAGGGAGATTATGTAGGATGTGATGAGATCAACACTGAAAACAGTCAGGAGGGCACCTGCTATCATCATCAGAACTGTTGCTGGACCAATAATGGTGGATACCATTAATGCAGCTGCAATAAAATGGCCAAGAATCAAATAAAAGTACTGTAGATCACTATAATTTCACTATTTTCATGAGATACTACTGTGAAATCACCAATTTTCATGGAGGTTTAATTTTCATTGTTTTCGTGGTATTAAGAAATGTTAAAATCCCATACTGCAGCATGTTTCTCCTTTATCCTCAAAATCAAATCCCCTCTTACCAGTCATTTTTCCTCAAACTATGAAAATTTGACCTCCACTAAAAATAAGTGATTTTACAGTACATGTATTTGGTATTTATAAGCTAAAGAAATTTTTCACAGACTGTGGTTATTGCTGTTTATAATGATTAAAAGTACAAATATAAACAGGAATGAAATTCTCGTGAGCAAACAGTCTTGTGCAATTATGCGAATATAAAGTTCTCGTGAATAAAAAGTGATTTAAGGTTATTTTGAATACCATATCTTATATATGTTAAATATGAGGACCTTTCTAGTCTCAAATTGAAAACATTCAAGAAACAGAGTAAGAATGTTTTCCCAATAACTTCTCATTTTTCTTTTATGCTAAGATGAACCCCTTTTTGGTTTCTGTATGGTGAAAAAATAATTTAAGATAAAAAATAAATAATTATAATAATTTAATTTTTGCTAAATTCATGCTCTCAATAAATCAATGGATTCAAGAGACATCTTTTTAAAAAAAAGTTGCTATAATACTTTTTGAGACATACTTGATATATGAATTAATTCAGACACATTTGATTAAGTACCTGAGGAAATATCATCAAAATTAAAACAATAGTGAATTTATAAACTTCTATATACAGTGTTTTGAAAATTTACCCTGGTAGATGATATAGAGCCAGCTGATGTTGTTATTGGAGGCCACTGTGTTACTGCCATCTTGTAGAAGATCCAAAATGTTTGCAATGGTGGAAGGTGTCCATCTTCTCCTCTGATTGAAGTATTCATTGAAGCCCTCTGGAGCATATGTGAAAGCATCTGATGCTGCAGCATAGTCCACTCTGTATCCCTGCTGTAACAGAAGCGTGCACAACCATCGGTCCTCACCTAAACATCGATAAATGATATACCATTAATTACATTTCTTTGTAACCATTCAAGGAGAGGGTTAGGATTTCAGCTAAAGGAAGAAAACATTAATATATACAACTTTCCATATCAATTACTTTTTAGTTTTCTCAACTGAAAATCAAAAGAATGAAGTTTCTTGTGAACTTTGTATTTCCCATGCAATGAATGTTTATTTGTTTTTGAGGTACAAAAACATTTTAATCTAGTGTTCAAGTGCCAAACATGATGATCATAAAACCTCGATGAATTACTAAACAAGTTACACTCTTCAAGAATGAGTAGTTTGTACTGTACAATATATACTTGCCACTTTTTCCATTCATTATTTCTTTTTCACTCATGAAGTAAATTACCATCAATGGACTTTATTTTCCTCAACCAGAAAATTGTTTTTTTTTTCATTGTCAAATTCCTGAGTGAGCATATTTTACCTTGATCATACATCAGATGATGTGATGCCTCTGTTGGCAAAATGGTATACTTCCTCATCACATTGTCATCCATGAGAGCAGAACCGCGAAACAAACTGAAGCATCCTGGGGAACAAAGGACACATCCCAAGACGTGTTCTGTGGCCTTCTGTAGCCAGTGAGCAACGGCATACTCAAACTTCTGGTACCAAACCATGGGACCTATAAAACAGATCAAACGTGTTAAGTGTTGTACACTGTAAAGAAATGCTATGTCTGGTTTAGTGGCTTTATATATTACACACACATGCTAATACAGCTAAAACACAGGATAAGCATTAGAATAAGCTTTCATAAGAACATCACTTAAAATCACTTATATCAGAGAGATTAAAGAGTTAATATAGTGTCAGAGATTCATTCTGAGAGGTAGAATGCATGTATAACATGTTATCTGTAAGACAGATGCATGCTAAATTGCAAAAAAATTCACATCCTTGGTAATAGTCATATCTTTATAACCTTATAACTTTTCTCTATATTGTGTAGGAATATTTTAACTTTGTAGTCTGAAAATTACCGCTGCCAATAGGGTGAATCCTCCCACATGATGCTCCTACTTTTGGGTTTTTCCTCATTCTATCCAGCAGTAACCTAACCGCTCCTGGTGTGAAATCTACATCTCCATCCAGGGCGAGGAGGAAGGTATTCTCAGCCTTTAATTATGAATAATTTTAAAAGTTTATCTATCAAAGGAACGACAAAAAAATATGTAATCAGATTACAGAGTTCACCTCAATGAATGTTATCTTTTAGTAAGGCAATTAGTCTCCAACTAAACTAATAATCTAGTAGTGTGTATCCCTATATGCAACATACATGTACATGCAATTTTGGTCTGATAGGGCTTGCAGTAACTTGAAGCAAGTGTGAGAGTGTTCATTCCTTGATGCAATTCCTCCATGCAAGTTTGGTCTATGTAGGGCTTGAAGTTACACTGGAATGAGACTGCTCCAAAAACTTTAACCTAGTCACTCATCCAGAAAATGTTGATCAGATCCAGCATTCAAAGTAAGTCCAGTAGTGTGCATCCTTAGATGTATCATCCATGCAAGTTTGGTCAACATAGGACTTATAGTTATTTTAGAATGAACCTGCTCCAAAAACTTTAACCTGGTCACTCATCCCGAAAATGTATGTTAGCCTTTGGCTCAAATGAGCTCAGATTTTGTTAATTTTTCCAATAATTCTATAATATCACTAAAACTGAATCACTTTTTTGTAAATTTGATACCGATGATAAAAAATACTTGTACATTTTTTTTAACAAACCATACAAACCCTAAATAAAACCTCCTCATCCAGCATTTGGAAAATTTGACTTTTCCCAGACAAACCAGTCACATTTCTAATGTTTTCATCCCATGATGCAATTCGTGAAAAATCCTGTTTGTCAAGTGCATCCAAAACCAGAGTTTGACATTCCTTGACAATTCGATACCCCAACAAGTAGTACATATACATCACCTGCAAAACATTATATGTGCTCTAGTGTACATATTAGAAGGACTGCACTGAGTGCATTCATCATCTATATCACAAATAATTTCAAATTGAATGGAAATGAAGCATTACAGTGTAATACAGTGACTAAGAACATGTTAACTAGATTTAAAAATGTTTTGTATTGAAGAAGCATTCTACCACCTTATAAACATGCATTTGATAGTGAATTACAAGTTTGTTGTTCCAACAAAAGTTTAGCTCACAATCAGTAAAATCAATGCAATTAAGTTTGTGCCTTAATTGGTTCATGTAATTTTATTACAGTGGAACTTGTCTAATCTGGGTGTTGTGTATTCCAAAATTTTGCCTAAAATGATGTAAACATTAAATCCCTTTCAATAAATTCAATTGCTTAAAATGTTGTCTAATGTAAATATTCCGGAATGTTGTCTAATCTGGCCAGTTTCTTTGGAACCAGTGGTGTCCAGATTAGACAAGTTTAATCTGTACTGCAACATTCTGGTTTGATATAAAAGAGTTAATTGCGAAAGAAAAGCTTCTCTATATCTCATTTATACATGTACTATATATAATGCTGTATGTTTTTTTTGGTTACAATATTTTTTATCTTCTTCAACCTACCTGTGACCATCTTTTCCTGTGTCTGATCTTAACTTTGTCCTTCAAATGTGTGTAGATAAGGTTCCCACCTGGCATTGTGAAAATCACCTGACCACCATAATTAGACGGAATAACAAAAGGAGGGGGCAGTTCTATTAACTTGGAATGTATAGCACTGAAAGAAAATTTATCAACATCAATGTCTTAAATTGATTAAGAATCATTTCTTGACTATATACTCAAACACATAAAAACCAGTCATCATTGGGAAATTCTAAGCTCGGGTCTTAATAGAAGTGAACTTTGAAAATCAATGTTTCTTAAAATTTTCATTCTCAGACAATGTACAGTCAAACTTCATTATCTCGAACTCAATGGGACCGAGAAAAAACTTCGAGATATCCAAGGATTTGAGATATCCGGGTAAAATACTTAAAGAATAAGGGATGGGGATTTCAAAATCACTTCAACATATTCGTGGTATTCGAGATATAAGTGTCCGAGATACCGAAGTTCATCTGAACTGTATATTTGAAGTGATTTTTTTTTTTTCATATATGGTAAAAGTATTTGACTTAAGGACAGATGCTATGAACAGAGAAAAAGAAAAAAACAAAATGCATAAAAAAACAGTTGCAAACAAATGAAAATAACATTTAAATACATATACAAGGGTTGTCCCAGAAAAACGCGAACATTTTCAATATTTTTCGTTTAACTTATATTATAAAGTTAAATATTGATATGCACGATAATCAATATTTTTTACATAATTCATAGAAATTTCAATAAAATATCTCTACAAATAACATTTTTCTCTCTGATAAATGAATCATTGAAAATAGCTCCCGGCGCAACACTGACGATGTCAAAATGTAGCTCGTGGAGTTTTTTTTAATTTGTTCAGGAATCGTGCATCTTTAAAAATTTGTTCAAATCAGAAATTCAATACTGCATCTGATTTTCTTTTAGATACTGAGTTATTCATTTCACACATGGTAAAGTTAAGAATAAATCAAGGAATTAATTCTTTTAATAGACAATTTCCCAACCCCGATCATAAACCTAAGAGTTAACGGTGATCTCCACTTATGACGTCCAGCTCTAGACTTTTCAGTTTGTTGTCATTTTTGTTGGTCTACCAAACGCTTCTTCCATCGGATAACCAGTCCATCCATCTTTGAACCTCTTTTAATATGTATAAACTAGTGTTCGAGACATATCTCTGTCTCTTTCCTTCGTTCCAGCTCTTTTCCTGTATAAACAGGAGTCATACCCTGCTCCACACAGTACTGAGTGATAATTTGGTGCGTCACATTATCGTCCGATGTCACCATTTTGACAATATCTAACTAATAGTGTTTGGACATATAACGTCATATTTTTGTCATTTATCAAGTCAAAGTATTATTTTTTTACAAACGAGTACTCTGAATAGTACAGTTTCTATGGATGTAATTTTTGTCACATTATATTTCCTTATAGCTTTGTAATAAAGAAAACATAGATGACAATGCTAATTTTGAAAGTCAAGAAATTGCCATGCGCCGACCACTGATATTCAACACCCTTTCAATGCTGTTTCTAGATGCATATGACATTCCAACCTTATAGTATTTGGCCAAAATGACAAAACTATCATTTCCCAACATTGTGCCAAAAATTAATGATTTTGGTCTGGTAGTTTGTGAAATATTTAAAAACTTAGCGTTTTTCTGAGACAACCCTCGTACAATTGAACTTCGGTATCTCAAACAGTCTTTATTAGAATTTCATGTATTTTCATTAAAATATCAGTTATCTTCTCATCAAATGGAGCCACTTAATCACCAAGTAGTAAGAGAGTTAAATACAACTAACCTGGCTGCCTCATTCATTAACGAAGCAAACAATCTCACAAAGCTGTTGGGAACCATCTCCTCATCATCATTTAACTCAAAGGCATCATCAAACAGGATGTGGGCTGTAAAAAATTATATCTTAGATGAAAGAAATAGTTTTGTATTGTACTGAAAAGGGCATATTTTAAGTTACATGAATTGTATAATAAACAGGAAAACTCCAAAGATAGTATAGTTTAGACTAATCAAAAAGATTCAACAATGATGAAAATTGGTGAAATGACTCAGGATTTTGTTGTGAGCAGTAATAAATTATCTGCACACTTTCAAAATTATCTAAACTATAAGAATGCACAAAGGTATCAATAACAAATTTGAAAAAAGTTTTCAAAAAGTCAATTCTGAAGGTATTTTAGAAACATCTGTTAAATGCAATGCTAACATATGAAATAAGAATATTCTATTAATACCCTAGGCTAGTAAATCATTTTTGTTAAGGAAGTACATTTTTCAGACCTTCTGTCATTAAAAAAGTCATAAAAAATCAATTTAGCTTATGACTCATGTGACCTTGATGTTATCAAAACAACCATGACCAGGAATCAAGACATACCTTTTAGTTGCAAGAAATCTGCAAGGGATGACTCCTAGTGTTCATTCTATACAAATCAAGATTAACATTTCAAGGACCTTTAGAACTTCGGAACTTTTGAATTGTGACCTTAACCCTGTTAAAACTTTTGTTCAGGGTCTGACTTATCTTACATAATAAAAATCAACCCTCAGGCTAAGTATCATCTTTTACACTAATTCTTTAATAAAGTCATGATATAGCCAAGAATTTTACACTTAAACTCAGTGATCACGACCTTGTTCAAATGACCATAATGGTTGTAGGGTTGATAAACAACCATATATGTCACAAACAACCTTTATGTTTTAAATAAAAACATTTGATGAGCAAGGGTACCTTCAAACTCATAATATTCTACTTCCTGCATGTTTTTAAATCCTGCCATTTGATAAGCCTGTTTTCTCATAAACTGATCTTTATCCATTCTGAAAAGTAAGCAAAATATCACATTGAAAAAATTCTAGTATGGTACATTTACATGCATATATCACAGAAAATCTGTTGCAGTGAATATATAAATGATGCAATTTCTTTAAACATCTATATTGCAATTCTATAGACATGAATGTGTAAAGCTGTTGCTGTGATTAGAAAAAAAAACTCCATACCTAAACAGGGACTTAAGGATCTGGACCATTTCCACACGGTTTTCGTGCCACATGGTAGCACAAGCGTAAATCATGGGAGGAATCTCTTTTGACATCTCATTGCTCTTCTCACTGGCTCCCATTTTCTGGTCATCTTTGGTTAACCTACATCATTATGGTACATTAGTATCTTTCCAGGTTGATGACATCATTACTTCAGCATTACAATTTCAAAACAAACTTTTAAACATTACTCTGTAAATTGTACAGACTACAGTCGATCATCAAAAGTTGACCCTGTGCATCTCCATATGATTAGAAAACCTTTCAATCCCAAAGTTTTGATGGTTTACGATTTAATTCTCCATGTATAATTACTTAAATAATCTAGCCTTCTTTGTTAATAAATCCCAAAATTACACATCATTGTTACAACATCAAATCTTGGATGTCAAGTCTCAACTCTGATTTCTCTCTACCCCAGGTATCTCTATATTTTCTGATAGTCACACCGATGTGGTAAAAATGAAGCACATATGGAAAGAGTATCAAATACATGTATGAATAATTTTCTACACAAGTGAGTTAAGGCTAGGTATAGGCATTTCTATGCAAATGAGCTTTTAAAAATGCATAAGATGTATATCTTTTATACAGAGAAAGTTTAAATTTATTTTTTTATACATATTTAGTACCCACAACACGCTAAAGCTAGTGCATATTATAACATCATATTATGACATCATTGTTCTTGACCACTCAAGATAATAAAACACATCAACAAAATAGTGTCAACGCAAGGGCATATCCTATTTAATTTTAAATAGATAATATATAAAATTAAGAAGAATATCCTAAAAATTATTAAAATTGCTGCACAAATCCTATGCACTTTCTCATTTGATAAATTTTGAGGAAACTTACAGGGTGAATTTTTCCCCTGTTACAACTAAAAAAACCTTTACGAATAGTAACTATAAACATTTGCACTGTTGACATTTGAGCAACAATATCATAATTCCTTGAATATCCTTCTTCTATTTATACCCTGTTTCTGTAAAACAAAATAAGGTATGTCCTTGCGCCGAAGCTATTTTGTTGATGTTCCTTATAAACTTCTGTAGTAGAGAATGGTGACGTCATAATATGACATCATAACGTGTACTGGCTATCACGTCGTGGGTACCTAGTTTGTATTTGAGAACAAGTTTTAACTTTTTCTTTACGATAAGTATAGACCTTATGCATTTTCATCAGTTTTTTTGCATGGAAACGTCTATACATAGCCTTAACTCACTTGTGTAATGTATGCATATAATTCATGCAATAAAACCTATACAAACTTTATAACTGTTAATCAAGTCTGTGTTTTTCCTCAATAATAGGTTTACGCCAATGATATTTTCTCAAATTATAGACTTCTATACACTGTAGGGAAAAACTTACTTGTAGAGAATTGGTCCATCGGAGTTTTTTTTGAATGTAACAACCCGACGATTATGTCGCCTCCTGTTCATCACTAAATGCTGCTCCAGAAGAATGCCACAATACAATGGATTAAGGAACAACCTGTTCATTTAAGCAAAAACATCATGCATTTACTTCACTTGTTTCAGAGTCAATATGATATACTGCACATAGTATACCTCAGACAACCATTTGGCAATTATGAAGTAAAATAAAAATAATTCTTTTACCTCTCAACTTTGGCCAATCTCTCTTGTGTGGGATACCAAATATGCCGCCCAATCCAGTACAAAGAAATCAACCAGACTGCTGCTAGTGGAAGATGCCACTTTGGCTCTAGGATGTCATTATCACAAGTGGCCTCTAGTGTATGAATGGAAACAGACGAAAGGTATTTGGAATCTTTCCTACATTCAATTGCTAAAGCTATCATAGCAATTGGGGTTGACAATATGCATGGGATAGAAAAAGATAATTTCTGCATCTGAAGCTTGCACACTGTGTATGCCAAATAGTATCCTACAAAACCTGATAGAACTAGGGCAATAATGTCCGAATAAAACTTTGTCTTGTCGATTCCATTCCCGATGTCTGCAATTTTTGTCACATCAAAGTCCAGAGGTTCTTTTATCAAAAGATAAGCAAACAGTACTGATATAACAATTTTGAAAATTGATGCAAACATGTATATGAATGCTCTGCTTTCTTGCAAATCAAACTTCAATTTAAGAAAAGCCTGTTTGATCCGGCCTTTCTCACTCCAACAGACTTTATCATCTACAAAATTCTCCCACCAAGAAATAGAGCATAGCAGCATGGCTCCCACAACTTTCACAATCTCCAAAGCATTTTCCATGGGGAATCCTTTAGACCTATTATTTAAACTTTCATTCTGGTTTCCATGAATGTACTTGGTATCAGGAACAAGAAGCACAGGAATTGCTGACAACTGAACAAAAAATGCCACCAAGTCCAAAACAAAGGAGACTATCTTTCTACCAGTACTTTCCCCACCTCTTTCTGGGTCATTGGAAAAGATTGGTTTCAATAAGCTGGGAAAAATGACCATGGCGCTGAGGATGCCGACTCCTTGTACTGCTCCTAAGTCTGGGAGGAGACTGAATACCAGTAGACTCAGACCAATGGAGTGGAGGATCTCTATAATTACACACTGCAGAAAGAAAGAAAAATGATAAATTACTAGATGTCTCTACTAATAACAATAATTTAACAAAAAAGCCCTTGGGCCTTCACAGTCATCTGAGTACCATGCAGAATTTTTTTCAGATACCCACGTATATAATCTCATAATTTTTTACTATGACCTTCACATATAATTCCTTTTCAAACATACTGTGTGCAAGACAAATTTCTGGACACAATTGTCTCTCCATTGACACCATGTTAATTGATACTGGTCTTTGTGAATCTACAAATACATACCACAGTAATACTTCTGAAGCTTGGAAAGGGAAGATTTCCAAATAAACACTTCCACACACTGGTTACAAGAATAAGACCATATGGTGTGCACATCCCAATCAGAGTCAGCATGTACCGACTACTGGCATTCTTATCATGAAAAGACAAGATTGATTTTAATTAAGGTCAATATTAAGTAGGCCTAAAAACCAAATTGGTATGTTATGAACAAACATTGTAAGTATAGAGTTTCAAATAATTGTGACCTAAATCAATGCTAAAGTAATCTAAAAACATCAGTCATAATGACAATTTCTTTCTTCACTTGTATGCAGTACTGTATATATTTGCCTATAAGTTGTTCGCTTATAAGTCAGTTGCATTTTTTCAGATTATTTTGGATGAATTTGCCATTGACCTGCTTATAAGTCGGTACAGTTTTTCCTAAATCTTTTGCCAATTTCAAATGAATATTCTTTTGTATTTACCTGTGTTACAAAGAATGTTTTGGGGCAGGACATCGATATTTGATCTTCTATTAATGATTAAAACAAATAATTATATAAGTTCATTAAAATATGCCTTTGGTAACCTTAGATCTTCCTTTTCTGTATTAGATTAAGTTCCAACCTTCATGATTACTGTTGGAGTTGTTTCTATTTTATTTTTTTTCCATTTCCAAAAAAATAACAATTTTTTGAAACTCCCTTACAAGTTGGACATAGAGTTTTGGACCAAATTTATCTCCCAAAAATCTGACTTAAAAAAGTATATACAGTATTTAATATAAACAGAATAAACATTATATAAATAAATAATTACATACATTATATGTTTATATAATATAATGTTTATAAAAACATTATATAAAAAATTAAGTATTCAGATGTCAGATGAAATTTACATTTTTATCAACTTCTTTCTTTCTTTCTGCTCGGAATTCTGAGACAAGTGCGGCAAGACTAATTTTCTGAATGACCAGACAAGCCAAAAGAAAAAGAAACAGTAGCATGTAAGTAATAATCTTGATGACTCGCAGACTCATGTAAGTGTGTACATCCTGTCCTTTCTTCTCACGAGCAATGATTTGGAATATGTCCCAGAATCTGAAATGATTTATATATACATGTACGATGGTTGTCCATAAAGTATGTAGACAAATGCTACAATTTTCTTAATAATGACTACTCTGCGGAATGTGTATCAGATATTATTTTAATAGACAGACCCTGATTTAGTAAAACTATAAAAATTTGAACAATACAAACTATTTACAAAAGTCATTGGTGTAACTAGATTGTATATGCAAGCCACATGGCCCAGTATGAAGTTAGCTATAGTTTCAATCATGATAATGCCAAAAATATGGCTTTTGAATTTTTATCACATATTGTGGACATGAGCTATTTTTTTCATTATTATGCCACACTGCTATGTGTGTGCAATAATATTTACATATAGACCATAATTCAGTAAATTTTTAAAATTCGATTCAAAACAATATAAGATAATTTACGAGCGACATCAGTATAAACACTTCATATGTACACAGGCTGCACTAAGTCCAGTCTGAGGTTTCACTGGATTAATACCAACGTAGTGAATTGGGATATCCTATTTCATCAAATAACAGTGGTCTTCCTCTTCTTGTAGCGTCTCTCAAAATGTACACGCAGATAAAAATTTGTATACATCAACTTCAAATCAATGAACTAAATATTTTAGAATTAATTTCCAGTTGTCTGAATAATTACTTTGTCTCTGACATCTTTCAACCATATTAAGACATAATTTTATCATTGGATGCTGTTCCACTTGGATGGCCAACATCCCCTTTTCTGTCAATTTTTGAAACATATTTCTTGTGGGTTTTTTCCTTAATATTTTCACTATCTGTCCAGTAAGAGATACTAAAGATAACAGAAAATGATGACAACCGCTTTGAGACACATTTAATTATTATTAAGTTTTGTTTTGTTTTATGAAGAAAATAACCATTTCAATCCAAACACCTTATTTCAAAGTTTATACTTTAACCTTGGGCTGTGCGCACTATATGTGACCCTTAAAGACTATGCAGATTTTTACAAAAATATTAAGTTCAAACAACCAAAACCAAACTATACCGACTTGAATTTTTATAACAAATATTTTGGTATACAATAACTGAATCTAGGACTATATGTCATTGTTCACGAACTTTATGGACAACTCTCGTAAATAGTCGGTTCTTGCATATATCCTATTCAGAGAACTATTATAATACTGCAATTGGGATATTTAACCACAAACAGGAAGAACAACTGTATATAAACTTTAAAGAAAAAGTAACAAATCATTGCTAAATCAAGTACAGTGCATATATTCCAAAAGTACTGAATAGAGCTTATAGTACTATCTATTTTTCTCTCCTTGCATAAGAGGTAGGAAGTCATTTATGTGTTAATTGGATGAATAAAAGAAAATTATTGTAGTTCTTTTTGTGTGTAGGTTTCATATTCCTAATTTCACGCATCACTAATTTGAGCTATATCTGAGTTTTTTATTTAAAGCAGAATTATCTGTATATAAATTTCTTTGCTTTGAACTGAAATTTTCTCTTGTAACAGGTTTCACCCTCAAATATACATGAAAAGCTATTTGCACACCTTATAGTTGGAGAGTTTTATACCTGAGATGTTCTTTTAGATTTAAATTCATAACACTGTCTTAAATAAGGGTAATTTAAAACTGTTTACATCAAAAAGGTAACCTAGATCTTTTAAAAATTCCAAATACTGTTTGAAAGAACAAGGTACAGTTTCAATACAAATCTGGCCCTGTATTTTTCTTAAATATAAAAGTGAAAAAAATTAAAATTCATGCTTTCTGAAATGTTGAAACTCAATGCACTAAGATCAAACAAATTGTTTTTCTTATTTGACTTCCAAAATGCTAATTGTAATGTCATAAACTTGTGCATTTTCCCTTATTTTCTTAAAAAGTTGCAGAAGAGGTCAATTTCCAGTGAGATTTTCTTTCAGATAATATAGACCACATGCATCATCCACAAAGATTTTGAGAAGTGTGATTTTCAAAGAATTTTATACAACATATCCGAAAATTAAAGTTGGCGACGTCTCAAGGAAAATACCCCCTGGAATGAGTCATTTTGAGGCTTTTTCTGCTTAAAACTTACTAGAAAAATACGAAATTATTGACGTCATATTTCCAGAATGGTCCTCCTTCATGCCATATTCTTTCATGAATTATCACACTGATACACTCAACTCATATTTATGCCAATTTCAACACTTTTTGAAAACATTAAATTTTTAGGGCACAATAAAGCCAAACCATACCTTCTTCTTTAGCAATTTACAAACAACAAGAGGCCCATGGGCCACATCGCTCATCTGAGTAACTTTGGCCATGCTGTTCTTTACCAAATTTGCCCCCTTGTAATGCCTATTGTGGCCCCGCCCTACCCCGGGGGTCATGATTTGAACAATTTAGAATCTACACTACCCCAGGATGCTTCCATAAAAGTTTCACCTTTTCTGGTCCAGTGGTTCTTGAGAAGATTTTTTTTCATGACCAACCCTATTTTTGTCTTTTCTTGATGATCTCCCCTTGTAAGGAGACTTGGCCCTTTATATTAACAATTTAAACTCCCCTTCACACAAGGATACTTTGAACCAAGTTTGGTTAAAATTGGCCCAGTGGTTCTTGAGAAGAAGTTGAAAATGTGAAAAGTTTAGAGACGGCCGGCCGGCCGACGGACAATGGGTGATCAGAAAAGCTCACTTGAGCTTTCAGCTCAGGTGAGCTAATAAAAAGTGTTTTCAAGATTGATCCAGTACAAAACTTTCTAATGACTTGTGCAATTCATAAGAAAATTAGGCTATGACATGTTTCTGTGAGCAGCAATATCATGTAGCTTTTTTGTTGGAATCGATTGTTTAAATATCTAAATATTAAATTTACCTCAATCAGGGTCTGTAAACTTAATTCTCTAATGAGTGGAAAATATTTGAAATTTACTACATCATGATTGTAAGGCCATGCAGTTGTAAAATGCTTTTCAAATTAATTGTCAGAACCATCTTGATTAATTTGTTTCTTCTTTCAGAAACAGCATATGTAATTGTGTATTTGAAACTCCAACTTACTTCGTTTCTGGTTTGGGGGGTGGTCCAGGCTCTTTCTTTACTGAACCTCTCCTGGGAGGTGGAGGGGTGGGTGGGGGATTTTCAGTCGACTCATTTGATTCACTACTGGAAGATATACTAGACACATGTGTACCTCCAATGTTTTTTAACATTCTCGTGTCCTGTGAAACACAATTAAATTATAGAAGAAAATGTCATTTGTGCACTTTAGTTTAAAAAATAAATACTTTTGCACAGCAATCAATCCAGCCTCATTCACATCTTTCATATTCTTATAAATACAATGCAAACACATTGTATAGTTACATAAGATAAAGAATTGTTTATAGATAAAATAATTCAAATGTTTATGTAAACATCAATGTCATCATAAGCAAAATTACATGCCAAATTAATCCTTAATCAAAACAATTTAAGTATATAATCAATGTAATCAATGTAGAGATGCTTTTAATGTGTTCCAGTCAGTTTTATCACTAAAAAATCAGAGAGGTTACCGGAGAAGTTCTAAAAGATTTTTCCTTCATTTTTTAATAACGTAAGACTAAATCCCTTCCTCCAAAGACCACATTTTGAACAAAACTGTTCACAAATAAGTTTCCTTAAAAGTTTTGTCATTTCTAGCATGGTGGTTCTTCAGGAAAAGATTTGTACAAAGTAGATATCTCCACCCTATTTTCTCTTTGCCAAAATTATCTCCCCCTTGAAAAGGGTCTGCACCTTCTAATTCATTGGCACAGATTTAATTTTTCATCATCCATCAATGCTTTTTAACAAGAATTAATTGGCAATGTGATTCTATGGAAGAAATGGAAAAATGTGAAAAGTTAATTTATGCAAAATGGACAAATTATAAGACAAAATAGGAATGCATTTAGACAGAGTGATTTCAGTGATCTGTAACTCCCATACCCTGAGATTCCTAGCAAATCTATTATCAGCTGGTACTTCTTCCTCCTCTGTCCCCTCTGAATCCTCATTGTTATCATTGAGGGATCTTCTATAGCTTGTACCAAGGTTGCTCATAGCAATGTTTGAGGTATCTGATGCATCATGAAGTGGGATTTTCTAAAATTATAATAAACTTAATACATGTAAGTAGCAATATATTAATTAGTAAAGAAATTGTGTTACACCTTTACTAATTGTTAATATATGAGTAAGCTTGATTTGGAGTTATTCAAAGCATTCCTTTCTCCATAACTGTGTTATACTGAGACAATATCTCATTTTATTTTCATTTGCCAAGATTGAGGATGAGTCTATATAGTAACAATTCTCGGGCCAATTACCTATACAGATACAATACAAAACCTGCACCCACACAATAAGTACTGACAAACTGTATGCTGCATAATTATAAAGTGGGCATTATTAATAATAAATTGCTCTTTATAAATACAAACCTTCAGAATTCCTTCTGGTTCTGACATTTTAAAATTTATTCACAAGTTCCATACAGAATATATTTTTTATTATATATAATCCATATAATCCTTTCTGAATTCAAATAGACTTTCCTGTTTCTTTCCACTGCAAACTGTAAAGATTTTTGTACAGTCTGTCTGAACCAGGAAGAAAAATGTTTTACTTTCAAAAGATTAAAAAAAAATTGTCAACAAGCCAATCACTTTGAAAAGCTATGCAAGAATCATTATGGTGCTACACAATGCAATGCACAACTTATTTATGTCATCAGAACACTGGCTTTCATAGAAGACAGGGCATTTAAAAGCTATTCACACAGTGTAAATTTACTGTAATTAAGTCAATATTTGCCATAGCTTCAGTTTTGTTGACCCTCACTTGAAATCATCATATTCAATATGCATTTTATAAGTTGTTGCTTGAATTTTTCAAAAATACCATTTAGATAAACTGGGAAGTTAACATGCAAATATTAAGTAAATATAAACACTCCAAGAGAATACACAAATGAATTCCTTAAACTTGACCCAATGCTTCCAATGAACTTTAACAAACATAGTGATCATCCTTGTAAATAATGTTTCAAATAATAACAGGGAATAAATATTACACAGGTCTGGAACACTAATTCCTATCATCTTAATGCTATATAATCTTAATGCAAAGCAAAATTTTACATCTTCAAAATATTGCTATAAAATATGTGAACATTTTAATCATCTCAAATGTTTCAAACAAATGTTAAGTACATGTTACTTTCTTTAATGCAAAATATGCACTTCAGACAAGGGTAATTTAAGTTCAGTAGACCTTTTGAACAAAAAATCTCATGATAAATTTCCATCGTAAGAGAAATCTTATGAATTTATTCCTTTTCACAAAAATTCTTGGGAGATTTTTATGTGTAAAATTTATAGAAACTTTATGAGAGCTCTAACCTTCTCTTAAGTATTTTAGAGCTGATTTCAATGTAAAAATATAACAGATAAAACTAAAATACACATCTAATCAATCTTTTTTACACACATTACAGCAGCATTTTATATTTTTATCACAATTATTGTCAAAAATTAAATGAAAAATAATACAAAATATTTATGATGACAGTTTAAGATTTTCATGTGATCTTCTTTTGCAGCAGACTTGTGACCATTGCACTCAGTCAATATTGTTGTCATTATAATGTTTGTTTCACTTACAAGCTTTGAAAACTTCACTTTATTTTTATTCTCGTCCACTTTTTAAGAATTCTAAAGCATATTGAGTTCATTGCTAGGGAGGATGTCTGTTGTAAGTAAAATCTACGTTTACGGGAAATCAGCTATGAATGCTTTCATGAAAAGCACTCAAGATTTGTCGTAAGAGATTCTTAAATTGAAATATACAAAAAATATTGATTTTTTTTTTTGTGAAAGGGGGGCTACAGGTACACAAGTTTAACTAGATATCATCATGATGGTGAAAAACTTAAAGGGCCTAAATTTTAACAAATAAGGATATAAGAAAAAGGGGGACTTGTATAAGAGTTACTAGAGAAAACTTAATTAATATACTCAGAAGTGTTCATTCTGATGCAAAGAGATGAATTTTTATGAAATCTAACTAGAACTATAGGAAGAGTGGCCTTTTGATAGAACTTCACAGAAATTTCCATTACATGTACATGTATCAGAAAACATGGTAACAATGTTTGTCGAAATCAAAAACTGATTAAGAGAATTATGTATCTAGTACAGTCTACTTGTGTATCAAGTTTTATCGAAATCTCACCAAATCTGTACAAGAAGAATTTTGTAAAAGAATTTATTAATAAGGACAATAAGGCAGACGGACAGAGGATGTTGGACTCCTTACAAACAAGGAAGTTCTTCTAGTCTTTGACTAGCAGAGCTAAAGAGAAACCTTTCTTTTCAACTTTGATTTAAATTTTTTTGAGTTTATGACTACAAGTACCAAAAATATGTAGCTGAAAATTATTACTTCTTCCATGAATTTTACACAAATTCTGTTTTTAAATATATCAGCAGAGATTCCCTTTGTTTGTGCTGGCAAAACAGTCCATCCAATTAAAGGAAAAAGCAGAAGCCTATAGGATGGATCAGCTTGGCAGATGCTGGTTTATCTCCAACTGAAACTTTTTTTCTGATGTGGTCCAGAAACACTGTGGTCAGAACTAGCTCAGACAAGAGCATCATCTTCACTAAGCTATAGTAACAGTGCCATGGAAAGAAGTTGCCCATGATGTGGCCCATGACAGAAAGAATGCCAAGTATTGAGAACTCATGGAACAATGTAACCAAAGCTGATGGAAGACATGGCTATTTCCAATAGAAGTTGGATGTCACAGATTCCCAACTCAGTCAGTGTGGAGAATGATTAAAGCCTTTGAAATCAGGGGTAACAGATAAACAATTGTAACAAAAAAACTTGAGTGAACAGGGCAGTGAAGGCCTCATTTGGGACCTAAGAGATACCAAGGAGTGGATAAGCCCCTACAAACACAGTGAAAAGATCAGCTATAATGTTATTACTTACAGGCTCAGTTTCTTCTGTCTCCTCTTCCTCTTCTGCTTGTTTCTTTCTTTCCTCCATTTCCTTCTTCCTTTCCTCCCTTTCCTTTTCCTTTCTTTCTCTCTCCTCCTGCTCTCTTCTCAATCTCTCTTTTTTCTTGATCTCTGTTATCTTCTTCATTCCGCTGGCTATCACTGCTATTGCCTGCTTTTGTCTGATGTAATGGATCTTCTCCATATGTGTATTTACATTGTCCTTCATGAAGACCTGAGGAAAAAAAGAACATGCAGGTAGGGTAAGGGTTCCCATAGAATATCACAGTCATTTCTCTTAACTACCAAGATAATGGAAAATGATGTCAAGACACTGCAAGCTTGAGGTGTCATGACAGGGAGAGTGGTATAAACTTTACTCCTTGTTTTAAACTGCATGTTTAAAGTTAATAACAATATTGCAAAATTCATATGTCTTAACTGTTACAGAAGCAGCTTGAGGATGCATATTACTGAATACTTAAAATAAATCTTTGTTTGAACATTATCCTTCACTGAAATTCAGTGTATTGAATACAATAACAAAAAAAATAGACTTTGAAATTTTCCTAGTTTTAATGTCTACTGGTCAGTCAGGGATGAGACTGAAATCCGTCATTTTTGAAAAATGATGGATAATCGTCATATTTACTAAGTACGTATTTTCGTCATTTTTGTCAATATGACTTACTATCGTCATATTTTCTTTTTCAACTTAATTCTCTATCCTGGTTACATAAAAGCGAAATTTGAATTCACCGCTGAAAGAAGAGTGTTTACGCAAGTTTCATTTCATCCGGGTCACTAATTACTGCCAACCACATGGGTTAGAACATCAACATGGAAGGTGAAAGTTATTATTTAGCGGTAAAATGTGGAATTTTGGTAGAACTAATTCGCCATTTTTACATGGCTTTTAGCCCTATAAAACATATAGTACACCGTCTTGAAGAATACGTACTTGTAGAGAAAAGTCTCGACAAAAAGTTAAAGCCATAAAAAAGTAGTGCGCCACGTAAAACAAGCGAAATATTTCAGTGCGCCCAGACCCTCCATTTTGAAAAAAGATGGAATATCGTCATTTTCGTCTTCTTTCCTATTTCATGCAAATAAATTGACAAATAACTCTTCCACTCTTATTTTTGCTTGGGAAATTTATACTGTCAACATAACCAGTATTGTAGTCAACTGTATTAGAGAAATGAAGTTCGTTTACGATGTTTTTTGTCCTTTTTTCGGTTGGTGGAGCTAACATTTTTCAAAGAGAGGTAACTCGGTATTCTATAAACACTCTAAATTTTTATGACTGTTTTTCGTCATTTTCTTAAAAATGACGAGTTTAAGTCATAATAAAAATTTTATTTTATGGCTTAAAATCGTCATTTTAAAAATGACGGATTTCAGTCTCACCCCTGACTGCTGGTTAGAGTTGTAAGTTACAGTCCCTGAAACGTTCTACTTTCCCACTTGAACGGTGAGCGAACGGTGAACGAACGCAGAGCGAACGGTGAGTGAACGATGTGTGAATGCTGAACACAACTTGGTGAACGATGTGTGAACGGTGAACGGTGAGCGAATGCAGAACGCGAACGGAGCGCAAACGCGAGCGCAAAGTGAACGGTGAACGAACGGTGAACGCAAGATGAATGATTTATTCGGAATGCCTCTGATCTTTTCCTTGCATTGAAACTATTCTATTGTATTCTAATGCCTGGTGCTAAAAAATAAATAAATAATAAATAAATAAACAAATCAATGAAAATTGTCCTAAGAAAGACGATACATGCACATTAAGTAAAATTATTAATTTAAGTTTTTTACAATATTTTCTGCACATATGTACAATGTTTAAATTCAACTTTTTGATAATACGATTTTTATCGCTGTAAAACATTGTAATTGTTACCGATGGCTGTAGTATAACAGATGAAATTAATCTAGTTGTAAAATAAATATGTTTATTCTTATTTGATATATAAAACCATTACAAATAATGTGGATTTTAGAAGAGAAAACTACGGACTTATAGAATGAATTACAATGGTTGTAACAACCATAAAAGGCGATTCCGTGTAAAATAATGAGAAAAAAATATTTTACAAAGGTATGTGGACGTATTGCATAAATACACTTTAATGCAATAATATATTTATGTGTCAGTTTTATTTTTTATGATGATATATTGAGCAGACCTCTACATGTATCTGTAGACTTTCCCGGCCGTGGTTATACTCGGACAAGATGATACAAGGAGGCAATCATATTATTTGTTATATATTAAATTTTCACAACTTGATAATTAAGTAATATGCTGTCATAGTTTTTATTACACAGACAAATGAGAGAGAGAGAGAGAGAGAGAGAGAGATTCGGTTTTAGCCCCCCCCCTTCCTCAAATGTTTGTACCTATATCAAACAGAAATTCTAAATTTTTTCTAAATATATCAGGCAGTGAAAGTAACCTTTTTTTTTTTTTACCAACAAATCCATTTGTTTTTCAGTCATAATCGGTTTTTATTTTCCTGCTTCAAGTTCACACGAAGTCCACGTGCATGACCTGTCAATCAAAATCATTCGACACTGTGCAGGTGTAAAAGTCTCGTCACACCGAAGGCAAAGTGTTAGTATTTCCAAGAAGTTTTAACATTTTTTTCTTATCATTTCTAGATCTGATTCCAACATTTCTAAAATAAATAAATAAATAAATGAATAAAATACATTGGGAATAAATACTTGGAATAATTAAGCCGCTTGAATTTAAAACATACTACCTGCCAATTTAAAATATCACGGCCGGCACATGTATATTTTGAACTACGATTGTTTAATGACTGTTTAGATGCATGTTTGTTTTGAGACTGAATTTTTTGTGCTACAAAAAACATTAACTTCTTTTTAAATGTTAATTAAAATGTACTGGAAATACTAACTAAGTAACCGATTTAGGGGAAAGGGGGGGGGGCTCTTAATAATATCGAATGACAAACATTTAAAGTTACGGTGAAAAATATCATTACTGGAGAATCGCTTTGGTTATATAAATGATAATCATGTTATAAAGGCATTTCTCTCTCTCTAATTAAAGACTTTATATACGTAAAGTTGAAAAAAATTCTTTAATGTATTACATTTTAAACAAATATTTTTTTTAAACCACACTATCAATTTAATTCGCTATAAAGATATTTAATTAACTGGATATCTGCAGTACTGTTTGACATTCTCAGAAAAAGTTCTAACATGTATTTCTGTATTATTTAAAAAAAAATGTGATATAAATAAATATTTTCGTATTTTTGCTGCAGTTGGTAAATTATTTGACTTCGATTATTATCTATCCATTAACGATTTGTCATCTTTAACATAACAACAAAATGTTGCAGTGCTTGAAGTATCAGTATTTTGCCCGTATTTAAATTTAATTTTTCAGCATTAAGCATTGTTCTACATAGGTACATACATGTACTTATAACAACATTTATTTTCCAGATAAATTTTATAAATAACCTAACAGCTAAGTTAGAATAATAAAAATAAATATTGTAGATAATTTTTTTCCCCATGAAATAATGATTCTTCACACACGGTATGTTATTTATTAAATTCAAAACCTGTAAATCCTTACTTAAAAAAAGATAAGTCCTTTCACTTCGGAGTTCCGAATGACACTGAAGACTGAACGATAAGTGAACGCTGAACGCAAGGTGAACGCAAAATGAACGAACGAAGAGCGAACGGTGAACGCTTTGTGAACGGTGAACGCGAGCGCACGGTGAACGCTGAACGCAAAACTGTGAACGGAGAGCGTACGGTGAACGCACGCTGAACGAACGGTGAACGCACGCTGAACGAACGGTGAACGAACGGTGAGCGAACGGAAAAATGGGAAAGTAGAACGTTTCAGGGACTGTAATATATGTGCATAAAAGAGGCTGGCACAGATGATTATTAAGGGTTTACCGTTAATTTTAGATATTTTGTGGAAATTTATAAGAGGAGTATGTTCTCTAGATGAAACATGCTTGGGAAAAATATGTACTAATTACTTCTCTTTGATATAAATTATGATGCAGTGTGGAAAATATCCTCAAATGTGTGGGCAAGTTGAACTTCTGATGAAATATTAATTTGTATACATGTTAGTTTAAGTAATACTAATGACTTTTTTTTTAAATTAGTGATATTCGGTGCAGTATAATTGAGCCCTTAAGATCAATTATTTATGTATTAATAAGATGATTGCTACTAGTTTTTTAATTTTCAAAAGAATGACAGCTTTGTATAAATCCTGTGGGAATTTATTCACACTACTTATAATGCTACAAAAAGTTTACTTGTCTGATTGGACAAGTGTTTGTGGAGATTGACTTGTCCATTCTCAAAATGAACGTACTGCATAGACACAGTTAATTCGACAAACGTTAATGTTGAACCCTGTATATACTAGGATATTCAACAAAAAATAATTAATCATTGTGCTAAGCATCTGCCATTTATATATATAACACTTGAAAAAATATAATTGTTTGTCAACCAAGTCAAGTGATATCACTACAAATGTGTTCTTGTATAGCTGAAAGATTGCTCAATGCAAATTTATACTTGTTTATACATAGCTTAATTAAAACCAAGTTTGCAATGTAATGATATGTATAAAATGCATTTTAAAGTTTCAGGGAGCCTTAACATAGCTGTGCAGTCTAGTAAGTTGTACTGCTTTCCATGCAAAATGCTCGTAACTACATGATACAAAATTATGAATATTTAAAGATATTGACACTTCACAACTTTGATCTTTCCCAACAGATTGAAACAAAGGGAAGTGACAGACAGATATATGGATGAACATTTAACAAGCAGGTAAAAATCTATGAACAGTAAACATGAGTACCTTGTACTTCCCAATACGGTACTTGTCTCTTAGATCAGGGGGAAGAATAGAGTCCAGTATGGATTTAATTGTATCCTCTTTTCTCTCAGACGACTTAATGGAAAACAGTGGTTTGTATCTGAAAAAAAAGTAGAGCAATAACAATAAAATGTTATATTGTGTAAACAAACTGCTATATTCATTTTTCTACCTGGATAACAAGTGTAATCTATATTGCAGACCTTTTGATGAAATCATCCATGGAGATCCTTGCAGAATATCCATCTTTCCTTATTCTAGAAATCTCCGAGATCCCATTGTACTTCAGCTGGTCTCGTACCATGACTTCATTAAAGTCGTCGAAAGCCATGCGAGTGTTAGGTTTGATACACCTATAACAAAAAACCAAGAACATCTGTAAATCAGTGACACCATACAACATCTCCACACTGTAGCTATAGTAGTATTTCACAGATATCTTTTATATCAGCTCTTATGGAGAAAGATTATACTTAAAAAAAAATCTTACCTAACAAAATAGGGATCTGCCTGTCTCATTTTTTGCAACAGCTGAGAAACTGATTTCTGAAAAGTAAATGACACTGCTTGCACAATTTTTCTTTTATATTAATGTAATAATTCTTGTTTTTAGTGTTTGTTTGTTTTTTTTTTAATGCAATACATTTTTAGTTCTACTTAAAAGAAGAATTCCCATTATTTTTACCTGAAAGTAACTCATCACTGTCTTGTGGTCTTTTGGCATATAGATGAGCTCTGTCGGCTTACCCACCTTCCCATACCTAGGGTAGTTAAAAAGAAAGAATTTGTACACAAAACGTAACAATTTCCAGCAAAAACATCAAATAATAAATGCATCATCTTCCTTACTTGTCTTTAAGAGTGCTTCCCAGATCAGCAGCCAGCATCCTCCCCTTATCTGTCTTTGGTTTGAAGGAAGCTCCAAGTCCTGGTACTTTTCTGGACATTCTGATATTGGCCATGGTACTAAAACCAAAGAAAACTTCTTATTAAACTTGTTATTAACTAACAAAACATTTTTACAAAATTTTTTTCATTATATTTTACATATTTCATCAATATCTTATAATTTCAATAATACTTTCATTAAGAAGTCACAAGATTATGGCTTTGTATATTTTTTCCTTGTGAGTTCAAAACTGAAATCATATTTGATTATCATTTAATATTCTTTCAAGATTTCTATCACTTGCACCCGGTAGGTTAATGCTTACTCAGATATTGTTCCAGTCACTCCTTTCTTTATAGAAAACAAGTCTGCAATGCAATCATCTGTGCTTTGCTTCATCACTTTTTCCAAATCCTTGTTTAAGCTGTCCCGGTTCTTCTCCAGTATGTTGTTACAGTTGTACCACACCTGCAAGCACAAATATTTGCAAATCTTGTCTTACAGTTGTACATTGTATTGGAGCTAAATTCTTAAATTTTTCTTCATGCATAAAATTTATAGCCCTATAAAAGTAATTATGCTGGCCAAACAGCATTTATCATAACCAACTTCTGACTCATATTTTGATAATAAAGACAACTTTGAACAGAAAGAGAGAGGAGTCTCTAAGAAGACTCCTTGTAAATGCTAGGCCTCTCACATCAATTTTTGGTACCATTAAAATTTGGGAAAATAGTAATTTGGGGGGAAATTTGGAAAATCAATAAATAAAAACTCATCATATTTCGGTTTTCCGGTGTTTTAATGTTTTTCTATTCATACACAAAGTAACACTGAAATCAGACAAAAACTGTGGGAATTAGCATTTTGAAAAACTGTTTTCAGAGAGAAATACAGACAAAAAGAACAGGTGATGAACAGTATCATCGCATTACCTGCTGGTCTATGACCATTTAAGCTAGAAAAAAACAACTTACCACCCCTGCAAAATGTTTGACGCCAAATTCTGCTCTGTCACCCCTTGGGAATGTGAGGAGGTTGTGTAATGCATGGCCTTTCTGGAAATTCTTTTTCAGCCTCCCCACAAACTTAAGATCGGTTCCCTGGGCAAACTTAGATTCTTCATCTAGAGATGGCCAAATTCCAATTTGCTATAATAAATAATAAAGCACTGTAAATTAAAAGAATTAAAAATTCCATCTGTATTTTTATACCTATAAAAATTTATTACTATTCTGACAACTTTATGTTCCAAACATTGTTTTGAATTGATGGCCTTAAAATTAATCCTTGAATAAAGATATGGTTCATGTACTTCAGTGATAATATATGAGTTAATTATCAAGCAAATCTTGACTAGTAAAATATTGGCATTCACAAAACTTAACTCTAGAAAGTAAATAAAAGAAATGTGTTTTTGTTACTTTTAAGGATGATACTAAAATACATGTACTTAAAATGATAAATAAGGACTAATATGAAATATTATATACCGAAAGTTCAAACAACTGTATCACATCCAAATTGTCTTTGAACTCCACATTATCATAAGAGATTCCTTCCGATTCATAGATCTGTTTTTCTTGAATGATCACAACTTTGTTCATGAAGTTTTGCAACCTTTCATTCACCACATTAATACACATTTGCTCAAAACTATTTGTCTTGAGCTTTTCAAATCCCGCAATGTCCAGAATACCAATCTCAGTAGTTTCCTTCCTCGCCCTGTAACAAAATTCTGCATTTTTAAAATGCAAATTTCAATCAAAAAAATATGTATTTTTCAAAATGTCTAACTTCCCACTTTAAGAATTTCTAAATATGAAAAGTATAAGCATGATAAGTTTTAAAGGTATATTATTCAAACATTGTCTGTTGAGTTAACAATTAATCTATACCTTTCACACACAAAGAAATTGGAATCAGGCTTTTGACAAGTGAACTGTAACTGGTTTGTAAATTCTTAAAAAATAACTTCTGTTCAATTGCTTTCACAGTCCAGTTTCTTGTGTTTTGTGTACTCTATTATTCATAAAAAATAACTTCTAGAAAATGTCTATAGAGCAAAGCTCAAAATTGGTTATGGTATAAGGTTCATGCTAGGTGCAGCTTGTGAAAGGGTGGCTTTCCTTTCATTAAACTCACTAAATTTGCTTTCATTTTTTTACATACCTTTTTCAGAATCTAAGAACTAAATTAGATTTACATGTATATTGTCATTGTCACAAATTGCTAAGCACTTCAACAGTAACCACAAGACAACCTTGAACCTTGTCTAGAAATTCAACGGAACCAGAAGTGTAGACAATCTACTTTGATGACCCAAATGGCACATGAAGACCTGTAGACACTAGACAGGAACTCTACTTTAAAATTACCCATTTATAGGACAGACTCTTGACAGCATGAGTGACACAGGGCATACTCTGGAAACACAGGAAATGCCCCTCATTGACCAGACTGTAAGGGACAGACTTAGGGAGAGAGAACTGAGGGCAAGAGGGCTTTGTAGGGTTATCATGGGCAAGACACAAGGTTAATATGTGTTTTTTGTTTGAAAATCTTTGTTGTTCCTCTGGGGGCCCAAACTGGATTAAAATAAATTCTTGTAACTTGTGCAGATAGGGGTCAAGTTCTTTATACAGATGAGTTCAGGTTTTATATATGAATGGTTGCATGGTCTTGTGTCTGTTGGAGAAGGGTAAGCATTAATTACCAGTACACAATTTAAATACATATGTGAGGGAATGTGGACAGTTTGGAGGTGGTTTTCTCATGGTTCAAGTGGGTATTTCATTGCAACATAAAAACTCAGATTGTTCCATTCCATCAGAACTTGAACGATGTGAGGTACATGGTATCAGAATATTGTACTCCACCTAATGACCCTCACATTCATGGATTGCTCCTTAAGCAGGATAAAACAACTTCTCCAAAAGTCAGAACCACCAACTAATGCTGCCCTGCGCGCAGTCCTCAACTCAATCCTATTCAGCGTACATGGGATGAAATAAACAGAATTAGAGTGCCTTCTTGGCCACAGAATATCTTGTGGAGCTTGAACAAGATCAATGAACACCTTGAATACCCAACCTTTCACCAATATTTTCTTTTTACACAGTTATATTTACATTTCCAATGTCTTTGTCCGAGATAAAATTACAAATTGTAAAAATACTTTATTTCTACATAAATCTACTGGTTCATCGGTAGGCGCGGTTAAAAAAAATCACGTGCGGGGCGGGACAAATAGAGACAGAAGCGGGGCCATTAGCATGGGAATTTGCAGAATCAGGAGCATGTAAATATAAGGAATAACTGTCAGATTTTTTGGATTCATGACGATGATCAATCGATTGGCTTGCGTGATAATTTTATGCATAAACGCCTTCGGCGTTTATGCAAATTATCACGCAAGCCACTCGATTGATCACATCATGAATCCAAAAAATTAGACAGTTATTCCTTAAATATAAATCTTATGTGGAGTAGGTGCCAAGGAGTTATTCTTTCTAATGGGAGATCCATGCAATATTAGCTGAGAATTTGAATTTGTATAGTACTCTGATGTTATTATGTGTGTTTGTGTGTTTTTTATTTTATTAATATGACTGGTGCAGTAAATAATGATAAAAGATTATATGGGTCTTTTCCAAGATGATTTTTCTTTATATTCAACAAAACTCCAGTAAAATTTACAAGAAAAACTGAGTTACAAAAAAATCAAGTGGGAAGTTGGAAAATTTGATTAGTACATCAAATGAAATATACAAATCGTCTGTTCTTCCCTTCCCATTGGCTGATAAGCAAAGGGCATAATAGAAACACTTTTTTCCCATCCACTTTTTAATACATTAAATATTTTACTCTTTTTTGCGAGGATGCAGGTTGTTGTTGATTTTCTTCACAATCCATCCAAACAGTCTCTCATACATGTGTTTAGCAAGGGCATCCCTGCCATCTCTAGCTTGGTCTAAACTCTTGTATACTTTAATTTCTTCACCTGTTTCAAATAAATGATGGATTACATTTTTAATGTTAAATTTAATTAGTGAGATGAATTTAAATTCAGTTGAAAACACACTGCATATATATATATATATATATATATATATATATATATATATATATATATATATATATATATATATATATATATATATATATACATATATATATATATATATATATATATATATATATATATATATATAATTATTTATTTATAGGATATAAAGCCAAAATTCTAATGAAGCAAGAACATGAAAAAATGATTGAAATGACAGAAAATTCAATACATGTATCATAATGTTGTAGCAATTGCATACACACAAGTCTATCAGATCTTTTGGGAACTAGAAAATATATGTTTATTTGTTAGTTTTGACCTTTTGCACTTGACCTTTGGCAAACTCTTAAAAGTATGTGTTACAGTAAGGTGTCTTAGTTAATTGTATAGTAAAATTTAGTTCACATAATGAATACTAGTAATTCTCAATTTTTCACACAGAAATGGGAAAATTAAACAAATAATTTTGACCTTGACTTTCAATGGCCTCAGAATTTATAGGTGTCTTCATCCACTCATTGTACATGTTTTTGAAGAAGATGTATTTTTTTTTAGAATGAAAAATATCTGAAGTAATAATTCATCATACATTCAATAATTATTAAATGTACAAAAGTTTGGCCTTATAATGACCTCTGCACAAGATATATCAAAATCAACCCGTTTTCCTCTAACCATTCTTTATACAAGTATTTATATGCAGTGAATAAAATGATCATGCACATACTATATGATAAAACTTATATATTATAAATTGTTATATAATAAATTGTTTGAATTTAATGGAATTTATGATAACTAAAGCGATAAATATAAAAATACCATGTACAACTTTACTGGCCTAAGGATAATTGTTTCAACATTTAGGAAAATTCACCTTAAAAGTTTAAAAGTATTTCTCAGTATTTATCTGTCATGTCATTTTGTTTAATTCTTTTTTTTTAATTCCTGACAAACAAACTAAAGATCTTCATATAGATTACTGGTATTTTACATGGCAATCTGGTGTAAATTTTAACAAATAAAATGTTTACATGATTGCACCATATAATATATATATAATGTACTGAAAAAACAGCACTGAAACAAATGATTAATCATTTTAAAAAATACTGGTAATTATAAGCGAATCCCATTTGTTATTTTACTTGCTAACTAGTGTTGTCAAATTGGACGATTTTTAGTAACCGGGTACTCGCTTACTTTTCCGATTGAGTAACCGATTACTCAGATGATTTTTATTAAAACTCTAAGCAGCCTTGTTCGTGGTATATACTCAGTCGTAACAGTAATATATGTTCATTACATTTTCTATATTAATCTTTTCATTTGTTTACCGATTCATATAAATCACAAAATGCACTGCTTATGAACTTTATTTATAATATCTTCTAAAAAATTAGTTCTCGAACACCCTGTTATAGCTGGGTGTTTTTGCAGGATGTCATATTTATATATATATATATATATATATATATATATATATATATATATATATATATATATATATATATCCCTGGTTTCAGTCTGCAGTTATTTAGCATATTTGTTGTCCTACCGGTATATGTTAATTCCATTTCACATAATTTACAATCAGCCAATCTTTTGAAATATTTCCATGTTTTTGATACAAATGGCGGCATCTTCTTTAATGCTGTACTGCAGACTAACACAGGATTGTGTGAGGTAATTATAATTAACTCAAGCCTTCAAAACTTGTATACTCCTTGGCAATCAAAGTCATAGATTAGATTAACTATGGAAAACTAATCAAAACAAATGCAATGCATTGTATAAGTCAGTATATGTCAAACTCTATGTCTAATGTTTAACTAAGGGTAAATAAAATGGTGGACATTTACAAACAAATTACGGTACATTTTTTCCTACTGGTTTTCTACGTAAAATGTCTATATATCCGAGTAACAGAGTAGCAGTTTTACTAAGCAATATTCGTATCATTCGATGGTTAACTAGGTACTGACATTGACAACACTAGCTAAAACACTAATATACTATATGATTACCTATTCACAGCTGCAAATCAATGATTTTAATCCAAACAAATGAAAAATGCATTGCTTATTTTTTTTCAAAGCACACACCTTTCCTACTATGTGAAATCTGAATTTTGTTTTATCTATTTAGCAAATTCAAAAGAAAATAAATCACAATAGCCATGAAAGCAGATAATTTTTTTTAAAAAGCGAAAGTAAAATATTTCTTAGGATATTCTATTACTTGTGAACTTGTAAGAAATTATCAAAATTAATTCAAAGCAAAAAAAAAAAAAAAGTGCCATTCCTTAACAACCAAAATAAGCATAAAATGAAACTATAATGATCATCAAAGATGAATTTTTGTACCTGTACTACCATAACCTGAATGAATTCAAAATAAATAATTACGTCCTAGTATTTATCTGCTTTATGTTAAAAAATCAGTTTTATACTACTGCTTTATGATATCTGTTAAAATATAAAATCCAAGGGGCTCATGGGTCATAATGCTCAATTGAGTAAACCTGGCCCAGCTGTTCTTCAGAATAGTGGACACACCCTGCACATGAAGGCCATGATTTGAACTAAAGAATATAATCTACACTACAAGATAGTGCTTGCATATAAACATGACTAAGCATTTCATTACAGAAAGTTTTTTAAAGAATTTTCCTTTGATCCTCTATTGTACGCGCCATCCCTACCCCAGGGTCGTGTTTTTTTTTTTTTGGGGGGGGGGGGGGGGGAGGGGTGGGGGGTGAATCTACACAACCTGAGGATGTTTGCATATATTAATATTACATATTCATAGCTTTACCATTCTGAGAAGAAAATTGATAAAGATTTTTCCTGATATATTCCTATGTTGAACTTTATAATCCCCCTATTATGGTCCCACCCTACTCCCAGAGGCAATGAGTAGAACAATCTTGAATTTACACAACCCGAAAATACTTTCATGTTAATATGACTTATAATCATGACCTGCTGTTCTTTTTTCATTTTTTCTATAGATGTATTCCGCTGTGAAATTTTGATTCTCTATTGTGGCTCTACCCTACCCCCAGGGGCCATGATTTGAACAAACTAGAATCTTCACTTGATGAAGATGCTTGTATATCAATATGACTAATCAAGGCCACCGTTATTTTTGAGGAGATTTATGAAGATTTTCCACTATATATTTAATCCCCTTTTGTTTTTGAGGAAACAATATTGATTCACAGGTATTGGATTTTGTGTATGAAGAAGTATTGAATTGTTACGTTTAAAAAATTTATATTTTGTGGAGAACACAAATTCATGGATCTCTTCATATCACAAAAGCAACGAAAATTAACCCCCATCCCCCACCCACAACACACACACACACACAAAATTTGTGATTTCACAGTATACTTCTTTAATTGACTTGCATTTAATTTCTAAAACATTGTGAATGTTCTTGAATAAGTAATGACATAGAACGTTAATAGTAACCGATACATACTGTTGAAATAATTTGAATATCATATGCAAAAAATGACTTCAAATTTTCCTTAATACAGTCGTACACAAATTTTCAATTCTCTTCACATATTATCAACCTTTAATAGGGATGGGTATCGCCAAAAATTTTGTATTATGATATATCACGATTTTTTCCCAAAAATATCACGATAAAATCATGATATTTTTTCACATAATTTTTACTATGATTTTAAATGAATTTCCATGATTTTTCTAACATATAGTGTGATAACATACCTTCACTTTTTTTCATTTTTATATTAATAAAGCATGTTTGGATGCTAGGATGCCGTTGTTTTACTATTTTACAACATCAATTACAATTCTTGTAATTGTAGTTTAAGAGTTTGAACAAAAAAAATTAATTATTTCTGGAATTTATAATTACATACTAAATACAGGCATTTTAGTCTCTGTATCACGCTATGTATCGTGCAATAAAAATCACGATATACCGGCCAGTATACCGATAAAAATTGCACATCCCTAACCTTTATTTGCTAATAATAGTGCAGAACTGAAGGGCTACAGTTAGTATATACATGTACATGTATATTTCAATCTTTTCACTTTTATAATAATAAAATCATAATCCAAACATGTCATATATAAATCATTTCCATAACTTCAAGGATGTGTGGAGTATAATATATATTATACATAATGGATGTTACATACTCCATAAATGTCCAATAACCCTTACCTGCCATTACTGTTGTGGAAGCGATAAGAGCATGCCCAAGTGCTTCACAGTCCACATCCAACAATTCAGCAGCTGTAAGGATATATATAATGAAAGAAACAAAGCCTTCTAAATGCCCTAGGTACATGTAATTCTATAGCCGGTTTGCTTGATAAGAAGATATATTCATTTGAAAACTTATTCTTCTTAATCTTACCATATAACCTTACATTGCAACGCAAAAAAAATTGTATTATAAGATAGATGGACCAAGTAATGCATCTTTAATGTATCTTTAATCTTTAACATTTCAAAAATTCTATCTGATGCCTTTAATAACTGAAATGGAATGAACATGACATACTTTGTAAATATAGGAACTCTTGTTGAATTTGCAGCATTACTTAAAATTACAGACATCTCTAAGCACTGTCAAATAGTCTGCCATAACAGCAAGTTAAGTACACTTCATGGGTTAAAATAATCAGAATACAAATGTAATTATAGTCCAAATACACTATCTTACCATGTTCAACCAGCTCTGTATCTACAATTTTCAGTTCTCCAGATGTTTTGTTAGTCTCTTGAAATTCTATTTGACTCAAGTGTAAAATGGCTGCCAGCATACAGGTCATCACCTTTCTATCCTGTCACAATACAATCAAGGAAAAATGTGAAGACACAAACCTTTGATCAATCTCATAAATTATGTAAACAATACAAAATGTGAACAGAGCTAAAACAGGACTCCCCATCCACCCATCCAACCCCCCCCCCCCCCCCCAAAGAAAAGAAAGATACAAACAAAAGACAAAAAACAAGATCTTTATCATAAAATTGGAAAGAGAAAACTTAATTTTAATTGAGCTGCAACTTATAGATCAGAAGAAGTCAAATAAACTTACTGCTTCTGTCATCCCTAACTGTTTCAGGGTTTCCATGTTTTCTTTATACTGTTTGGCGTAACGTTCTGTCCATGTTTTTTGTAAATTTTCGATGCTACCTAGCAGTATGCTAAAATGATACAGAATACATTCAAAGGATTAGAAAAACATTACAATTTCTCTGCATGTGTGTATATATATATAGTTAAATTAATAGGATATGATACCTCATAATAACTCTTCATTTGCAGATCGAGTCATTCTTACTTGTATGTTTCAGGCTTCTGAAGGAACAGAGCTTGCTTCTCTTCCTGTGGCATCCCAGCAAGCATTCCATAGAAAATGTGGAAATTTCCTTCTCCGCAATCCTGATTTCTCCCAACTACACGGCATTTCTCCAACATGTAGTCTTTGATCATTGCTACAAGTCCAAATATTTTTTGATTAACATTTAACAAGAGAAAAAAGAATAAAATTTAATGTCTGAGAGATAATTATGCATAACTGCACTAAGCAGGATACACAAATGATGCAAAAAATATTTAAACTTCCCTTCTAATTTATTGACATCAAATGAAAGATTTTTTTAGCTGCGAAAACCCACCCATACAAGTTCTTACCCCCTATCACTTGTCCATCTCCTCTGAAACTCAACTCCAGAAATTTGGCAAATCTACTGGAGTTGTCATTCATTATTGTTTTGGCATTCCCAAAGCTTTCTAACAGGGGATTCACCTTTTGAAAGCAAATAAGCATGCATATGAAACAGTGATTGAAAGATCTAGAACTATAAAAATCAATAAGATTCAGGGACTGAGGTAAGAAGACTGTTCCTTTTAAAACAATTAAAATGGGCAGTTGTTGACAACTTGTAGAAATTCTATATAATTTATATGAACCTTGATAATTCTGTCATGAAGGTCACCAGACTCCTCTGGGCACATGTGCATGAAGTGCTGCACCATATACTTTGTACTCTCCGTTTTTCCTGAACCAGATTCACCACAGACCAGGATAATTTGGTTTGACTGGTTTTGACGCATCCTGCTATACGCTCTTGCTGCCACTTGAAAGACATGCGGAGGCAAACCTGCCTTGAAGTCCCACCATCCATATTCTTCATGATTCTACAACATAAGAGTGTAGGTATATTCACTGATGTTTATCAAGTTAAGTTACTCAGAAAAATTTTTGATAGAAAATAATGGAATAAATCTATATAAAATTTCTGTCAAGTTTTGTTTGTGAAATATGTTTTAACAAAAGATTTCAGAAAAGAAAGGTTTCTCTAATTAACTCTTAATACAACCCATAAATTTAATACAAAATTTTTAACTAACACCTTGGATTTCAGTGTTGCTGTCAAACATATGAGTGACCAGAGAGTTACAGTGCCACCCATTGAAAAAAGTATACATTTATTGCACCCAATATCTCAATTTATTTCTCTGTATATTTAAGCTACCATTTCAAAATATTACTAACCATGTGTTCCTAGCAAATTCTTGCCCATTATAAGTCTTTTACTACTTCCCAAAAACCATTGTAAATGGCCCTCCTGGGCAGAAAATTGAGACCATAAAAATTTTTGCCTATTTATACTGCCATTTTGGGTGGCAATTTAAGACAATTCGGTCGAATGCACTCCGTGCATGACTTGTACATGCAGTTTTGTTGTGGAAGAAGTAAAAGATTATGTTAGGAACACATGGTTAGTAATATTTTGAAATATACAGAGATTCTGAAATAAATTGAGAAACAGGGCACTGTTTGTGCACAATAAAATTGATATACTTTTTTTTCAGTGGGTGGCACTGTAGCCATTCATAAGATATCTACCGGCTGTACACAAAATATCACGTATTTTTGACCCCATTCACGGGCTCATGGGGGTACACAAAAATTCATGGGAATTAAATGAAAATTTGTGCCCTATTTTGAAATGTTAATCGAAACTGCGATTTTTCTTTACTTCTCGCTCTCACAACACTAGAAATCCCATTTGATGCATGACTTACTGTGCTTGGTTAATGTAAGCAAAACATCATGATGGAAGGTGTGAAACATTCCCGCGATAATAACATTGTAATTAATGCATAACAAAGCTTTTTGTTGGGCTGAATATTTTTTATAAGACCCCTATTAAGGTGTTTTGAACCGTAATTTGTTAAAATTTTGTCAATAGAAATTAAAGACGTTTCAAAGAGAAAATGACAAGAATCAGAGTAACTTTGTGACAGCAACACGAAATTTAATCCATGACTTTTTTTTGCACTGCTTAGGCAGAAGTATTGTCCGTTCTAACACAGAGTAAGAGAAATGCTTTTAGTATCATTATAAAAAATGCAGATGACAAGAGACGATCAGACTCTCACATTAAAAACTGCATGGAAGTCTTTTTCTAAATTCAGCATTGACCATGGGGATTGCTGAAACTCTTAATGCTGCAAACGTTTCTTGAAATGAGTAATTACATATAACACTGCATGCAGTGGTACACTTATTCATTGATTTGAAATTTATTAATTAAAATTGAACCTCTTACATTGATTTTTGGTCGATATGTGTGCAGTTTTTTGTACAGTTTTTTGAACAATATTGTACAGTATTTTCACCCGAATTCCAGTATTTTAAAGACTCCTGTACAGTATTTGGGTCTAAAAATTATCACATGTATGACTTAATTTAGCTCTCTGGTTGTCTGTCCCAATTTTTTCCGAAGAGCGAGCTACAGATCTGATGGCCAATTCATTAAGATAATTATGGCACTAGCTATTCATGTTGATGTATCGGCGTATTATCCCATCAGGTAGCGACGGAAAAGCAACGGGCGATAACTCTAATATTTGCTAAACTATTGTTGCCAAAAAAATAAATGATCGGGTGGGCGTGTGTTACGGACTGATACAATAAGATTACGATATATACAATCACAAAAGTTTTTCGGAAACCTTCGTGAGGTAATACTGCAAGTGTATATGGATAAAAATAAATAAATTGCATCATTTTAGCGGTAAAAAAATAATAATGAAATATTCGTTTCAAGAGAAAAAAATGAATTTCAGAATATACACCTTAAAAACCTGATTTTTATAAAATAAAAACGTGTTTTCTATAAGAATTCAATCTAATAATAATTTTAAATCCTTGTACTTAACACCAAATCACGTTCAATCACATGGACTATTTTTGCCTGACAGGGTTATTTGCCCTTTGCTTTGCATTAAACGTGTGACAGGTGTGTAGGATTTTAGTAAATTGCGAAGGGCCAGAGGTCATAAAATCATGTGAATATCTTGCTTTAAATAATTTAGTTTGTTTTGATTTCGGAGTTTGTTTTGAATTTGTAAGGTGAAAGTGCAATGATGTACGACAACGAGACCAATATGAGTGTCATATTCAGCGTGACATATGTCTGTGTCTGGTTTTCCAAAGTGAAAATTACTGTTTCAAAAATTAGAGAAAGTTTATTCTAAATACATAAATTAACACACAGAAATGATAATTTACATCATTGCACCCCCACCCCCATCCCACCCCAAGCCAACTCGCCAATCAGCTGATTACTAGATCAATTTGTTTTACTTCATTAAAAAAAATTTTCAACAATACCTGTCCTCAAATTAAGTTTAGAAAATGACAAGACAAACAAGAAGAACTTTGTACATCATGATCACATGTTACTGAGAGAAACTACGGTACGTGTAACAGTAATGTACGAGTGAATTGAGAAAGAATAATTATTGTATCAAGACTTAATTTTTGAACATGATGAATAATCCAAAATATAAATTTATGGGTGACAGTAAACATATCCTCATTTTCTGCCTCATGCAATATTCTTTGAAAATTATTATGTATAGCCAGTTTAGCTTTTCTTGTTACTTTCTAATACTAGAATAAAATGTGTGCGAGTTTGATGTGCATGTGAAAAATGTGGAAGTTACACTTGTTATTCATTAACTTATATTTTACTTGCTGAGGCTTTCTGATTTGATTACACAATTTCTGATCATAATATTAAGTTTCATAACTTTAAGCCTATTCTTTTTCATCATCAAAGTTATTATCATCCTTGAAAAAAATCTTTTTTCACCCTAGTAAGAATTTTTTCATACACTTTTATTGTATATATTGTAGTTCGTTCTTTTTGCCGGGGGGGGGGGGGGGGGGGTATAATTTTTTTTTTAAATTTTTTAGCAATTCTGATCAAAGAACTCTAGCTGGAGAAATATCAAGTTTTTAAATACATGTACTGATATTTCTCATAGTGTTTTTTTTTCCATTTTATTTATCAAGAATGAAAAGACATTGTTTACCACAGTTCAGACTTAAAAATACTGCTGACCCTATCATATTTATTTTTCAAACGATGATATACACTGGGAAAAAAATCTTAATGCATATTTTTTTTTGTTTATATAATTGTCATAAAGTACTTTGCATTAAATAAAGACTTACAACTCAGTAAACTTTGTCTATTTTATTTTTTTAAAAATGGCAACACTTCTTGTTTCAAGATTTAAAAAATGAAAACACAAAAATTATCATAACTTTTTCATTTTTCAACCAATTTCAAAAAATAAAACTATTTTGGAAATGGTTTTGAAGCCTCTTAAAAATAAAATTAAGAAGTGCTTTTAAAAATCATGTTCCATAGCTACATCAGGCCATCTTTTTACATGTAATAAAAAAAATGTTGCTTGTCCTCTCCCAACTCAGGATAAAGAAACTGCGTAGGTACGTACTAGGGAAACATTTTTTTTTTTGAAATCAAAAACACTTGTAAATATGAAACTAAGATAAGTAATTAATAGTATTAGAAAACTTTGGAATGGTTTTTTCCTAAAGGTTAAAAAAATGGTTTTGTGTCAGTCGGTCGGGAGAGGGCAAACAGATTTTTTTAAAGATGGCCTTAGATTTAAGTCTACATGTACATGTATATAAACAACCTTTTGTGTTTTCCTGTAAATCAAAACTACATATTTCCTCTTGCCAATGGTTAATTACATACTTACTCAAACTCAAAATTGATTTGTCAACTTTGATTTCTTTGTTAACTCAACGTGACTACCTCAACGTCCGAGCAGAAGAAAAAGTTATGGCGATTTCTCGCCTCCAACACCAAAGATCTGAGAAGAGGAAAATAACTCGTACCTTTTTGTCGTACAACGGCAGTTCCTTGTAAGGGTTGACGGCTATCAAAATGTCACCAACATTTGTCTAAATAAAAAAAAATACTCTGTTACTATTATATATTATAATTCTTTATTGCATAATACACCCATATGCAGAAAAAGAAACTTTTGAATCGCCTATTAGCATCAATTTGATGGCATGCACACTTGACAGTTTATAATTTTAATTTTATTATTCAATTTTAGGTCTAAATTAATTAATAAAATTAAAATTATCAAATCAAATAATACATTAAATAAAAGTAATAAAATTAAAATTGGGAATAATTATTTAATATTGATTTAATAATAAAAAATCTTATAATTATAATATCATCAACTGAACTGGAAATGAGGAAGGGGGTAATAACTTAAATTTGGCTTTAAAAAAAACATGAAAAAGAAAAAAAAAAGAAAAAACAAACAAACAAACAAAAATTGTCTTTTTTCCTGAGAAAGACTTATTCGACCTAGGGCCTGTGGATAACAGACTTTCGGTGCATAGTGTACATGTATAAAACCATACGGAATTTAACTCAATATTACACGGCGATAAAAAGGGTGCCAGGCCTTCTTCTCCCCAGTTCCTCACAATACCGGGTATTTCTTGAATATTTCCCATTTAACGCCCTCTCTCGGCCTATCTTCTTTTTTTCCCTTCATGCACGCAATCCCACTTTACTTCATCCACCCTCCCCACCCCACCCCACCGGCCGCAATTCCACTTTTTCGCGATTCGACACTGCTTTTCGCGAAACAAATATCCTGCTTTTCCACGATGAGTAATATAGTACTGCTTTTCCGCGATTATATTTTTTGCTTTTCCGCGATTTATTTTTAATATTTACCTCTTCCGTTAGCCAGACAAAACCTGTTGACCAATGCTTACTTAACACTGGATAAAACAAAGATTATATCAAATCAAGCACTGGTCTAGATACTAAAAGATCCACAGAACAAATATGCATGTTTCCACAGTTCGGTGCCTGCGCCATATATAATACATGTACATTAATTACCACAATTTGTTTCTGTGTGAACAATTTCCATAGCGTCTAAATCTTTTCACCGACCAGTGTAAAATGCAAAATTATTATTATCTTTTTATCAAACTGAGTTGGTACCACTATCGCGTAGAACTCGGGAGGGAGGGATATAGGTAAATATCAGCAACCGTTTGATGCTTAGCGCTAACCGTGACCATTTAAAAAATCACGGAAAGGAAGTATCAAAAGACGAGGTAAAACATAACAAATAGTAAAAACCAATCACGGAAAAGTAGTGTGAAGTAGTTCGCGGAAAAGCAGACAGATTGCGAAAAAGCAGGAGACGTCCCCACAACCATCATTCATGTACCCACGTCAAATTATGAAAGTCTACTTGCTGTAGAAGAAAAATAGAAAAACTACTCAAGAATAGAGTGCATGCATGTTCTCATTATTTATACAAACCGCGACATACAAAGCAAAGTCAATTATCCTTTAAATTTCAAGAATTTCAAGGCATGTAGCCTATTGATCGAATGCTATATAATTCATGTATTCCGAAATTAATTGGATATGTGCCAGCATCCTGCGACAGGAACGTCCTTGGTCTATTTAGCCAGATCTTGAATAATTCTGGAATCATATGTTCGAGTTTATTTCGATTCCATAAAAATTAAAAGAATTCATGTTTCATTATTTTCTAGCCATGAAATTAAAAAAAAAAATGACATTAAGCGCTTAATTTAAACTGCTTCTTTGGACCCTACTAGCTTATCTGGATATCAAAGGAATATTTTTCGAACCAGTGTGTATTCAGTTTTTTGTTGGGTTTTTTGTTTTTTGTTTTTTATCACAGTTAAAGATCTTTAGTAAAACGACCTAACAGCTCTAAATTCATTCAGGATTTCTACAGTTAACTAATCAGATTTTTTAATACACAAAGCATGGTCTAGTTTATCACCTAGCTTTTGAAAACAGATACCTTAAATCCTATTTAAATGCTACACATGTGTAAATATCAAATACACACAAAGTACACCTCGTCTTCGCTATTTATTTTCATTTCAATGATCTTTTTCTATCCCAGATCGATATAGAGTCGATTGTTTCTGACTATGTAGATCTGAATAAAAAAAAAAACCAATCGAAATTGATATTTTGCAATCTTGAACAAAGAGGGATTTTAAAACTTCCTGGTTAAATCATTAATTCTGGTTACTGAACTCTAAGGAACTGGGAAGAATATGGAGGTCCTAAGAATGTTTAAATATCACATTTCTTTTTTGTTCGAAATCAAAAGACACGAATATATGAATATCTGTATTAAGTTATAATATTTTATTACAAATACATGCATTTCAAATTTCTTTTGTCCCATCATAGTAATCACTTGATGCATGAATTTTGAAAATGAAATTGTCACGCACTGCATGCATGACTGTCTTTTTAAATTTTTTTTTTCAAATATTTTGTCAAATAAAATTTTACAATCATGTGTGCAGATTTTTTTTTAACTATTATAAATAAAATATTCAGAAAAGCATGCTGTAGTTTATTGATATTCTTAAAATTGTATACATGTGATTATAGTCGTGTATACTTAAAAATTGTCTCAAAGGATAAACAAATACATTTATGCAAGAATACATGTATATACTTAATAATTGGAACAATTAAGTTTGAATTTATGAATGCTTAATAAAAAAAAAATCTTCACAGAATTTTTAATGAAGAAGTAAAACATAAATGATAATTTCGTAAAATTATTGAAATAGAATTTCATGTTCAAGAATTTAGGTAGGAAATTTTCACCTACATGTACAATGTATCAAGTTTTATATTTAAAAAAAACACATTTCGTTCCCTTTGTCCATTTATTTAGTTTTTTGTACTAGAATTCAACATAATTGAATTTTTTTTCTAAATAATTTTACAAAAATACAAGTACTAAATATAAATATCATACAAGCATTGATATGATATACAAATATCTTTTAACTTAAACGTAATGAAATTAATTTTGACTCACAAAATATCGAGAGAGAGAGAGAGAGAGAGAGAGAGAGAGAGAGAGAATAACTAATAAGAAGACAATATTGTCTTCGTGATATCACTTACGTAAATTTGATCCTTTTCATATCTATTTTTAACTGCCTGTAAAATTGACTCCTCCGTTAGGTCGTCGAGCTGGGACAAGTCACAATCCTCCATTGTCCCGACCCTGGGGATAAGTTCCAACTTACTTCACCAAATACACAATGACGTCAAAAAACACACCTTCGAAATCGAAACAACGATAAATCTCAACTCTGAAGGAAACGGCTCTTTAATTTTTAAAAATCAGAAATTCTTTCTGAAATACCCCAATACAGAAAACGTATTTACAAAGCCATCGTACTTATTTAAAGAAGTCTACATAAAGTATGCACATATTCTAATTCCATTATTGTAAACATCCAAACACGATCTCGAAGACTTGGGCTGCGAGCTATCTCTGGTGACGATTCGCTCTGATGAGCTCTTTTTATTTGGGTATATGTTAATAACAGTCCAGCAAAACTGTGCACCGTTTCAAAAAAAAAAATGCCTTGTTACGTATGGATTACATTGACAGTTTAAACTTTGCAGTGAACTAAACCTGAAACAGGAAGAAAAAAAGATTTAAAGAGAATTTACGGGTGAGTGCACCCTTTCTCCCAGCTGTATTGTCTTTATATATATTTTTCAGCAGTACAGCACGCATTAACTACGGGTAATTCCCAAAATAATAAAAAAAAAAAAAAGAGGAAAGAACTACGGGAATCCTACTCACATTATTTATAAATTCCTTTCTTAATCCTCAACTTCAATGTAAATGAATCTGAGCAAGGTTCTTTTTATAGTATGTAATAAAGGTGTGCATACAAGATATTGTGTGTATTAACTAATCATGACCGTAGGAACCGGAAACGGGGTGGGGCGGGGCTGTGCCCCCAATAATTCTACCAATATATATTTTATGCTTGTGGCTCCTCAATAAGAACGTCTGATGACCCCAATTTTCTTCTTCTTCTTTTTTTTTTTTTTTTTTTTTTTTTTTTGGTTGTCAAGAAATTTTTGTTTGGTATGTACATGTGTTACGAGCATTGGCGAGAGGTCATTTCAAACGAGAATCAAAGATTAATTTTTTATGTCATGATTACTTGTACACTGTGCTTGTCATTCCACTATGATACATAAATTTTATGTATATATATTTATTGTGTTTACCTATAAGACTTTGGTTCAATAAAAATCTGATTTTTGCATTATTATTTTTATTGTCTTTTTTTTTAAATGTATTTTTATTTATTTATTTATTTATTTATTTATTTCTTGCAATAGGAACACAGAAAGACATTTAGTTTTATTTGCTTGCTTTCTGGGCTGAAGGGGTCATACTTGAGTACAGATGTACTCTAATAAGTTTCTCCTTTTGCTAATAAACCAAGGTACACGTAGTTTCTTACAATATGTTTATAGGCGCGATATCAAAAGTTTACTGTCTGACCAAAAAAAAAAAAAACAAAAAAAACAACAACAAAAACTAAATATTCAATAGTTGTCATCGAAACCCCCTCTTCTTCAAAACTCATTGTGATGAATGTCGATTCAAATTAGATAATCAGGTTTACCATATTTATTACACTATTAATAGCTAACATTTTGTTTATTCATAAAAAGGAATTGTTTCAAATACTGTTAATATAAAGTCCCATGTAGAATGTGCACTTTCTTATGCAAATTTCTATATTTACATTCAATGTAATTTTCTTTATGAAATCCATTAGAAATCTACATCATTCACCCCCCCCCCCCCATATAATATACACGAAAACTTGTCACGGTACGATAGACACGATAGACAATAGGAGCTACACTTTCAATACGCAAGGAACATAAAAATGTAAAAAAAAAAAAAAAAATAAAATAAAAAAATAAAAAAAAAATTAAAAAAAAAAAACACATAAAAAAAATCTTAATTTAATAATAAATAATTACCCTATTTATTTTTTATAAAAATATAACTCTTGTATAAGGAAGATGAAATTAAAATTCATAAAGACAGAAAATAAGAGAATGTAAATATATTAAAGCTAACGCGCGGTATTCAATTTGTGGGTACGGCAGTTGAACGACATCCAAAAATAAAAATTCAGACAGCAAGACTTCCTCCTTCCCCTATTTTAATTCAGTATTTTATCAGACATCGATATTTGAATCTAACCCCATGCAGATAGTTTCGTATCTAAAAGATCATTGTAGATCTGTAAAGTTATTTTGACATGGATGAAATGGTCGAGAAAGATAATTACATGACATTTACACTTTGGAATTTGTCTTTCACAAGCCTCTTTGTGATGCTCTCGGCACATTGAATTTCTAACAGTCAAGTTTAGGTATGGTCGAGGAATCTTGATAATTACATGTCAGTTCAATTCATTTATTCGAATCTCGTCACCATTTTACAATAGTATTTGATTACAAGAACATGATTAATACAACATAATAGATAAGGCACGCGAGTGTAAAATGAAAAATGAAAAAAAAAATGTACACCAATTCATAAAAATGTGAAGTATGGGAAGTCTTAAGTAGCTGCATATAATTTTTTGTAATTACATATGTATATGCATGTGCATTTCGTCTTATGCACCGAATACCTGCATGGGAACGCTCTGCTTGACTTACCATGCAAAAATTCTGTTTAGTAATGTTTTCTTTATATTGAAGAGAAGGTTGAAATATTCGACCTCATGCATGCAAAGAGTGCACCATAAATGCATTTTCAAAGCTTATATGTCATATGTTTCACTGAAGATTTTAAAAATTACATGCTGTTAATTGAGTGTTTGCGAGTCATGAAACTAGTCGAAGATAATTTAGATATAATGGCCTTAGCTGTATACGTTCTACTGTTTACAAATCCTTAAAGGCATCTATAAAAGAATATCAGGCATTAAATTTTACCATGTAACTCAAGAGTTATAATTTCTTCCCGAGGTATGGACATTACACAATCCCCAAGCAAACCACAATTTATTTCTTATTCTCCTCCCTTTGTATCATAGAATACTTTTCCGAAGAAAAGCATTTTTGTCATAATTTCATATCAGTTTAAAAAAGAACCTTTCTAAATACTTTGTTCACAAATGGAATTTGATTTTTATACACTCGAAGCTTTAAAAATTCCCACACCTTATCCACCCAAATTCTTTGGTAAGACTACAAGTGAATTTTTTTTTTCGTGAATCTGTGTCCCCAAGAAAGTGAAAGCGCTATAAAACAGAATCAACCATGTAGCAATAAATGGTGGTGATGGGGTGGGGGTTGTGGGGCGGGGTTGTGGGGTAGGGTGGATTTCTCTCCTACTTCTTAAACAAAATCTTTTACTGTTAGATCAGTACAAAATTACTCATTGAAAGGTTGCCCCCCCCCCCTCTTTTTGGTTGTAGCATAGTCAAATCCTCCCCTGTAACGTTAAATGTATTCAAGATTTTCCTTCGAATCCCCATCCTCACACCACCTGAAAAAGGAATATCGAGTTGAAGGTATGTCCATGCGCGGATCTAGAGGGAGGTGGGGGTGGGTTCCGCCCCCCCCCCCTTTGGAATTTGCAGAGTTATAAAAAGTATATACTGAAGCAAATAAAAAATGACTTTGAACATAAAATTACTGCCTAACAATAGCCCTTGAAAACGTGGACCCCACCATCACCACCACGAAAATAGGTGTTATTCACGTTTGGGAAATGGATTTTAGGTGTTTTTTTTTTTGGGGGGGGGGGGGCTTGTCAAAAAAATTTTGGGATGGAAATTTTGTTTGACTGGGGTGGACCCCCCTGGAAAACATTTCTGGATCCGCGCCTGTATGTCACTCGTTAACTTTTGAAAAAAAAAATGGTCAGAACCACATATTTCAAAATTATTAATTATTTTATTTTCAAAATATATTCGAATTAAATAAATGAATGAAAATTGTACAATATTAAATTTTATAACTGCTCACAAAACCCATAAGAAATAAGAATTGGGGGGGGGGTTCTTGTGATGGACGGATATTTAGAAGAAAATTCTCATAATATACACATTCAATTGTCTTGGAACTTTGTTCCTTCATATATAGGTTTGAAATAATTTTTTACGAATTTTATATATTTGCAGTATTTAATATATTTTGCCAAAAATTAAAAGGTATATTAAACAAGTCAAGCTAAAATTTACAAATGTTTTTCGCCCGAAAATTGCATATTTTGATCCATATCTCATAGGGATTAAAGTGATTAACCTAAAAGTTAAAGTTTAAGTGCAAAAAAAAATCAATTAAATTATACGGTTGCTTATTTAGTAATATGCACTCCGAACCCCCCTTTTTTCTTTGCGATTTTAAGTTCATTTTGCTATATTAGTAGATATATCTAAGATATACTTCTCGAAAAATCCTTGATATAACCCATGTCAGGAGTGACATACCTTAGGATTTTTTTCCCTTTTTACAGATTTTTCAGGTAACACTTGACTTCTAGCAGCCCCCCCCCCTCCTTTTTTTCAAAAATGATGTTACATGCCTGTGAATAAGATGAAAATACATTGGATAACATTCACTGCATTTGAAATTTGAGCTAAATAAACTGTTTGTAAAAGATTCGTGTCATATAGTCTCAGCCTTGAATAAAAGGAAATGACATACACAACTCATGTTTCAAACTCTTCCGCTCGGAAAATTTATGAGAGTCGCTAAACTTTCGTTTCGTGTGAAGAAAGGTTTTCCACAATTTTTTACAGCCAAACCTTACTTATTGAAATAAATTATGTATTTTGTTAATGCTTCAGGTCATTTTTGGGAGGGGATGAGGGTTACAAAATCAAATTAGGTAATAAACTGATATGATCGTTGAATTTAACACAAAAGGGATTAACATAAAACACGACAAAATACTAGTAGTATTGGTAAAAAGTATATACACTATTGTTAGGCGGTAATTTTACTTTTGATTTCAAACAAAACATTTAGATGCACGGGTTTCGGAAATATGTCTGTCATAAATCCTCCCTCAAAAGGAAGAGAATCCTCCTCCAAATTATACGATAAATTATTATTTTTTTTAAATAAAAGTAAATAAATTTTCCATCAAATTCCAATCGAGTGCATTTGTACTTCGTTTGAGGACATGGGAGTACTTTAACGCGTAACCTTGATAGTTGAAACAATGCAAAGGGGAAACACGCGGCTATACTTTTTCAAATTTTTGCTGTTAAAGATATTTATGCCACGAAAGAAAGATTTTTAAAGGGTTGAAATTTGAATATATTCCCCTTGTCTTTTACGTGTGGTTTTCCCTATCTAGTTAATAGAAAAAAAAGTTAATCCTATTTTGTTACACAAAAAAAAAACAAAAAAAAAAAACATGTCTTTGATTTAATTTCAATCCTTTATACAATTGTCAATATTTTTTTCTCCATGTTTGTAATCGATATTCCCTATACCTTAAGAAATAATGTTCGAGTACGAGGACAGCTAGAGGAACAGCTTATATTAGTCCGAAATATCTGATGTTTTCCAGGCGGTTTTTTTTCCTTCACAATTTTTGGTATTTTACGTGCCAGGAAAACTAGCAGTCAAATATCAAAATCGTGAAAAACGCCTGGAAAACACCAGATATTTCGGACTCTGCTTATATAAGGAAAGGAAAAATAGAAAGACATTGTTTAAAACCCTTGATCCTTGGGATGTTTTTTTTTTTTTTTTTTTTTTTTTTTTTTACTATACACATCTTTCTCAGCTCAACAATCCTCCTTATTTGTACATGTACTGATATAATTGTGCAGTGTACAAAAAGGCCTTTACTCCTAATGAATAGGGAGATACAAAAACTATTCAGCGCACTGTCATTTTGTCAGTCCTTTTCCTTACATAGCTTGTCCTTTTGTATTCTTCTCTGGGTGTGGTAAGTTCTAGCTTTGTACGGAAACTCTGAATATAATGTCACGATTCCTTTAAAAAGGGTATAAAATATCCATTATTAGCATAAAGATAATATATATTTCATGTGCAAATAAGAAGCTGTTCGAATGTTGAAAAAACAGTTATGTAATTGGTCATTTACTCGAACCGAGAAATCAACTGAGGGCGTCAACGTGTACTAGGGAGCGAGAACATGATATGTACTTGTATTGTTTAGCTCTAATTTAAACTTATAGAAGAAATGTGAAGGTATACGAACAGTAATCAAACTCAAGTTCAATTTATTCACCCAAACCAAAATATTGGTATATGGGGTTCATTAATAACATATATAACTCAAATGTCCAATTAAACAATACAAATTTGAGCAGAGCAAACACGGACCTCTCAAAACTGAGGTGAGATAGGTGCCAACTGCCGAGGAGATAAGTTTAAATTAAAATTTTAAACTTTTAATGTTATATATAGTGAACTAACTGAGAGAGCCATCCCCTTCCCACCCATGAAGCCATGCATTTTCGACTTTTTTTTCATAAATCATGGTTTTATAACATATTTGTGATCTATTCCAAACCCTCCTCCCAAAAAACGACTGACAAACATTTTATCAAATTTACACTACAGAGGGAACTTTGAAGGGAGCATGGCTGCAATGCGGTGGTAATGTCCTTCTGTTGTCGCCCCTCGCTCTCCCAGTGATGTGCCTGTTCTCAATCCTGCCAGTATATACGTAATATTAGGGGGTACCCAAAACATAATCTCTACTGATTATATGTGCGTTAGGCCAATCCAAGTTTTTCCTTACTCCAGTACGTGTCCACCGGATTTCAAACATACAACAGAATGACATCATCTCATGGTAGGCGATGAACCATTTGATAAAATAGATGTCCAACCCATGGAGGAGTGAGCATCCCCTCTCGACCGGTCACACTCGCCGTGTGCTCCTGACTGGAAAAACGGGAAAAAAATCCGCAGACAATTCAGTGTGTAAATAATATGAAAAACGTCAGTCAACGTTTGACTTAATGATAGATTGTATTTGCTGACAAGGGCATTGTATCGACCATAAAACTTGAGAAATGATGTCTTTAAACGAGACTGTTGATATCCTTGTTTCATCAACTTGTGTATCGTTTTAGAACTTGTTCATGCTCTTGCGTATCGAATCAACTGGGAAACAAAAAACCCGTATGCAGGTAATGAGGGTATGTTGCTACATAAGTAAGGGAAATTGACGATTGAAAATTGAAGTCATCACGTTTATCATAAAACTTTGTTATTAGGTTACCATTAAAGTTTTTTTTCTAGTAAGATATCCAAATATGAAACAGATGTGTCAGACTCTGTGGTATCTTTTATTTCAAGCTCACTTGGGTATATTAATCGACATATGAATGGAAGTAACTATCACGGGCACTGGAAGTTAATGTAAATATTGAGTATGTGCATGTCCTTTTTTATACATGCACATACTCAATATTTATATTAACTTCCAGTGCCCGTGGTAACTTTTGTTAATTGATAATACGTCGATGATATATCTAAATGTCGAGTAGAAGGCCACCACAAGTGTTTGTTTTTTTTTCTCATGTAGGATTTGGGTTTGTTTTTTTTGTTTTTTAGTAAATTCTGCATCATATGAATACAAAAATAGGTCTGCTAATAAGGGGGCGCAATTGGTATCCATTTTATATATGACTCTGACTCACAGGGGATCCGAATAGCCTTAAGCTTAGAAGGGAAAGAGGTGGCAATTTTCTAAATTATATAATTTTAATATATCTGAAAATCTTTAGGGGTACATATTTTTAAGTTGGATTGTCAAATCGATAATTTTTTAGTAATCGGATACTCATCTGCCTTTCTGATCGAGTTCTCGGTCATTATATTCAGAAAAAAATCAAACTATATAAATACAAATGCACAGAAGTACACATATAATAAACATTCAATTTTGATTTAATGGAAAGAAAAAGGTGCGGTTTCAATACAAATATGGTTCTGTTTTTTGGGTTTTTTTTTTGAAATATGAAATAATTGTTGTGAGAAAGTAATACATGTATAAGCTTTCTGATTGTTCAAACTCTTTGCAGTAAGATTATACAAGTCGTTTCTCTTATATGACCTCCTACAGTGTAAATGCAAATTGTGACATCTTGAACTTGTTTATTTTCCAGTATTTTCTTAAAAATTTGCAGAAGACGTCTATTTTCAGTGAATTTTTCTTTCAGACAATATAGACCACATGCATCGCCAATAAAAATTTTAAGAAATGTCATTTCTCAGAGAATTTACGCAACATATCCAAAAAATGATGTGGGTGACGACTGTGGACACTATTTCTTAAGGAAAATAACTTCTTAAATGAGTCATTTAGAGGCTTATTTTGTTCAAATCATAAATGTAATATATTAATGACATCATATTTCAAGAAGGGTCCTCTTTTATGCCATATTCTTTCATGATTTACCTCTTTCATACATTCAGATTGTATTTAAGCAAACAAAATTTGTTGAAAACATTTTTAGGGCAGAATTAAGCCAAAACCGTACCTTCTTCTTTGGAAAGAGTATAAATAACAATTCAAACGTTGATTATGTTATCGACCATTTGCAACAGCATGTAAATAATAAAGTTCTGTCTGTTAACTAATATTAATGGCTCACGAAACATTTAAGCCTCTACTCCATTATCTATACATGTTTATGTTTTTTTTTCTTTTTTAAATTTTTACTCAAATTAATTGAATGATTACAACACTTAAGCTTTATTTTCAGAATTTTTTCCCCCATTCTACGTAGGTCGTAAAGAGTTTGATAGATATGAAAACGGGGGGGGGGGGGCTGCACATATTCGTGTTTAAGTTCGTTGTTATATTTTTTTTCTTTCCTTTTTTTTTTTCTTTTTTTTTTTTTTTGCTTGAATAGATGTAAAGAATCAATGTCCTTTATACACTAAAATATTTCACACAACGACGATTATACAAAGATCGTTATTACTTCAACATCACTCAATTATACCTGCTCTTTTAGTAATTTATAATGGCTAGTCGTCGTGTACAAGATAGATAACTGGAGAATGTAATGTAATGACAAGGCTTGTACACGACTGAAAGATATCTGTAAATTGAGGGAAAAGACCTACTATTAATGAAAGGTCGTTACATTAACTTTTGATTCTGGCAGAAATTTAGAATTTTCCCATGTGTTACATTCAGACTACATGCAGACACAGTACAAAGTATATTTAAAAGTCTTAATTCTTACATATATAATTTATATTTATCATGGAACTGATACACCCATTTTTCATTGCTTTGCATGAGTGAATGTATTTTATTTGATTCGTTCATTAATTAAATTTTTGATGATGCATAAAGCACAGTTATTAAATTACTGGATTTAAAAATTAATCAGAAGATAGACTCATTGTTTTATATGGGAATATCATCTGAACGAAAAACCACACTGTCATTTCTAATTGTGTATGTCCTTTCTATAAACGCCCTCAGGATATGCTAAATTACTTAACTCATGACTTGACTTCCTTCATGATGCATAAATGACATTTCGCTGACAACTCGAAACAACAGGCATGTCTTTTTTTTCATGATGATATAGATTTTTTGTTGATCCTAAGAAATGGTGGATTTAAGTAAGAAGTCAGATCTCTTCACAAGACTTTATCTTGTGTTAGAAGTGACTGGATTTCTGCTTCATATGATCGGATTTTGTACTCCGTACTGGCGATCTATCCATTTCAAATACACTGAGGATGTTATAAAAGACATTGATATAGTGATCCAAGGTTTTGACGAGGGGATCTGGAGGAGGTGTGTTAATGGAATTTGTTCCGATATCAACGTTGTTGGTAGAGGTAATCAGTGATTCGTTTTTCCTCATCTAGAACAGACTCTGAGTGTATTTTAATATAATAATATAATAATTGATAAAAACCATTTTCACTATAAAATGATTTAACTTCCCATATCAACAAGGAGCTTTACTCACAGGCTCTTGTTTCGTATATGGGGTCACTCCTTTAAGAAAAAGAAGGGGGTGACCCTATATACGAAACAAGTGCCTGTGGCTTTACTCGATAAAAAAAATTAATGTATTTAACGAAGTTTCAGAGACGTATTATTCTCCTTTATCTTTCTAGACTGGCTTCAAGTAGTGAGGGTTTTTGAGATTATCGCCCTTGGATCGTCTCTATTTGCCACATTTCTGATCATTCTCAATATTTCTGTGGAAAGATTTTCTGACAGCAGAAGAATCTATTTTTTGGCATTATTGTCTTGCTTTGTTACAGGTAAGAATGCATAAAATAATCAAGTCATTCAAAAGGCATTTTCAGAAGAATAATCATGTATAGACGTTTTTAATCTAATTTCGTAAATGGCGAAAAATAAGTGATCTTTATAGGTCTTCCCTGTATTTATTGTACATATACATGTATTGAGGATATACCATACGAAGTATAAGGTTAGGGGAAGAGGAAAGAAGATGTTTGTTTTAGTGGGGGTGGGAGGAGACGACGGTTATAGAAGAGTAACCTTTTTCAGTCTCGACTTTGAGATATTCTAAAATTTAAAAAAAAAAAAAAAAAAAAAAAAAAGAGAAGACAATAAAACAGCATCTTCGCTAGCCAAAGGTTTCTGATACGCTACTCTCCTCATGAGGAGAGTAGCGTGTCAGAAACCTTTGGCTAGCGAAGATGATAAAACAGGCACTTGCTTTACACATGTATCAAAATACTGAGTATTTTTATAATCAATTCATCTTTGAAAAAAATTAATTTGCAGCTTGTAGCATTCTGCTGTCTGCTATTGTATACGGAGTATCAGTCAGAGAAGGAATCACGTGGTCATATGGATGTATTGTGATTGGAGGAATACTATTCATGGCTTCGGGAGTGCTGATGCTGACAAATTATTATACAATGCGTTCTAAAAAATAATTTTACTCATCCATCCTACTAACTTATGAAGAGTTTTTAATGTATTCTCTAATAATGTTTTGAATAACAGACACTGCACTGATATAATGTAATTATTAATGTGTGTTTTTTTTTAAACACTGACAGTTTAATTTTTTGATTTGTTATTGTTTTTATGTGACTATATATGAGGTTTAACTTTTGTTTTCAATTGAGTAAAACATATTTGAAAATAAAGTAAAAATGAATAAAAGATTTTATTTTTCAACAAGATTTGCTTTGTACAACTTCTATCCTAGAGTTAACTTATTTCCCTACACATTACGTACAATTTAATTAAAGACTCTATAAATCTTTGCCTTGGGGATGATTCATCAGTTAAGATGAACATTTAGCATATTCCTTCCTTTTGTAAACTGCTCATTTATAAAAGTACTTCCCTTTTGTAATCTTTAATGTTGTGGTCCCGCTGAAACCATCTGTTAGATTTATACCAGTCTGGTAGAATCGACTCTGTGAGAAACACGACAATGTCACAAGACATTATTTATGTATTATCAATAATAATTTAGGAATTTCTGAAGTTACTGTCGATAATGCATTTCGATAATTTAAAATATTACATTAAAAATGTTTTTGAATTCTAATGTATATATCTGTACTTTAAATTCATAAATAAATAAATAAATCCTAATAAATGAATAAATAAATCCTAATAAATAAATAAATCAATCAATCAATCAATCAATCCTAATAAAAAAATAAATATATTTCCTCTGAACATTTTTTTTAACCCGATTGTATGCGCAATGTAAATTTGCCCATCATTTACTATTAATGATAAAAGTACATGGATCAATGCTGCAACCGAATAGTGAAAAATGCATAATTAATCATTTGCAAAATGTAATTGATTTCTTTAAATTTTTTGAAAGAGGAAAGGATATGGGTATGGCCAATCAAGATCGACAATAAAGGATCAAATGCCGATTTCCGTATATTTAAGTGTCCATAAAAATGGAGAAGGGGGCAAAACAACCATACGGCCATGAATGAAAGAATTTTTTATGATAATTGCCTCGGGATCGGTGAACACTAAATACACAAACCACAACAGCCGGAATTTTCTCACGGTTGTTGTCCGAGGTAGAAGCTAGTCATGAGGAAAGAAAGAGTTAGATTTAAAAAATTGAAGATCGATTTCCTGGCAAACATCTTTTGCATTATTTTATGTTGTGTACACGCACTGTCAAGTTGTCTTTCCCCAGAATTTGTGCTCATAAGAGCACATTCAACTTGTATTGTTGCGCTCGTGACGAATAGTTGCCTAGTAGATAATCAAATTTATGACAATTCCCATTTTTCAGAACTTAAAAAATTAACGATGCATAAAGATTTAGGAATTTTAGTTGGGTATATTGACATAAATAGTAAGTGGCCCGACGGGAAATCATTTTATGGTGAAGGTGTAGAGGCAGGAAAAATTGTCTTATTTAAGAAGATCCCTAAGGATCGAACGTGTTTGCTACCATCTCCATCACAGAGGAGTATGGTCCCACTTATTTTCAATGGTGTAAATGGACTTGCAACACTAATAGACTTTGTCAATGATGGATGTAATACCTACATGTCACCAACTGGAGGTCCTTCTATAGAGGGGCTGCATAAGAATGAAATCCACAGAACAAGATTTTATGTTCAAAACATCTCAAATGTGCAATCAAAAGATGTGTTTCAACCAGTAAATCAGAATTGTAAAGTTGAAGACCAATCCTGTTCATCAGACAATCATAATTTTCATTTTCACAACAATATACCTAGAATTCCAGAATGTGAGAGAATTGACTTCCCTTCCAGAGAGGACTTTTTTCATAATTATGTAAAAATATCAAAGCCAGTTATATTCAAAAATGCCTTAAGAGACTGGCCAGCTTTTACAAAGTGGTCAAATAGATATTTTCGAGAAAAATTTGGGAAAAATGATGTCCATATCAAGTTAACACCCTTGGGTGAATATGAAGGAGTTGAACCAAGATATATGTGGGAAAATCATGAAAATTTTGAGATCCCCAAATCAGTGGAAGATCAGTTGCCTTTTCCTGACTTGGTAGTGGTTCGACCAGCCACTAAGAACATGAATTTCTCAAGTTTCATGGATATAGTTGAAGGAGTATCCAATGGGACTATCAATGATATGTCAGCCTACCTAGAGTATTCCTCCATTCCTGATCATCTGCCAGAACTGGAGGAGGACTTGAGAGACGATTTACTATTCCAGGGACTTCTAAATAGAAAACACTTAAATATATGGCTTAGTGATGGAAGAACTTTGGGAAAGCTGCACTTTGATCAATTTGACAATCTCCTTTGCCAGGTACAGTAACAAAATTGTATGTGGATGTTCACATTCAACATGTCCAGTTAATCTAATGACACATTTTAGTACATATGTTTAATTCTACTGGTCAAAGACCAGGAGATCTAATGCAAAGGCTAAGAGTCCATAAATAGTCCAACTGTCTGTCTGTAAACATTTTTAAAATGCAAAACTGTGCAATTGATGCGAAATATTTATTATCTATATATATTATTATCTGTGCTAGTATTTAGATAAAATTTTACTTCTTGTTTCAGATAAGTGGTAAAAAGCAGGTTATTTTGTTTGATCCCCACAACAATCATCAGATGTATGAGGGACACATTCCAGAGGCAATCCTGTCCTACAGTCAAACGTCCAATACGTTTTACCGTCGCAATCTACTTGAAAGCACGTCCATGGTTATGTCTCCTGTTGACATCCAGAATCCAGATTATTCCGTAAGTATTTGCAACCAAACAAAATAATGGTATTGTCAGAGAAAATGACATGTACACATAGTTTGTAAATCTCAATTTAATAGCGTTCAAACTTAATCAAAAGTAAAATTCATAAATTTTAATTGTCATATTCAAAAATATTGTTTTATTTTTAACAACCATGTATTTAAAAAGGAAATGGAAATACAATGTTGAAAAATTTTGTTGTGTCCTCATATAAAAAAATCAGTTAAAGATGAAATATTGCAATTGATTGACTGCATCTGTCTTCTGTTGTAAGAACTTAATACAATTATTACTTAATTAAAAAATCACAAGTTTGATTGAAAGCTTTGATTTTCCTTTGACAGAGGTTTCCACTGTTTGGAGAAACTTACCCCTTGAACTGCACTATAGAAGACGGTGATATTCTGTACATGCCTTCATTTTGGTGGCATGAAGTCCAGTCATTTCCAAATAAAACAGCAGGAAGAAACCTTGCCATCAACTTTTGGTGGGTTATTTTATTTAACAGATTTTTACTATGTCAGTAGATAAGTCTACAAGTTCTTGCAAGCTAGAGGAAGTTATAAAGAAATATAGTATACTCAGTCCTGTGATTGACCCACAGCCTGTTGATTTGTTTTTTTTATGCCTACATGCAGAAGTTTCATGAAATGGCATTTTGTGTCCATCTCTTGGTCTTTCTGTTAGCTTTTTCTGTCCAAGTCATTCACAGCTTAAATACTCTATGAGCAAACGAGAACCATCAGATGATGAACTTGTAGGGAAGATGTGACCTTAGAGTAGGTTACTGTAACCTCAGTTGGTTTTTTTTTCAATGTACATGGTAAAATTGTGAATTGATCATACATAGAGGGGTACCAGAGCCAGAATAATCAAACCACATCAGTTGATACATCTTGGGGAATAGGTAAGTTGTGACCCCCCAAAACATGTAGGTAAAATGAAGAAAAGTGTAGAAAGGCTTTACATTTATTTGAATGAAAGATCAACCTTCCTTTTAAAGGAAAGGTGATCATGGAATAGAATTGGTCACCTTTTAGGGTCAAATTTTGTCAAATCCATTTGCATGTATCTTGATAGTGTTGAATAAAAAAGTGTCAAGAATTTTACTCAGCTCCAGTGTTTTGTAATGATAAAGCCAATGGACCTCGACCTTCTGATTTTCTCTCTGCCAGATTCCTTATTGATTAAAATGGTATGATTTTTTAATGTCCAAGGCATTTGTCTTCGAAAACAAGATGTGTTTGTGAAACACTGAATCCTTCGTATGACAGCTCATAACGAAGGCTAAAGTTTCTCATATGCGAGTCAAACTCCAAAATTAAGGTTAAGAGATCAAAATGTTTTGTACCTACTGAAAGGTCTTGTCACAAGGTATACACCTGTGAAATATGAAAGTCCTAGGACCAACTGTTCAAAAGTTATTACCAAGGTTAAAGTTTTTCTAAAGTAGTCAAACTCCAAGGCCAAGGTCAAAGGGTAAAAATAAATGGTCTTCAAAGGAAGGTCTTTCACAAGAAATGCACATGTGAAATGTGAGAGCCCTAGCACAAACCGTTCAGAAGTTATTGTCAAGGTTGAAGTTTTTTTTTTAAAGTAAAATTCCAAGGTCAAGGTCAAAATTGTTTGTATCCAAAAGAAGATCCTGTCACAAGAATTACACATGTGAAATAAGAAAGCCCTAGCACCAGCCATTCAAAAATTATGGCCAAAATTAATAGTTTTTCAAAAGTAAGTCAAACTCCAAGGTCAAAGTCAAATCTGATAGTACCCAAGGGAGTTTTAAGGCCTTGTCACAAGAAATACACGTGAAATTTGAAAGCCTTAGTACCAACTGTTTTAAAGTTATTGCCAAGGTTAAAGTTTTTCAATCATGAGTCAAACTCCCAGGTCAAGATCAAAAGTCAAATTGTAAGTATCCAAGGGAAGGCCTAGTAACAAGGAATACACCTGTGAAATATGAAAGGCATAGTGCTAACTATTCAAAACTAATAGCCAAGGTTAAAGTGGGTCATGCTCCAAGGTCAAAAGGTTAAAATTGTTAAGTATCCAATGGAAGATCTTGTCATGAGGAATACACTCGTGAAATTTGAAAGATCTATTCCTAAACGTTCAGAAGTGATGGCAAAGGTTTGAATTTGGTAAAAGTTTGCAAAAGTAGGTCAAGGTCAAATATGTTGGTACCCAAAGAAAGGTCATGTCACAAGGAATATACATGTGAACTATGAAAGCCATAGCTCCAACTATTTCAAAAGTTTATGGACAAGGTTAAAGTTTTTGTGGACAAACAAACAGCTGGACAGACAGAAGGACAGACAGGATAAAAACTATATGTCCCAGAATCATCGATTACGGGGGCATAAAAATAGCAGGCTTATTTCATTTGCTTTGTTAGGTCACCATAGACACTTGTGTAACCTATTACTATTTGTTTTAGTCAATTGATTGTGCCTAAAACTTTAACTCTATTTAAAAGAGAAATAGTGAACACCGGGTGGGGTCGTTAAAATTTTTTTTTTAAGAAGTACCATTCTGATTTGACAAAATTAAGTGGGAGCTAACTTACGGCAAACATTTAGAAAATACATAATATAGCTCAGACATGCATTGTGACACTATGGTGACCGTTTCGATGAGCCTTTGGTTAATGGAGAAATATATTAATGTAGCTGGTATGGTAATAAATCAGTATCGAAGGTAGCTTGAAAATCAGTGATATACATGTAGTTGAGAAGTTTAAATGAAAAAAAAAATTGAAAAATATCGTTATTTATTTTCACAGGTATGATCCATTTCTAGTGAGAGAATATCCTTGCCCCGAATGCCAGCTTGATGTGAACCCGAAATACAGACATTTATTATGATAATAATGAAATAGTAGCAATCAGTTGTTTGAGATATCTATATCTTTTATATTTTTGAATAAATGGATAACTTATTTATTGTTAAAAGTGTTTGAATATCTTAAGATCTTTAGAGGAACACTGAACGTAATGCCGTAGTTTTATTATCAGTTTTCCTGAGAATGTACATGTTCAATAACAGGTGTGTTAAGTTCACAGTAGACTCTCTGATCTTTTCAAGTTAAACAGGAACTTGTCCATATTTCAAATAAAAATCTATAGTAAGTCAATAAACAGGATCTTTTCCAAACTTGTATTCAAGAACCTTAAAATCGCTTCAATGAATTTATGCAGAAGTTTATTTTTGAATCGTTCAAAATGAAACGTCGGTTTAAGAAATCGACATTCATTCAGGTCACATTCATGCTATTGTGCATCTTTACTCTGATTTCTAGTGTGAACACTATCAGGATGCCTCTCGCTAGATTTTGTTTTAAGGAGAGCAAAGTCTTCATGTATAGTTGCCTATGCAACTGATGGTTGCAGTGTTGCTGATCTATCTAAAGAGTATAAACATTTTCAGTATCTGAAAAACCTGCTGATAAACAATGATCAAGGAATCCTGGTTGGATTTGTTGATATAAATGACGCATGGCCCGACGGGAGTGAAATTACTGGAAAGTATGATGTCACTATTAACATTGGGGATGTAGTGTTGTTCGAGAAAATTACGAAGGATAGACAGGAATTATATCCTACTGTGCAACCTCAAAGTATCGATCCTTTTGTTCATAAAAACGTATACAGCATCGCAGAGCTGATAGACTTTATAAACAAGGGTTGTTATACGTATCTTAATACTACTGGTGGTTTGTCCAAACAAGGCCTTCATCGTAAGGAAATTCTGCAATCGAAATTTTACGTTAAAAATGTTTCTTATGTCCAATCCAAAGATGTATTTTTGCAAAAGTGTTCTGAAAATGATCAAGTTTGTTTTTCTGATCGTAATTTGCATGTTCATGATATCCCAAGACTTCCCGAATGCGAGAAAATCCACCTACCAACACGTGATGATTTTTTTCACAAATATTTGAAAAAGTCAAAGCCAGTTATCTTCAAAGGAGTTTTAAAAGACTGGCCAGCATTTACAAAATGGTCAAACAGGTACTTGAGAGAAAAATATGGAGAACATGAAATCCTGTTCCAGCTAACACCGCAGGGTGAATATGAAAGAATCGAACCTATAAATATTTGGGAGAATCACCAAAAATTCAAGTTTCCTCGATCATGCTCCGATCAGATTCTTTCACCTGATCTAGTGATGGTAAGACCCGCTATTGAAAACAGAAATCTTTCGGTTTTTATGGACATTTTGGATGGAATTTCCAATGGGTCCATTAGTAATATGTCCGCGTATTTAGAATACGCTTCCATTCCTCTGTATCTGCCAGAATTGGAAAAAGACATTCGAGAAGAAATGCTCTTCAAGGGCCTCTTAAAAAAGGAGATGCTGAATATTTGGCTCAGCGATGGAAGAACTCTTGGAAAATTGCATTTTGATGCATATGATAATTTTCTTTGTCAGGTAAAATTCATCCTCACAACGTCAGGGTTCCTGAGTCAACACGTTGCCGTTGGACCCCTGACAAATTTCATTCGATATCTTGCAGGCTGACTGCAGCGAAATCTTTCGGGGAAATTACAAATTTTGATTGTTTTTGTTATCTCTCAATCAATTTCATTAAGGCTTTCCGGTGATAAACAATGCGTAACACATGTATTTTAGGTGTCAACTGATTCCTTTCAGTTTACATATCTGTTTACTTCCGCCAAAATATGGCTGAAATATTGCCGACTCGGCGTTTAACAATATCAATCAATCAATCATCAATTTGATTGGTACTTCTCAGTTTAATGAGAGGTGTCGAGTGAAATTTTTCAGGGGTGCAACGGCAACGTGTTAACTCAGGATCCATGACGTTTTAAGGATGGGTAAAACTGAGTATCTCTGATAATTTGCGGTTAATATTAATACTGACGTTATGTATCCGCATGCTTATTCACTAGAAACTGCAACGAGCAGTGTGTGTGTGTGTGTGTGTGAGGGTGTGTGTGTGTGAGGGTGTGTGTGTGTGTGTGTTTTGGGGGTTGGGGGGGGTGGGGTAGGGTGGGGTATGGCTTTCTTTCAAAAAAATATTAAAGATAAATTTGTGGGTGGGTGGGTTAGGGTGTGGGTGTGTGTGTGTGACACAGAATTAAAAAAATATAATTAGAATTTGAATATAATTTCTAAGTTAGTTTTATTCATATCGTACTTATGGTAAAAAAGAGAAAACATGAAGTACTTAGAATTATTACCTTCTAAAATTTCTAGATAAGTGGCAGAAAGCAAGTCATTTTATTCGATCCTCAGAACAACCACCAATTTTATGAAGGTCACATTCAAGAAGCTAGTATGTCGTATAACTTTACGTCGAAGTCATTTCAAAGGCGATATTTGCAAGACACGACGGTGCAAGCATTTTCTCCTGTCGACATCACAAACCCCAATTATACAGTGAGTATATGATGTATGAATGAAAAAAAAACCGCCATTTCATATTGAGCTAATATTCAAAGACGCCATCAGGTGGCACTCTTCACTTTTTAATAAGCAGTTTTAATATTTTTTTAAATTTCATCAATGTTCAAGGTATTTTATGCACATCCATTTTGTGTTTCTGAGATTTCCACAAGGAAAATATACATGTACAATTTTAAAGATGTCAAAATAAAAGATGTTTATGTGCTATTACTTTAAAGCGAGATGAGCAAGTTCGTATTCTTTGACTATTTACGAAAAAGGTACATATGGTACATACGAGTAATGATATAAAGCAATAAGAATGAGGAAAGAAGTCAGGAATTTGACACATTTGTAACCTTACTAGTATATTGCATTCTTTGAAATCTCTTTCTCAGTTTGAAAACACTAGCTAAGAGCCATCATAAAAAAACCCTTTGAGGTCTATAATTTATATTTTCCTTTCTTTTAAATGAATTCTGACTTGAGAAGATAAGACTTATTTTCAATTTGTGACATACAGCCTTGTATATTTTCAAAACTGTTCCATTATAACCTATGGCAGAGATTTCCATTGTTTGGAGACACCTACCCCATGAACTGCACCATAGAGGAAGGTGATGTTCTGTACTTGCCCTCCTTTTGGTGGCATGAAGTTCAGTCCTTTCCTAACATAACTGCAGGAAGGAATCTAGCCATAAACCTCTGGTAATATACGTATTTTAAAAGTATTTAATATTTTTTAGCAAGCATTTGCTATGGAAATAGATTCAAGCTGACCAATCTAATCAAATGATATTATGGATGTCAAATTATATTTAAAAGATTAAGTAATGCAAAAAATATGTATGATTTGATATAGCCTTGTCATATCTGTTGTTTCTACATTTGTTTCAGGTATGAACCGTTTTTAATTCGAGATTACCCGTGTCCTGAGTGCCAACTAGACGTCAATCCAAAGTACAGACATCTTCTGTGACATATTGACAAACTTCTGAGTCATTTTCGTTTTTTAAAACTTTATGCAAGGGGTCCCCTAATGTGATTTAAAAAAAAAACTTGTACACTCTGTAAAGCTGTACCGATTCTTCATTTTTTTTTTTTTTTTTTTTTGAATCGCAGAGAGTAAACTTGCTCTAGAAACCTTCAGTGTGGCAGAAATACCTTCTAATCTGATAGACAAAAATTAAGGGACTCCACATTTAACACTTGATGAACACTTCATGTAAAAGTAAAAAGATGTAACTGAATGTGATATGAATACAAGTCACCTTTCTTGACTTTAATTTATATTGGTTATACATAATTACGTGTCCTTTCTGCTTTAAGTTTAATTTTTTCTGCAAATAAATTTATAATTTAATTATCTACATTTTGAAATCTTTGTATATGGTTAAGGTTATTTAATTTAAGGTTTTGGGCAAGTAATTGTAATTTATTACTAACTTTCCTTTGTAATTGATCCCACCCCGCGACAGGCTTGACATATTCATTTCACAATGGACATATGTACTCTGAAGTTGATATTAAAAGAATGCTGGAATTCCTCATTGATAATGTCTATGTAGTCTTCGGAGACCAGGTCTTCCACCAAACTATTGGAATTTTGAAGGGCTCCTTAATTAACTGACCTATTAAACATATGAAGTAGAATTTATTCAGAAACTTTTAAATGAGAAAACACTTGCTGTTACCTTCAATTCGACATTTTGAAGTGAACTTTTACGGGTCTTTCGGATGAGACCTTAAAAACTGAGGCCCCATGTCACGGTAGGCGTTGGCACGATAAAGATCCCTCACTACTCAATGACCCTAAGTGCCGAGTAAAGATCAAAATTTGAAGCCTTTCACCGGTATATCGTTTCGTCTCTACATGAGATAAAAATTCTCGAACGAAAAAAAACATATAATCAATCAATCAATCAACTCGACATTCAGATATAACGGCGACGTTTTATCAATCAACAATGGTAGCTTCCATTCATATGTCGTTTCAATATATCCAAGTGAACTCGAGATAAAAGATACAAAATAGTCTAGATCTGCCACATTTGTTTCGTATTTGGATGTTTTACTGAATATAGACGATAAGGGCCAACTAATAACTAAATTGTATGACAAACAAGATGACTTCAGCTTTTTAGCTCACCTGAGCTGAAAGCTCAAGTGAGCTTTTCTGATCACCAGTTGTCCGTCGTCCGTCCGTCCGTCTGTAAACTTTTCACATTTTCAACTTCTTCTCAAGAACCACTGGGCCAATTTTAACCAAACTTGGTACAAAGTATCCTTGGGTAAAGGGGAGTGTAAATTTTTAAAACAAAAGGGCCAAGTCCCCTTACAAGGGGAGATAATCAAGAAAAGACAAAAATATGGTGGAGTCATTAAAAAAACTTCTTCTCAAGAACCACTGGGCAAGAAAAGCTGAAACTTATGTGGAAGCATCCTGGGATAGTGTAGATTCTAAATTGTAAAAATCATGACCCCCGGGGGTAGGCCGGGGCCACAATAGGGAATCCAAGTTTTACATTGAAATATATAAGAAAAATCTTTAAAAATCTTCTTCTCAAGAACCACTGGGCCAGAAAAGCTGAAACTTATATGAAAGCATCCTGGGGTAGTGTAGAATCTAAATTGTAAAAATCATGACCCCTGGGGGTAGGGCGGGGCCACAATAGGGAATCCAATTTTTACATAGAAGTATATAGGAAAAATCTTAAAAAATCTTCTTCTCAAGAACCACTGGGCCAGAAATACTGAAACTTATATGAAAGCATCCTCGGGTAGTGTAGATTCTAAATTGTTCAAATCATGACCCCCGGGGGTAGGGCGGGGCCACAATAGGGAATCCAAGTTTTACATTGAAATATATAAGAAAAATCTTTATAAATCTTCTTCTCAAGAACAACTGGGCCAGAAAAACTGAAACTTATGTGGAAGCATCCTGGGGTAGTGTAGATTCTAAATTGTTCAAATCATAACCCCCGGGGGTAGGGCGGAGCCATAATAGGCAATCCAAGTTTTACATTGAAATATATAGGAAAAATCTTTTAAATTCTTCCTCTCAAGAACCACTGGGCTAGAAAAGCTGAAACTTAAAGTGGAAGCATCCATCGTTCAAATCATGACCCCCGTGGGTAGGGCGGAACACAATAGGGAATTCCAAGTTTTACATTGAAATATATAAGAAAAATCTTTATAAATCTTCTTTTCAAGAACCGCTGGACCAGAAAAACTGAAACTTATTTGGAAGCATCCTGGGGTAGTGTAGAATCTGAGTTGTTCAAATCATGACCCCAGGGGGTAGGGCGGGGCCACAATAGGTATTACAAGGAGGGAAATCTGGTAAAGAACAGCATGGCCAAAGTTACTCAGGTGAGCGATGTGGCCCATGGGCCTCTTGTCTGATTAACTTCGTAAATTATTGTTCGTAAATTCTATGGTCGTTTTAATGACCTTTTAGCAAATATACCCTATTATTTGGTCTTGTAACGAGTTTCATAACAATTGTTATGCTTTTAATTTTCATACTAAATTTGACTACGGAATAATCCGTCTGCCTGATCAATACATATAGGGCTCACGGCGGGTATTCACGACAGGGTATGCTTACACCTCCTGACACCTGATCCCACTTCTAACATTTCCAGGTGTCCATGTTTTATGTCATGTTTACAGATTTGTATTGTTTGTTGATTTTTTTTTAAAGATCAGTTTTATCGTCTCCTGTTTCATTACATTGTTTGTAAAAAAGCTGCTTGCTGACTTCCCTTGTTAATTTGAAATTTATGCCAAGATATTCCTTTATTTAGTGAACCCTTGGTTTCAATGACATAAACAAGGCTGTATCTTACCCAAATTCTGAAATCTGATATCATTTATCAAAAATGTTTAGTTTTACAGATTTTTCCTTTCAATACCGAAATAATATATATGTTCCTTAATAGTATTTTCATTATGAACATTTTACCGGTATTCTCTTTTGAGAAATGTTCTAAATAATTGAATGTTTGATATGACTAAATCGTTCGCAGATAAGATATAGTGAAAGGTATTATCTCATCACAGATACACAGCAAAATGCCTGCAAATGCACTACAAATAAAAAAAAATGGTTGTAAGTGTCAGTACAGTATTAAACTGCTTTTTATTCTTACTAAAAAGCACAAAGTTGAGTTAGTGATATTAATTCAAACCAATTTTTATTGTTTTTCTTATTTCTCTGTCAGATCTTGTGAAGTAAGTAGTTCCTTTTATTAGTATCAAATAAAATAAGTAACTTAAATTGATTTTAAAATGTTTTCTAACACCTCCCCAACTTTATTTTACCGTATATATAGCTGTTAAATTTTATCTAGGCTTTCTCACTTATATGATTCAGCTTTGTTTTGATTAATTTTCACAGTTTCTGTAATTGTGTAAGTGATTGCTTTTATTTGCCTGTGGTGTGTTTATACTTTTGAAGTCTTGTTTAAAGTTACTTTAAACCTGTGCGAGACACCTGTACATGATTAAATAAGATGCATGTCGCCCAAAGATCAAAAGCATGGAAATATTTTGAAAGAAGACGCAGATCGTTGATTATGGAGGGCATATACATTACTTTGAAAATATCCTCGCATTTCATAGACTGTGCATGTGTAGTGCTTTCAATGTTTAACTTAATACATTATCTAAAGTTTCAGAAAAATATCATTAGTTTAAAAGTTTTACCATTTAAAAGATATTTACTGTACTATAGATGAAGACAATTTCCGATACATGCTTTCGTGGGTGGCATGAGGTCCAGTTATTTCCCAACAGAACAGCGGAGAGAAATCTTGCAATCAACTTTTGGTGGGTTATTTTATTTTACAAATACAGCTTTTTACAATGTTTGTAGACAAGTTTACAAAGTCTTGCAAGCTAGAGGAACAGAGCACTGCCTTATCTAAATACAGTACTCTAAATCATGTGATTGACCCATAGATTTGCTTTTTGCCATTTACTGAAGTTTTATGGAATGGCAATTTGCATTGGTGTCTACATGTTGGTCCTTTTTTGAGCTTTTCATTTCGTTCCAGCTAGGTTCCGGGTCATTCCCATTTTTCACGAACACTTTCACAGATAAGGAGCATCAGTTGATGATGTGTTGCAAGATAAAAGTAAGTTACTGTAACCGTAGTTTGGCTTTTTAAAATCACTTACGTAATTAAATTGTAACTTGATCATACAAAGCATTTTGTCAGGTGATACATCTTCGGGTATGGGATGGTGGAATGATGAAATGCTTTTTTGTGTGTAGAAAAAACATTTATCAAAATGAAAGCATACCTTGCATTTTAAGGAAAGACGATTGAAGAATAGAGTTGATAACCTTTTAGGTTATATTTTTTTTTCAAATCTGTTTATATGTATCCTAGTAGTCCTAGTTGAAAAAAAATAGTGGTCAGAATTATACTCAGCCCCAGTGTTTCATAAGAATGCGGCTAATGGACCTGAACCATTGACCAGATTCCTGATACTGATCAAGATTGTGTTTCTTTGAATCCCTAGGCATTGGTATTTTTTAAATTTGCAGACTTAATTGTTTCACATTTCATTTGCTTTGATAGGTCACCATAGACACCCAGGTAACCTGTTGCTGTCCGATTTGGTCAATTATTGTGTGACATTTACGTTATGCCTTTAACTTTCAAATCTCTTTTCAAAGAGTAGATGATAAAGAAATGCTGAACATTGGATGAAGTCATTAAAAATCCTTCTCAAGAAGCACAATTCAGATATAAAAAAAACTTAATATGTGGAATCTACTTTATAACATGAAGAAAATAACCATTTCAGTTCTTAAACCTTTTGTTAATGTAGAGGTATTAAGGGTAGTTGATATGTCAATAAATCAATATTGAAGGTATAGCTTGAGGCGCCAATTTTTTAAGGTTATGAAAGAACCACAGGCCTTTGAATCGCTTAAATTCGACTTTTAAAAAATGAGGTGTATTTTTTTAACACCTTAATTTTTTTTTCAAAAAGCGATCTAAAGGCCTGTGGAAAGAACTGCGAACGACAGTATTGTCCTGTCGCCTACCTCCAAGTCAAATTTCAAAAGTTAACATATTTGAATGATTTTTCATATTTATTTAGATATTTAAGTGAATTTTCATGAAACATAACTTATTTGGTAATACAAAGAGAGATAACTCTATAATTTTGGCACAAATTGCGTTTTTTCACTATAGAAATAACGGAAAACGGAAAATATTTTTAAAACATCTCCCCCCCCCCCCCCCCAATGAAACAAAAATTCCTTTTTATGGGTTTCATGAATTGTTATTTCACAATTCATACCAAAGCTTCGTTGTTTCAAGGGGGGGGGGGATATGTTTACAGTCAAAAACCTGCTAAAATGGTCATTTTATTACAAATTTCAATGGAGATTACAAATAAAATAATGTACTTTATCAATCTTTTTGTTAAATCTTACATAAGTTAAACATACGGAAAGGTTTAAGAGTCATTTATCCATTTTCATGCGTATTTGAAGCCTGATTTCAATGGATAAAATTTTCAACCCCCCTTATGAAAAGAGTAGTAAATAGGAGTAATGAAGTTTTTGACACTAGTTTTAAAATTATAAATCAATTAATAATGAAGTCTTCTTTGTATTCAAACAAGTTTTAATGGTCACATTGCCATTTATATTGAATTATATGGGTGTAAAATGTACGCGGGAATCGAGAGTAGGCGTGCATGGTTCTTCAATTGATACAGCTTGAGAAGTTTATTTTATTGATAAAAAAATTGAACATTGGAAAAATAACAATTTTTACTCTACAGATACGATCCATTTTTTGTGACAGAATATCCTTGCCCTGAATGCTTGATGGGAACCCCAAATACTGACACTGAAACTGTAACAGTAAATCATATAAAATATATATCTATTGTATCTTTAATATTCGTGAAATAAATATTTAGACTTATTGTTCAACGATTTGTTTGATCTTGTAGACATTATTAAGTTCAAAGGTCATGCTTATTTTGTTCAAATGAAACTTTAAAAAAACGCCATTCATACGGCAAAGTTTCTGGAGAAAAAAAATGAAGTGTTTTAATAACTGAACTGGTTCTTGAAACAACATTAGAAATCGATTTAAGGAATAAACAGTAGTTGTAGCACCAGTTTTCCTGGGAATATATGCGTTCTAAAACAGGTGTGCTAAGTTCACTAATTAAACAGGAACTTGTTCATAATTGAAAAGACCAATACATGTACTAAACTGAACCTTTTCCAAACCAGTATTCTAAAACAATTTTAAAATTGCTTCACTGAATGTTTACAGAAATTTTACTCATTAATATTGGTTCATAATGAGACGTCAGTTTGAGAAATGGATATTCGTTAAGGTCACATTTATACTATTGTGCATTTTGAATCTCATTTCTTGTGTGTATGCACTATCAGGATGCTTCTCGCTAGATTTTGTGTTAAGAAGAGCGAAGTCTTCATGCATTGTTGCTTATGTGACTGGTGGATGCAGTGTTGCTGAGTTATCTAATGAGTATAAACTTTTTCAGTATCTGCGAAACCTGCTGATAAACAATGATCAAGGAATCCTGATTGGATTTATTGATATAAATGATACGTTGCCCGATGGGACTAAAGTTTCTAGACAATATGATGAAACTACATGTGTTCACATTGGGAGTGTGGTGTTGTTCGAGAAAATACAAAAAGATAAACAAGAATTATATTCTATTCCGCAATCTCGAAGTATCGTTCCTTTTGTTTATAAAGGCATATTTCACATTGAAAAGCTGACAGACTTTATAAATCAGGGTTGTAATGCGTTTCTTAATGCCACTGGTGGTTTATCTAAACAAGGCCTTCATCGTAAAGAAATTCTGCGATCGAAATTTTACGTTAAAAATGTTTCTTATGTCCAGTCAAAAGATGTATTTTTGCAAAAGTGTTCTGAAAGTGATAAAGTTTGTTTTTCTGATCGTAATTTGCATGTTCATGATATCCCAAGACTACCCGAATGCGAGAGAATCCCCCTTCCAACACGTGATGATTTTTTTCGCAAATATTTGAAAAAGTCCAGACCTGTAATATTCAAAAGAGTTTTAGAAGAATGGCCAGCATTTACGAAATGGACAAACAAGTACTTACGAGAAAAATTTGGCGAACACGAAGTTACGTTCCAGCTAACACCACATAATGAATTTGAAAGAATCGAACCTATAAATATTTGGGAAAATCGTGAAAATTTCAAGCTTTCTCGATCTTGTGCCGATCAGATCCCCTCACCTGATCTAGTAATGGTAAATCCGGCTATTGAAAAAAGAAATCTTTCTGTTTTTATGGACATTTTGGATGGAATCTCTAATGGGTCCATTGATAATATGTCTGCGTATTTACAATACGCCTCAATTCCTCAGTATCTGCCAGAATTGGAAAAAGACATTCGAGAAGAAATGCTCTTCAAGGGCCTCTTAAAAAAGGAGATGCTGAATATTTGGCTCAGCGATGGAAGAACTCTTGGAAAATTGCATTTTGATGCATATGATAATTTTCTTTGTCAGGTAAAACTAAGTATTTCTGTATAGTCCAAGTTTAAGTATGGACGTCAAATAGCTGCCAGACTTATCTTCTTGATATTGCAACGAATAAGATGTATTATTTCTTGAAAAGATTTTTTTCTTGCGCTACGTTAGTTAGAAAGAGAGTGAATGACGTTAAATTCATAATGTGTAAATTTAAATTTCCAAAAATGTTGTCTTCATAAATTCAATTCACACAATACTCATGAATGGTGAAAGGTACATGTACATGAATTTCTTTTTTTTTTTTTTTTTTTGTGGTCTATTTTAATGGAAAACAAGAGAACATAACAACTATAATAATTAATTATAATATTCTATTTTGTACATTTTCTAGATAAGTGGCAGAAAGCAGGTTATTTTATTCGATCCTCACAACAATCATCAATTGTATGAAGGTCACATCCAAGAAGCTAGCATGTCGTATAATTTTACTTCGAAGTCATTTCAAAGACTATATTTGAAAGACACTACGGTTCAGGTATTTTCTCCCTTGGACATCACAAACCCCAATTATACAGTAAGTATATGATGTCTGGATGAAACAATACGCCATTTCATATTGAGTTATTGCTCAAACACCAGCAGGTTGCATTTTCCCCATAAAACTATTTGGAATTCCATCCTTTAATGAACATTGAATTTATTAAATACATGTACATTATTGTTTGAAAAACTTCATGCACAAATTCTATGTTGCTTCTCAAAGATTTTTACCTGGACAATGTTTGTGAAATCAAATTGTACATATGTTTTTATTTATCAGGTGAACAATATTGATTGATGTTTTTTGTTTACTTCTGGAAAAGAGTAAAATGTATTCCTAGAAATAATGAATATTGTGTAATAAAAGCAATTTAAATGGAAAAAATCCGAATATTAAAGACTTTTGCTTTATGATCATACTATCTTTTATTTGAAATCCTTTTTTTTTCAATATTAAAACTCAATCTGTTTGTTTGTTTCTTTATTGTTTAACGTCCCTCTCGAAATTTTTCACTCGTATGGAGACGCCACCACTTGCCGGTGGAGAGCTGCAAATTTTGACCTATACTCGGCACTTAGGGCCATTGAGCAGTGAGGGATCTTTTTCGTGCCAGCACCTACTGCGACACGGGAGGACCTCGGTTTATACGGTCTCATCCGAAGGACCGGTCTCCACGTCCCACAGTGGTAATTCGAACCCACGACGTACGGATCAACTCCTTACTACGCTCTAACCACTGCGCCAAACCTCAATCTGCGTGCCACCCTTTTGGAGGGCAAATGAGATTTTCCTTCCTGTTAAATTAACTAATTTGCAAATAGATAGATAGATAAATAAATAAATATAAAAAAAAAAATAAAAATATGTATATATGAAAAAAAGGAAATAAATAATAAATAAAAAAATAAATAATAATAATAATAAAAAAAATAAAGATAAAAAATGGCCGTTTCATTTTTAATCTTTGTCTTACAACCTTGTGTACATGTATTTTTAAAATGTTCCGTTATTTCATTTGGCAGAGATTTCCATTGTTTGGAGAAACCTACCCCATGAACTGCACCATAGAGGAAGGTGATGTTCTGTACTTGCCCTCCTTTTGGTGGCATGAAGTTCAGTCCTTTCCTAATATAACTGCAGGAAGGAATCTAGCTATAAACTTCTGGTAATATACGTATTTTGAAAGTAGTTAGTATACATGTGTACCTTAATTCTTGATAGTTTGGGAAATATATTCATGCTGGTCAATCCAATCAAATGACGTTTTGAATATCAAATTACATTGAAAAAAGGCTTTAGTAGTGCAAAAAATATGCATAATTTGATATTGTTTTGTCATATATCTTCTTTGTTTTAGGTATGAACCGTTCTTAACTCGAGATTACCCGTGTCCTGAGTGCCAACTAGAAGTCAATCCAAACTACAGACATCTTCTGTGAATGTATGACACACATGTCCAGGGAGGATGAATTTTTAAGAAGCCATGAGCCAGGGGCCTAGGAGACAACCCCCCCCCCCCCCGCGCCTTGTTTAAATGTTCGTTTAAAATGAAGCCAGACTACACCAGAAGCATATTATTGATTCGAACGAAACGGGATCTAAACCGGAATGTTAGCATTGGATTTGTACATCAACACAACTACTCAAAAAAAAAAAAAAAAAAAAAAAAAAAAAAAAAAAAAAAATTTGAGCACTTTAGCTATGGCAGTTCTACGGAAGCCGATAGGTGCCAGGTAGAAAAATATTCTTATAAGTTCCTGGCGGCCGCCACATACATAATAAGAAACTTATCTGGCGGCCGCCAGTCAACCTTCTGGCGGCCGCCAGATCTATTTATCTACATGTCGCCAGAAAATTATATGGCGGCCGTCAAATATTAATCTGGCAGTCGCCAGAAATTATATGGCGGCCGCCAGAAAATTATTTTGCGGCAGCCAGATAAAATATTTTTTCTACCTAGCACCAACCGGCTTCCGTACAGTTCACTGTATGCTACGACAATAATATTCTTGATTGAATCTGTTTTGCACTCTGAAGAAATGTTACTAATATAGTAGGAAATAAAATAATGATGTTTTGTTTGTCTGTTCTATAAGTCTTTAAACAAATTATTTGTGTACAATTGATATTTTCAAAATGATGGCGGGAACTTATGATATTAATCAACAGAAATGCCATCTAGAATATCAAGGATATTAATTCACAGAAATGCCATCTAGAATATCAGGGATATTAAGTCAACTATATATTATATATTACATGTATACACATTATTTAAATTTTTAAGAACACTAGAGAAAAGTCATATATCCCGCCCTGGAAGGATAATGCGTATAAAAGTACAGTCAGACTTCGATATTCTGAACTTGATTTGGTCAATTATGAACAAATTCAAGACATCTAAGGATATGATATTTTGATGGTGGGTTTCAGACTCACTCAATCATATCGATGGTATTATAGTTGCGTAGCTAGCACAAGAAATGTATTCCAAAAAGGCAAGGGGTCTGGGGTCGCCTTGAGGCCCCCAGCGGGTCCAGGGCAGGGTCGTGGACGCTGGAAGCTCATGGAATTCAAGGGTTTTAAATCAGAAAATTATCTTAGAATATTTTATTTTTACCACCAAGTAGTTCTAAATATTAACAAATAATTGCCGAGTTTTGACAAAACTTTGACAAAACTTACAGCTCCACAAAATCCCTTTCCTCAAAAGCACTTCTTGTTATCATGAATAGACCAATTGTGAAGTAAACTTATATATTTACATTCATGACGATTGATATTGCTTTGAATTTTAATGAAGACTATGAACTAAAGGAAAATCAAAGAGAATGTAATAAACAGAAAATTCAATGATTTGGTAGTTGTTATAGAATTTATTTCACAAGTAAGACATATTTTTCATTATCATAAATGCGAAATAAATTCTATACCAACTACAAAAAATTAAACATTCTCCATTTAAAATGCTATATATATATATATATATATATATATATATATATATATATATATATATATATATATATATATATATATATATATATATATATATATATATATATATATATATATATGGGAAGGTTTCCGTGATTCCCTTTGTGTGTCTTGTAGTAATCAACCCAAAACATATTTATATTTAACCTAATCACATGTATATGATCAAATAATTTAAAAAAAAAAAAAAAAAAAAAAGAAGAAAAGATTTCGAAAGTTCATTAAAAGATCAAAATTAAATAGGTTTTAAAATTTAATAAAAAAAATCTAGATTTAAAATTTCAAGGGCGAATTTCATAATATGGTCAATTCTAAGCAAAAGCAAATCATAAAATATCCTATTTACTAATTCCATTAATAATTTGTACTAGTAGTAAAATTTCAGAACAATCTATAGTTAAAATGTATAAATAGCATTTTAAACTCTACACCTTACACTCTAGCATAATGATAATTTCAGAAAAACATTGAAGTTCTTACCAAAATGAAGTTAGGATTAGTTGAAGATTATAATGTATCAAAAGTTATCATTTCAGGCTATTTTGCTTTTTCCGCCTTTTTGTTCCGCGTCGTATCAAAACTTCTTTAAATAGGCAAATCACCCGGTATCTAAAAAATCAATTATGTTTTATACGTTATATACGATCAAATCCATTTTATGTCTTTGATAGAGTAACTCAATTATTTGCTTAACTATTCACGAGACTTTGTTCTGAATTTTGCTTTATTTTAAGGGATATCTCTTCAAACTGATTGCATTGTGAAACGGTTAACGTTAATTCTGTATTAACGTAAATAAATTTGCTATTCGCAAGTCTGAAATGTAGATGCATAAATTCAGGGCTTGTGAATTTAATACCGCTTAAAAATGAAACACAGGAGACCCTTAACAGCATTTAGTACGTACTCTCTGTGTCTCGCTTTCTCTTTTTTTTCTCCCTCTCTCTAATTTTTCTTTGATAATTATGTATATTCAAAGATATATGGTTTTCCATCACTGGAATATTGTGCCGATGGGAAACTCGTCCAGACAACGGACTTGCTTATTTGTTTGAAGAAGCAAAAGTAACCTGGTTTGAGGCAGAAAAGCAATGTGAAAATCATGGTGGAACATTAGCGACTGTGCATTCATTTAGAGATGGAAACTTTATTGTTAGTAAGTATACCATTACATGTAACTACAATTACAAGTATAACAGGATCTCTAACGAATGTATACTTCGAAGAATAACAATCAATTAAAATTCTGTAATTGGTAAGTATTGTTTAAATTTAAAAAAAAACAAACTCAATCGTCAGTAAGAAGATAACGTGAAAAAGAAGCGATTCGGAATTACTTTAAATAAAAACATTAAAAAAGCCGGACACTCTACCATGAAATTTTACTCTTTTTTCCCCTTTGAATAAAATAATTACATATGTAGTGGGGCTATGGCATTCTCAGTCCTCCCCCCCCCCCCTTGAATAGTGGAACCTTCCTGTTATACGTTTTAAACAATGTACAAATACCAGTAAACGGTGCTTGAAAACAATTTTGTAAATAAAATATGGATATTATGTGTGTTTAGTGGGCTAAAAATAATTTGAGTATCAGTTTTAATTTCATTATGCGTTTGATGTATCAATTAAAAAATGTAATTTAATTAATAATAAAGTTATCATACATGTCATTTAAATATATGTATTTATACATGTAATGCTTCAAGATCGATTGATCACCAGATAGAATTTAACAAGGACGCGTTCTTTTTAAAGCCAATATATTTTCACCGTGCTGCGCCTTATATTTTCATATATCGTGTTTTTTTTCTTCAGAATTTCACATTCCATTCGTTGTGTGCATCAATTTTACAACAGAACATTCCATTTTGGAATAATGCAAACTTAACTATGGTTCACTCGTTATTATTTCTACAGAAAATCTTCTTAGGGAAACTGTCATGTTGGAGGCAGGAGATCATGTGACGGTGAGTTTTCTTGGATAGATGAGACTTCTATCATTGGCCCAACAAACTGGGCTCCGGGTAAGACTTGATTCTGCGTTTACTATGCCAGCTTTAATAACAATGTGTTACTATCATGAATTAAGGACTTAAATATTAGAATATGAGGACAATCTTTAAAAAGAAAAGGAAATGGGAGATTTTAAAAAAAATCCTCTCTTTAGTGAAAATATTTTGAAACACACTCGATTTTAAGATTCATCATCCAGGCTTTATTTAAAATCTTTAATTTTTAGACGTACAGCTAGCAAAATATGATTTATTTTTCTCCCTTTCAAAATATTCAGAAGTACGAGGGGTGATCAAAAAGTTCGCGAACTATCTCTATATTTTCAAAACCACAATTCAGATCAGAATGAAATTTGGCACACATATAGTCATACATGTGTTCTATGTGGGTTGCGATGGTCACCATGCTCATTCCGGGAAAGGATATCCTTATACACCCATCCTATTGCCGAGATTTGGCCATTTTTGACAAGTTGACTGTTCTTGTTATAAAAAATTACTTGCATGGTAAGAAATATAAGACTCAAAAAATCTTTACATCCTGTGAACGGAACGCTTCGGGGCACGTCACGTGACCGTCTGTATCACGTGATTTGCGCATGAGCAGAACTGTGGCAGATGTGCATTTAAATCGGAGAGGACTACTTTAAAAAATAATGAACACTAAAACCTAATTTCATTTCTTTTATGGAAGTTATTCAATTAGTTCGCTAACTTTTTGATCACCCCTCGTATGTTCGAAACTCAAAATATCAATACACACCAATACCTGTTTTCCGCGCATTTTGAAATGAGACCCAGTCATGTTTTCCCAAAGCTTTGGTTCAAATAGTGCGGATAATATTTATTTCATTATTGCTAAGACAAAATATACACATAGGGTTGACAAGCATACGGAATTATATGATCATACAAATCACGCAAAGTATGTCACTGGCCCATATGTATAATAGGATACACCCAGCAACAATTGAATGAATGAACCATAAGAAATATGAAATTGGTGAGGCGATATTGTTAAGATATCGAATATTTTCTGCAGGTGTACCCAACGACCACGGAAATAACGAAATCTGCATGTATGTATGCCTTACGTCTTAACAAATATGGCAACCTATACATTTTTGGTGATTATTAATTAATTTAAACTATATTCAGTGAAAATAAATGCAGTTTTTCTATTTTGAACCCATAAATTCATGAGGGTGGAAATACCTTAAGATGTATGGCACAAACTTTAAGTGAAATGATATGCATTGCTTCAATCGGAATGGTTATGTATGTCAATGTAGGTATCGGTAATCATGTAATAAATTATTATTTAGAGAAAATAACCTATATATATATATATATATATATATATATATATATATATATATATATATATATATATATATATATATATATATATATATATATATATATTCTATTTAGTATTTCAATCAAACTATGAATATATTCTATTTAGTATTTCAATCAAACTATGATTATCAAAAT